TATAAATTCCTATAATATTATTCACATTCCGTTTCGTTATAATCCATCTGCTCGACAGACTTCATTTTATGCTTTAATTTCAGTCTGATTAAAGAAACTAGTTTACAGTTGGAAATGTTCTATATGTGTAGAAGAAATCAATTCGGTTTTGCAAAATTCGCCTGTATTCACCGTGACAAAAGTGATTTCCGAGTAAAATTTCTTTTGAGGACAGAATGAATTGCAATATTTTACAACTTCTTTAAATCTTCTTTTCCTTTACACGAATGAAATTTTTTTTCCAAATTTTTTAAGTTCATTATGTTGATTTATTGTAGATTATTTGGTCACAACGAGTTGCTCTTGAAATGCATATCAGTTTTCTCTTAAGTGACCAGATTGATAATGGATCAGTATCAGTCCTTATCAATGGTAAATTTAACAATTTCTTTTCAAAATTAATTTGTTTGCTGTTTATATGAGGATAATTATATTTCAATTGATATATAGGTTTCCATAGATTTCATACATTTACGTTGATGAATAATTAGAAAATATTCGTGTATTTGATTAAATAATTTTTCATGAATCAAAAAAAAGAATAAGAATTTCGAAAAAAATTCTCAAGCATTTATAATTGCATTTTTATTTTTATACATTACTTAAATTACTTAAATTATTTTTTTAACTTAGAAATTTTATTCAAATTTGTATTTTACTGGTACTTTAAAAAGCAATTTAAATTACTGTTTATTATATTTATATTGCCTATAATGTTATATTTATAATTTTTAAGTTTACATGAAATTATTTTCTTTCAGCCAGTTTAATGGAAACGTGGAAGGAGTTAGTTGAATCGCTGCGACGCTACAACAATTCAACTCCATTTTTTATAATTGACGAGGCAATATTGTCAATTGCAGTATGTGAAAAATTTATAAAGTTTGAAAATTTGGTGAAAATCCTAAAATCCTAAAGAAATCGGTTAGAAATGAAAAAGTTGAAAATTTTTCATTAATTTATAAAAGATATATTTTCTTCAAAATTTGTAGTAGGAGAAAATAATAGAATGGGAAAAGATTAGATTAGCTTTCCTGTCTTATTTAAAGGCGATAAATATGAATGAGAAGATATAACTTAGGATAGGTGCAGTAACTAATTCGCTTATGCTTGACTGCATTTTGCATGAAATTTTTTTAGCGAGTTATCGACTTTAATGATTCGTCAGTAATGATTCTAAATGAAATGAGTGAAGTCTCAGATCGCGATTTCTATTATGAATTATTGGCCAAAGCAATTATTTCTATTCTTGTAAGATTTTATTTAATTTTAATTAATGGGTAACCGAGAGAGGATGAAATGACTCAGTGGGTTATTGTTGTTATTTCGGGCGTTGGTATTAGAGGTCTATTTCCAGCTGAAATAAGCTCTCCTTTAAAAATTTCGGCTGATAATGGTGACTCAGTAGTCAAGTGGTTAACAAGTTGCTCGCCCTGGCAAAGTTTCTGGTCCCCTAATAATGAGCGCTTTTGGAATGATTCTTGGCATGCTGCTATTCATGATCTTCAATTACGAAACAATAATTTGTAATATTGTAATAATCATTAAATGACGACGATAACAAAGCCTTGGCATTTCAAACTCTATGAATTATAGCTAGGTAAAAAATTGAACAATACGAAATTATTGAAGAGCCAAAGAGTCAACCACTGTATCCAACAAATACCGAAAAAATTTCCCTAAAGGCTTGGAAGAGGTATAAATTAAAATTTAAAAAATTATTTGCTTTTACCGCTTCTCTTCTAACTCGGTCAGTTCTACTATACTATTAACTATGGAGTCCTCGATTAAAACACTATCCTTATTTGATGACATAAATGGGAGCAGAATATCCTGATTTCAGAAAGAACTTAAAATCACAGCTTTACTGCCATCGAGATTCAGATCGATCGTGCTTCGGTCGAGGTGACCACATCACTCGACTATCTTAAACCCATCCAACCAAATTTCATTTAAATTTTAAATTTTAATTTTAAAATCAAAATGAAATTTCATTTAAAAATTGAAAACAGTATGTTATTGATAATTGACCAACATTTGTACTTTTTTGCGTATTTTTAGAATTATTCATCAAATAATTCTAAGAAAATGGAAAATGAAATTAAGAAAATGAGATGTGAAATGGGGAAAATAATGGTTCTCGCGCAGACAAATATGTTACTTCTGCGCGCATTGGATGAAAAGTTAAAATTTTGCAAATAATTCGACAGATTTTGGTCAATTCTCCACTTTCTCCATTACAATTTTTAAAAATTTTTTAAAATGCTCCTGAGAGGGTTCCAACTCCCAACCTCTGCCTATTGACGCGAGCCAATCGCGTATTCTGCCTCTAATTAAAGTTTTTTAAGACAATTAATTGGTTCAAAGCTCTCCATTTAAGAATAAGTTTGGCTTTTCGCTTTTAACTTTTAATTGGCAATGTTTGATTTCTAACTTTTGAAAAAAAAGATTATTTTTTATTTAATAAATCTCAAACTTCAAAAAAATTAAAATGTAATAATTTAAGAAAATTAGGGTTTTTGCAATTCTACCAGCAATATTTTTGCATTTTTAGCTGCAATTTTGCACGAATTGTGAAGAAATTTCGTAAGAAAAAAATAAGTGAGAAAGAATGGCAATGCAAATGCTTTACTGCATCATTTGCGTAATTTTGAGCCAAAATTGGTCGCTGAATGGAAGATATTTTTATCTTTAGTTGCCCATTGCTTTTGCAGATACTGAAACTAAAAATCATTCGCTGATATTTTTTCTTTTTTATCATTGATAAACGTCGCTAATTTCCTAATATTCAATGAATATTCTATGAATGCTTTTTTTTTTTTTTATAATTCAGTGAATATTCTTCTATGAATGATCATTATTAACGGTTTTCTCCGATCACCGTATTCATCATGGCTGCCGAGTCATCTTCAGCCAATCGCTTTTGTTCTCTTTCACGGTTTTCTTTCCATTTAAATTTGCTAACATTGCTAACATCAATTCGACGAAATCCACAAAGCGAAAAATTTTTCCGCATCGTCGGATATTTTGAGAGCAGAAATATGAAGAGAAGAAATGGATGGAAGACGGTAATACTTGTCGCTATGCCGCTGACCACCATAAGTGAAAATATGTGTCCACGAAGTTGCAACTGCAGTTTCTTTCCAATAAATTTTTATTTAAATTGATACTTATAATTAATAGCTGCTGAACATCTCCTTTTACCCACTTTATTAAATCTTTTTTTAAATAAAATTAAATTTATAAATCCGATTGGCTTAAAAGTAAAGCTCAATATTTGATTCTTTGAACTCCTTAAAAGTGGAGTCTAAGTATTGCTGGAAGCACTCTACAAGCAACTCTAATTCCAAGCGACTCTTTTGTTATATTTATATACGACAATTTTTATTAGGCTTTTGAATTTCATGATAGAAGAACATCCAAAATAAGCAAAGAACAGTGCGGATCGACTTTCCTAGAAATTTGTTTAGAAATTCCCATATTTCTGTTCGGTTCATTTTATGATAATCTTCTTTTCTTATAAAAAATGTCAAATTTTATGCAAAGCTTTCATACTGAACTTACACTAATAGCAGAAAAGCTCAATGGGTTAATCCTTTCATTTCGGAGAAATGGGCCTTTACCTTGGTAAAATTTTTCAAAAGTCCGAGTCGATCTTGGCGTGCCAAATGAATTTTTGCTTAGTTTGATAAAGCGAACGGAAGGAGTCTAATAAAGTGAGTAAACATAATAAGCTTAATAAACTTAATAAACTAATAAACTTAGTGAAGAAAATACAACAAATGAACAAACTATTGCTTTGAAAATTTTTTTACGCGATATTTTTTTGAAATTTTATCTTGTTTATTAAAATAGCGACAAAATCATTTCTTTTACCTGAAATATTATAAGATAGAAAGTGAGTTTAGTTGGTGCTTTTCTCATAAGTATCTCATGCAAAAAATGCTAATGATGAGAAACGATATCATCGTTAAAGCGATTCCAATGCCACAAAATAAATTAAGCATACGGATAGATCCGATATGTAATTTTAATATTTACCAAATTCTTCTTCTTCTTCTAACAGCTCTCACCATCATTACTGGTTAGGCTGGCTCAAACGTCTACAAAGGTAAGAGGCTTCCAAGCGGCGCGGTCGCTGTCGTCGACAGTAATAGAAGCCATTCCTTTTTCAATCGTTTAGGCCCATATATTGCTGGTCCATCCATACGTTGAAAACCTTTCCTGACCGTATCAGTCCAGGTCTTGATTGACCCACCTAGCTTTTGACACCAACCATCATACGGTTTAGGAATTAACGAAATATGCATAAAGTCTTGTGGTGGACGACGGAGAACGTGCCCTAACCACCGAAGGCAACATTATTAATACAGGTGGCATTTGAACGAAGGTGGATACGATCATGTGATATTTTATCCGCTCGATGGATCCGTAAAATATACCTTAGATAAAAGTGGTAAGTGATAGCACTTCTACTGCTAAATAACTTCTAAGCAAAATTCGACAATCCGACAAAGAGAAAATTGACAATTGGATTATTTTTCGCAGGAATTCTGACAGAATTTGCCTATACTTCTTTCCTAAATTCCTCCCAAAACAATTAGATAATAATAATTAACAAATAAAATCAGAAAATATTTGAAAATTCTCCTTAGCTCTTCGATGCGAAAAAAATTTAATTTTTCATGAAACGCAACACTGGATAGTTTTTTTTTAAAGTTTTTGTAACTTATTATCTCATTATGATGCATAATAAAAGAAATGATGAAACAAATAAGCGAACTCACGTTCATTAAACAAACATACATTAATGGTTTTAATGAATAGTGAACGAAAATTGCAAATGAAAATAATTTAAAAGACTAATTTATGATGAAAAAAATGCTGGAAATCTAATTAAAATCCACTTTTGTAGCTATAAAAAAATTTTAGGATGCAAATTTCTAAAACAAAAGGGACATTTAATTATCCAGAAATGAACGGAATTGGCTATTCGACATGCCTTTTGATGAAGAAAGATCTATATTTGAACTCGACCTTGAAACGGCACGCGGAATTAGATCAATTCTGCTTCGTTGGTGAGCCTGAATTGCTTCACATTATAAACCAAAAAGAAAAAACTGAATTGAATTGAAAAATTTAATAATCTGGAACAAAGAAAAAAAAACGTAAAACTTACAGTTGATTTCTGCCCCGGATTTTCCTTTCTAGGAGGGTTACTCAAAGCCACTGATAATTTTCGTTCTAAATTTTAAATAAAAATTAAAACAAATTTTAAAATCTCGTTAAGATAACCAACAAATTTTCATCAAAAAATTGATATAAAATAGTTGCACTGATAAAAATAAATAACTCAATAAAATATAAAATAAAATTACCCAAAAGGATTAGCCCATTATCCTTTACAGCCTCGTTTGCATGTTCTTCGCTTTCAAATTCCACATATGCACAGCCTTTTGGTTTTCCAGATTTATGTACGACAATACGAACATCAAGGATTGGACCGAATTTTGAAAAACATTGCTAAAATAACAAAAAAATTCGGGAAAAAATTCAAAAACATAAAACATCTAATACATTTACTTTAAATACTCTAAATACTCTTACTCTTATATCAAGAAGACCTTTTCATTATAGAATCACTTGGAGATAAGAATTACAGGTGGGCCGCCATCCGAATTTTTGATATGATAGGTTTAATGCTGTCGAAGAGAGAAGTGAAGGAGTAAAAGTAAAAAATCAAAAAATTAAACTTAAGGAAAAAAATCAACTTGAAAAAAAATTTATACCGTTTGAAATTTCCAAATGAAAAATTTCTAACAATCGATAATTTTTCCTTATTTTTTTTGTATTTTATATTTTTTGTTTTTTGGAAGAGCCAACTGCTCACAAAACGACAGATCAAACTAGCCACTTCTATTGCTTACTTATCTATAGCATATGTTTTTCAATAATTTCAATAATTTGCAAAATCAATCACCTTGATTTGTTCTTGCGTAGCTTCATAATGAACATTGCTGACAAAAACTTTATTTTTTTCCAGTCCAGTCGGATAACGAAATTGAGATTGTCGACCTTTTTCGTTTGGTTTATACTCCGAAACATACATTGGTCGTCCGTTAATGAGTGAGCGATCTTTCGTAAGCGCATCAACTGCTTCTTCTTCCGATTTGAATTCAACATAACCGAATCCCTAAGCATAAAAAACTTTAATTAGCTTTAATTACTTAATAATAGGAAACCGACTGCAAAACAAAAATGGCCAAAATCATAAAAATTTGTTCTTGCAAAAGCAGTAGAAAACAAGAATATTCTACCGTAAATAAACTATAAAGCAAAAAGTAAAGAAAAAAAATAGAAAAACTATGATGCTGCCGAAAAAAAGTTGTAACCTCGCATTCATAGTTCGAAACCATACCAACAAGGAAAAATAAAAATAGAAGCATTAAACAATTATTATACAGACGAATTGTACCTTGTGAATCTTGCTAGCTCCTCTATAAGCAAATCGAACTTCGCATGCGGTAGGGAATATTTCTTGGATTTTTTCTTTTTCAATTTTAAAATCCAAATTTGAGATGAAAACTGTATATGTCGATTTTTCTTCGGATGAAGACTGTGCAATATCACTGCCAGACTGTTCTGAAGAATGAAGCTCTTGTTTATCTTTACCATTAATAAACAACGGCAATGTGGGAACAGCAAATCCATCTTTATCAAGAATCTTCTTTTTGTCTTCCATCTAGAATTGAATATAATATAATTTACTGAATACTGTTTCGAAGAATTAGAAAAAAATAAAAAAAAAAGAAAAAAATAGAATGCGCTTGGGAAAACCAAGCCTCACTGCTGAACGCACATTTGATGATATTTTCTCTTCTTTTTTTGTTGCAGCTTGCATCGCCATCTGACTATCATTTTGCAGATCAGTTCGCATGCGTTTATGCTGTATAAGGTCATTAGCTGCGTGCGATTTTCTTTTCTGTCTCAAATTATCTGAAGATTCATCACGACCTTTCTTGAATGGCCTAGAAGAAATTCTTGCGATCTGAGCATCAACTTTGTCCACAGCTAAATCCAGTTCTTCCAAAGATCCTTCCTCGCGTTCAAATTGAAGCATAGCTTCAAATACCTGAACAAATACAATAAATCTAAAGAATTACTAAAGAAAAGCTAGAAAAAACTGTTCGAAAAATTACTAATTACATATCAACTAATTAAGAACGAAAAGAACATCACAAAAAGATTTTAAAGAACATCACAAAAAAAAAGATTTTTACTTGATACGGATGATCATTGACGGAATTGATAGCTTTATAAAATAGCTTTCGAGCAAAAGCTACATCACCAAATACACGTTCCAATCTTATAGCTTCTAACCATACAGCAGCAAGATAACCAAATCCAGATGATAAAATATCATTCCAAATAATACGAGCTAAAAAAAATAACGAAAAAATTAGAAGGAAGCTGAAAATTTTCACGAACTAAAAAAATTTTATATTTGTTAATAGAAATAAGAAATATTAAAACCATACCAATTTCATCTGATTTCATACAAAATTTTATCTGAAAATGAAGCTGTCATCTGCAAATAAACAAATGAAATAGTAAAATATTCACCTTTTTCGGGGTCTTTTACAGTCGCATACAAAAAATACGCATGATTCTTGCGATAATTTGCATTTGGTAAATCCCATTGTTGACCGAATTTGCTACGTAAAAAACTTGCACCCTCCGCAAAAATTTTCAGTACGTTTGAATAATTCCCACCTTGAATTTTAAAAAAATGCATGAATTAATTCACTGCTATTTAATTCATAAAATAATACGTCACAATTTCGCGCAAAATTTAAAGTAATTTGATGATGAATATTGAAAAAGCATTATTCAATCATTGCTACTAGTGAAGAAATGAGGAATGAAGTAGATCCATAAATCAGGTACCAATTGATATTAAATAAAATATAAGAAAATATAATAAAATATAAGAAATAAAAAATATAGAAATAAAAAAAAGAAAATTGTTGATGTTATCAACTAAGTAAAATGAAAGACAAAAATCAAGCCAAAAAAGTATGGAAATATGTCTATTAAAAAAAAGAACCTTGTAAAACGGCACGCCTACGTAGCAAATATATATATGTCCTGTAAAGCGAAGTACCTTCCTCGGCAGTGGATATGGTTTCACAAGCAATAGGCCATTTTGAATCGATAATGTTCGTTTTGGTATTGGCTCTTTCTAATGCAGTCAAATATTGCTGCCAAAGAGCTGCGCATGGACTATGACGAATCGCTCTTTCATAGACGTTTAGCGCTACCTTGATTTATTATATAATGATTTTTTTTGAACTTTTTGAATTTTGCTGATCTTTTTATTTTATAAGTAATATTTCAAATTAATATTTCAAATTATATTATAAAATAAGAATATCACTAAAGAGGGCTTTCAGTTTATAAAAATAGTACTAAGAATTACCACAATAAAAAATTTTTAATAAACGATCTGAAAGGGATTATTAAACTTAATACAAAAAATGAACTAACTGAACGTATTTTTAATTTGTAATCTAACCACCACCCGTATTGTAGCCAAAGATTAAAGTTAGATTCCGAAGCACTTTCAGTTAAAGCGCGTTCATATAACATTTGTATTTCAGCTGGATCACTTCGTTTAACTGAAATAAAGATTTTCCATTAACTTACAATTTGAGAGAAAAATTTATATTCAATTTATATTCATTTTGAAAAAGTGTGAGTTTCTTTCGGTTTTCTTTTTTTAATTTTCGCATGATAAATAATAGATTAAGAAATACTTTGTGTTAAATTTGCAATGTGGTCCAGCAATAATTTTATTTTCTCGTCAACAGTTTCTGTATTGGCATACTTGTGTTCGAAATCTGTAATTTCTTGCATTCGTTTCAATGCCAAATCGTAGTTATTTTTCACTGATTCTGATATCGAACCTTCTAAAAGCAAATAATAAATCTGAAACAGTAAAATATTTTTTAAAGTATGACTGCAAATTATATGAATTGATATAATCGACAATAACTAAATCATTATCTGATGAATTAAAAAAAAGAAAAAATCGCCTGAAAAAGAGAGGTAATCTCTCCATGTTTCATCAATTTTTAGATGAGGAATCCGTAAAGCTCTATTATAAATGCTAGTGATAAGTTCTTTTTGTTTCTGAGCCTGTTCACCAGAAAGCGATTGAAGAATCGTTTTTTCAAAATCTAGATAAATGTTCCAAATCAATGATCCACAATCGTAACGAAGACCAATTATGTTCACCATTTCTTCCATCTTCTAAAAAATTTAAAATGAAATATGAATAAAATTTGAGCAATGAAAATATACACGATTTAATTAACCTCTCTAGCATAATTAATCGAAACGCCGCATGCAAATTTCACAAATTCAACATATAAATTAGGGCAATGAAAATCTTTAACAGCTCGTTCAAACAATTTTATCATAAAATCATCATTGGATTCACATGTAAATTCATCACTGAAAAAGAAGAATATCAGCAAAAATGAATAAATGAATAAACATGTCATTATTCAAATACTCCAAAAACTTATGAATTTGAGAACCTAATCCATTCCAACCAAAAAGCAGGTGCCATTGTGAATTTTTCGCTAATACTCTTTCGTTGTTCACGTAAATCATCAAGTTCACCAGCTGCTCTCAATATACTTATAAATTTCAGCCTGAGTTCATAATCTTCTGGATTTGTTTCAACCTAAAAAAAACCAAGAAGATAGCAAAATGATATAAATAATATACAAAATGAAGCAATGGAAATAAAATGAACAAAAAAATTCTTGAAAGAAAGAAATTCATATTCCAATTGAAATCACCAATTACATTTCGGTACGCTATTAAATGATTAAAAGTCTATAACTGGATAAAAAATGTTTCTTTCAACTATTAAACTATTGTTAAAACTTAAAAACCAGTTAGAAACAAACTACTATAGAATTATGACAATGAATCTTACATTTTTTTCATGCCAAGCTAAAATTCATAAAAGCTATAGTAACAGTTTGTGATGTTCTCAATGGCCAGGCAGATCTCTGTCAAATTAAGGTTTTGTAAAGTATGCATTCCAGTTCTGACGGTATATTAATATTTCATTTTTATTCTCCTTCTATCAGCTTAAATTTAGAAATAATTTTGTCTATAATGATCATCCTGAATAAAACCATGAAAAACCGCAGTCGACTGGAATAATTTTTTTTTACAATAATACTTACATTATCTTTCATTCTTCGTAAATCTTCATCGGAAATTTCGTCAATCGAATCGTCTTCATCGTTCATTTCGTTATTGTTTACTTCGTCCATCTGTTCCGCAGTATCACTATCGTTATTCATAATTTTAAACCTCAAATAAATGAATAATTCTCAATAAAATAAATCCATATATTTTGATAAGCGGAACTCCTTTTTTTGAATTTACCTTGATAAATTTCATCTACAAAAAATTGTTAACAATGGACGAAGACACAAAACGGCTTAATGGATAGTTCTCATTTCAAAACGCTGATGAAAGAGCTCCGCTTCAACCAATGACCAGATGAGACGTTTACTCTTTCAAAAATCTAGGTGATGTTGGCGATCCTCACCGTTCATCGATAGGTGATTTCCTGGCAAAAAATCTCCCAGGTCTTACATACCCCTCGTGGTTATCCGCTCGCTCACAGAAAAAAATAGTCGACAAATTCTATGATTTTTACAAAATTTGCGATTTTTGGCGTTCATTTCAGCAGTGGAATAATGCTCTCAGCAGTCTTAGTAAATTAGGAAGTGTAATTTCCGAAATTAATGGAATTAAATGAAATAATTATAAAATTTTTATTTATTTATTTAATCATAAAATATAATTATAAACTTTCGAAAACACATAATTCCCAACTGCTCCCCTCGACTTTTATAATTAGTGTGGGATATTTTTTAGAAGAAAGCAGAAAAATGAGTACAAATAAATCCTCAGGACTTGCCTGACATTCCATGGTCGCACTACTTCCCGACATATTTAAGTCTACTACTCCTTTGCACCGCATGATCTTATAACCTTTATTTTCTCCCTTCTCTTGATCGTGCTAATTTTTTTGGCATAAGGGATAAAACGCCGCAAAGAGACGTCAAAAGCTCTTATAAGAGGATAATAAATACTGCTCTTATTATTATTATAAATGATTATTATAAATAACAAAATGAAGAATCATTTTGAAAGAATCAAATAGGACGGTACCATCAAATAAACCAGGCGACCAAAGTCTTCAACTCCTCCATTTCCCATTCCTCCTTCTTTCCCCCATTTTAGCCAACCTTTTTGTCAAAACTCTCTAAAGGAAATTACGTGCTCCAGAAAAAATTTTTAAAAATTTTGACACAGGCACAAAGCCACAACGGGAATGCGTATGCTGTCATTGCAACGACATTGCCACGCCTACTCAAAAATTTCTCTTTTTTCGAAATTTAATAAAATTTTAAAGCGAGGTGTATTTTGTGGGAAATTTGTAGTTAGGCAAAACTGGCGATGATCTGACCTTTTGACCTCTCGCAGTAGTAAGGTACCACCAGTTTTTTTTTAGATGTCTGACGAATTGTCAAAACGAGAATTATTTTCTTCGGAAGATGATGCCGATAATGATGATGAAGAATGTTCGACGTCGACCGATGAACGAGTAGAATTGCTTGATTATGAAAGAAATGTCATGCTTGACACGTTTTCCGATGATGTTCTCTTCATTTTGGCCAAGTCAGTCATTTCCTCCTCTGTAAATAGTTATATGAATTTGTTATAAATTATAGGCACTAAATAGGTTCATATTCACGCGTCTAATTGACATACGACTAATAAACCCATATTGTTGAGGAAAAGATGAGAATTAGGAAAAGCAGTGGGAGAAAAGCATTCAGTAAAAGCATCTTGCTGACGATGCCCACATAGCCGAAGAGTGCAAAAGTTTCTTATAGTAATTTTTTAGAGGATTAGGTTTAGAACGACTCGTTCTTCATCATCTACACTTATATTCGGATCCGAAATTACTCGTTTTTATTGTCAATACAACACCAGCTGACGAGGTTTTGCTTAATTTTTTCATCTCTTTGCTTATGATAAAAATTTGATAAAGAGCATTGCTGAGGAGTAAATAATTTTTGTGCTGGAAATCTATGTGCAGTCTTGAATGATTAGTCAGAGATCTCAGTCAGGTAGACTGTGCAACTTAACATCCTGAAAGAAGAACTGTTTATTTTGATTTTTCGTAGTCCTATCCTTTTTTAAAGAGAGGTCTTGCCCTGCTGGCTTGTCGCACATATAAATTTTTGCCAGAAAATCATCTGGCGACAATGTCGCAAAATCGCCAGCATTGCTCGGTTTTTACTTCCGCCAGAAGCAGAACCCCAGCATTAGTTCTTTCTATGCATTTATTCTATTTTTTCCATGTAATGTATTGCTTTATATTGCTTAAATGAGTTTAATTGAAGAAATTTTTGCAGTGTTACTTTATATCGAACTTAAAGGAGATCTCGAAGTCATGTTTGCCAAGAGTGATAAACTCAGATGTTTCGACGAAAGACAGGTTTGTCAAGTTTTAAAATAAATATTCAGGTTGGTGCATATATAAATTCTTGGTGTTTCGTTGCAAAATACGATTTACTGTTAGCGATTTTTCGCTGTTTTTTTCCTTCTCTTTAAATATTCTTTGTTGATTTATCAATTTTTTTTTTTGTTTCTCGTCTAGTTTGTGTGGTCCTTGGTAGAATACTGGACTGTTCTGTAAATTAAACTCATTTCAAAGCAAGACTCGCATTTTATTCTTGGATCTTTAATGTTTCTTATCAGAAAAGTTTCGATCACAACGTATCGATTAGATATATGTTAGATATATTTTAGAGAGATTTTGTATATGCAAGGTGGTATTCATTTTATAACATCTCGAATTTTAATGGTAGATTTATTACAAAACCGAGTACCCGTTAAGAATGTCGCTGGTATAATCGTTCATCATGCACATCAGTTAGTTTTTTATGTTTTCATCGATGAATATAACTCTCAAATTTGCTTATATTTATATTTGAATATTTGTCATTTTCTCGCATCTTGTTCTCCTGTTCATTGAAAATTTTCTAGATTATTGAGTGGATTTCAAGAATCATTTATTTTGCGGCTATATCGCGAAAAAAAAGCTGATGGTTTCGTTAAAGCATTCAGGTATGATTTATGTCGTTTTGGGTGAATCTTCTAGAATTTGTCCAAAAGTAGTAAAATTTCTATTTTGCAGCGATAATCCTAACGTGTTTACCTCCATCGGCGAACTTCAACGTTTAGTTAGCCGTTTGTATATTCGACGAGTAAGGCTTTTGCCTAGATTCGATGTTGATGTTAAGCGAGCTCTTGATCTTTATACCGTTAGTCCAATAAAATTTTGAATTTAAAATTTTAATCCCATTTTTAAAATTATTAAAAGTTGTTTGCAATTATTTTTTCAAGAATATTAAAAATATTTTTATTTATAATTGTTTACAAATTTTTATTTATAATTGTTTATTGTTATTTAAAAATTATTTATTTTTTATATTTATTGGGAAATTTTCGATCTGGCTCAATAATAATAAGCTGAATGTTTGGATATTTTAGCCAAAAATGATTGAAATGTGTTCTGATCTACCTCATTCAATGCGAAAAGTTCAGTCGGCATTGGTTGACATTATTAGAACATGTGTTAATGAACTGAAACAATGTTCAACTGGTTTTGATGTAAGTGTAAATACTATATTATGACTTGCATTTGCAATATTTGGTAGATTATTTGTTTATAGATAATAACCGAAGAAGAGAGCAGTCATCCTTCATCGGGTCTTAATCCTTCGATGCTGGAAATCCAACTTAAATGTCAACAATTCTCATTAACTGAAAAACAACAACGACTTTTAAATGACTTAAAGCAGTTAAGAAATCTTCTTTACCAGGTTGCCGATTTTCATGACTAATATGCCTAATATTTCCTTTTTGAAAGTTTTTTTCTATTTGAATTAAATCATAATAAAAAAAGGGAGAATTAAGTTTAACTAAATTTTAAAAGAGATATTTTTTTTAAAAACAAAAATCTGTTCGTTATAGGCTGAAGAATTGGATGCTGCAACACTTTATCGTAATTTATTAAATATTCGACGTGATAAAGATGTAAGTTATAATCCAATTTTTACCTTGAATTCTCTCTTCTTTAAATACTTTTAATGCTTTTTCCTTTATAAATCTTTATATTTCCTCTATATATATATATATATATATATATGATATTTCCTATATATATATATATGATATTTATGCCGTATATTTTCAGCTATTAACCAATAATAGTGGTTGGATCTTTACGCAAACTGCTTCGAAATTATTTATTGAAATCGAACAAATGTGTAATGTAAAAATTGATGATGAAATCACCCTATTAGGCAAATTGTTTTGATATTTTTTTCTTTCTGATTTAAAAATATGATTTTTATCTTAAACGTTGCATTAAACGTTTTTTTATTTTATTATCCTTGTAATTCTTATTCTTTTTAAATTTTTCATAGATTATCCAAAATGGTCTGCTTTAAAAAGTGTTTTGGAAGAAATACGAATTACTTATAAAGCACGACGAAAATCTAACTTATCCGGTACATATTTCACATTTCATTGGATTTAAATTTTCAGAAACAAAGATGAACTGAGGGCATTCATTTCATTTATTGTATAATATTGAGTTTTTTGAAACTGTTCAGTATTAATTTTAGTTTATTTTGGGGTGGTTTTTGACGGATAATAATTTTTCCTTAAGCAGATTGATAATTTGCAGATTCGCCAATTGTTCTTATCGGAGGTGGGCGCGAAGTATGTTTTCTTATCCGTGACCTTATTAAATGGGGACTGAAAAGATTTAAATGGGTTAAAAGGAGTCAGATAATTAGTGAATTGACAACCAAAAGCAATTCACGAGAGCCACAAGCAGAACCTTTGTGGGATCCCGATCGTGTTATTCTTTCTGTTTCAAGCTTAGAGGTATGGTTTATTGATTAAGAATTTGTCTATACAAAATCTAATTCAATTTTTCACAATTTCTTATTCTGACTAGTTTTGAATTTTCTTTGCTTAGAGACCATTTGGAATTATGTACAAGAAACTCTTAACAAAACAATTTCTTAAACGTCTGTTGCGACTATTTCTATTAAGAAGTCGGATATTATTATTAATAAAAATAAGAATTAAGAATGAGAATTTTGTGTCAACGAAAATTTTCGATAAGATTTTACAAATATGGATCCTTTGGAACTTAAAATTTAAAAAATTTCGATCTTTAGGATGAACAAAAAAATGATATTGTTACAACTGTGAAAGCAGATCAAAAATTAATTGTAAGGAGAGGACGAAAGCGTCGAAAGCTTATCGATGAAGAAATTTCTAAAAAAAGAGCCATAGATAACGGGCAAACTAGGCTGGTACAATTTGGAATCGTGCAGTATAAAAGGCTTAAAGAGGTTCGCAAATTTAATTTTTATCGGATTTTCAATAATCACCTATAAGGTGTGAGAATTGCAAAAGATATGAGGATTTAATTTATTTTGTGTCCTATTTTATGAAAAAATGATATCTAGGTTTTTTCATTTTTTTGTTAGTGGAACCATTTAACCTTATGAAACATCTTTTGTGTATGATTATTATTTCTTTAATATTTAATGCTATTTATAAAATTTATAAAAAGTTTATTTATTTATTTTAAAGAAATCCGAGGACATAACACCATGTCCAAATAATAAGCTGAGAAAAAATCACAACAATAAATTCGTTAGTTCATGATCTACTTATAAAGGAAGATAAAGGATAAAATAACAACCAATTTATAATAAATTAATAAATAAATTAATTAATAATTAATTAATAATTTCCCTTTTTTCCCTTTTTTTATTTTTGATTTCTTCATTTCTTCGCCTAATAAATTAATAAATAGTTAACTAGAACTATATCATTAACCTGTAATAAATATTGCTAAATAATATTGTGGATAGTAATATTTAGCCTTGCTTTAAGGATGCCCATATAACATCCATAAAATAGTTTATTCCGATATTTTATAGTAATAATAAAGAAATTATGACTTCTTAATTAAGTCTTATAGATAGGCTTCGATAATTTTAGCTCATTGGGATCTGGTAATATTCGAATTTTAATCCAAATAGGCATGACCATTTTGAATAGCTTCTGAGTGGGCAGAATCGTTCAGATGTAATCTTTTTCAAAAGTATCTTTGCAGTCTTGCAGTTAATCTTATCATTTTCAATCTCGTGGAGAGTACATTGTATTGGGCCAAATAAATTGTTTATAAATCTTGATAAGAAGGATTTTTTAACTATATTTCTAATTTTATTAGATTTTTCTAATTTTATTATTAGAAAGCAGAAACCAACTATAACAACGCTATAGCAGAACCAAACAGTAATGTCGAAGTAAGCGACGAAGGATCATGCAAGCAAACTGATGAACCACTGAAAGAAAGTGACCCACTTTTATTAATAATTCCTCATGGTGAAAAATATAGTATATTAAGACAGTTGAAATGCCTTGCGCCTAATTTTGTAATACTTTATCATTCGGATTTGACAACGCTTCGGTTACTGGAGGTGAATTTCTTTCTCTTTTGAATATTATTTTTCTACTGAAAAAATGATTAATCATATAAAATATATAAATTCCGGATACTAAATGGGTAAATTGTGTTTAATATTTATTGGATTCATCCATTTTCCGTTTCATTGAGTTTTTCCCTGTTTTCGCTTTTTTTATTTTTGATTTCTTCATTTCTTCGCCTACTTTTTTCATTTTTAATTTTTTCTGATAGATTTATAAAGCGTGTAACGTTGATCATGACTTATTTATTTATGTATTAATGTATCGCGAATCTAATGAAGAAGAACGATATCTTTATTCTCTTCGAAATGAACAACTTGCTTTCGAACAACTTGTGCGAGAACAAGGGGTAATATTTTTTGATTAAAGTGCAATGTTCGACAAATTCAGTTAAATCCTACGGCTAACATAGCTCATCGAATTTTAATATATGAGCAAATAAAATATTCTATTTTTTTATAGCCATATTTTTTTAAAAGTCTTGTTTTAAAAGCCAAATTTTTAAATAAAATAGTTTCTTCAATAACTTTTTCCTGTTTTTTTCATATTTTCCATAAAGTTTTAAGTCATTATTAATTCCACGAGAATATGACACAGCTCGAGAGACTACCAATTGTTTAAATTTGGCTAAATCATCGCGTAATGCTGGTGGTCGTATTGAGCCAGAAGAATCTGAAAATCCGAAGGTTGATTTTTCATTTATAAATGCGCATCATAGCTAAAATATGAATGATCTATTTAAGAAAGAAAATATCAAATCAGATGACTATATATTCTTAACATAGCAGATATAAAGCCCTTGAACGAAAGACCATACTTTATTCAACATAAGATTTGGCCAGTAATTATAATTCTTCACATATCATATAATAGATATAAATACTATTTATGATAAAAAAATTGATAAGTGTGCTTGTTTTAAAGATAGTCTCATTTTAATTGTACCATTCCTCTTTTATCTATTTTATCATATTAGAAAAAGCACCGTTTAATTTTTAGGTTTTTTTCACTTATTCGTCGCTACATTCTTTTATAAGTTACTTTTATTTATATTTTTATTTATGCAGATAATTATTGATATGAGAGAATTCAACTGTGAACTGCCAACAATTCTATATAAACGAGGTATAGATCTAGTGCCTGCAACACTTGAAGTGGGTGATTATATTCTCGCACCTGATGTTGCAGTTGAAAGAAAAGCATTAGATGATCTCGTTCAATCTCTTCATAGCGGCCGCATATTCAAACAAATAGAGCAAGTAAATTTTAATTAAATTTACAATATTTAAAGCATTAATTTTTGCTGGATATTTATGATTATTAATTATAGATGCTGCGGCATTATGAAAATGTCATTTTGCTCATAGAATCAAATAAAAGAGACAATTTTCGAAAAATAACGGGTGGACCCTTTCAGGTCTTATAAATTTTATTCCCATCTTATTTTTTCGTTTTCAAATTACATTTGAAAGTGTGAAACAGCGTTTTATTTAACAGAAACTGCAAGGAAAAAAGCAAATTCCAGTAATAAGGGAAATATAAAAGGAAAGAAAACCAGTTTTTTATTAGCTTTTTTTCTCAGGGCGAATTGAGTCGTAGGTGCCGAGAAACTCGTGGGCTATTCACGATATTAGTACGAACTTATCCCCAGTTGAATGTTGTTTGGACGATGGACCCTACTAACTCTGCCGAGATGTTTGAAGAATTTAAGGTATTATAGATATTATAGATATTTAAGGCAGTCTATTAAATTTATTTATGATAGAGATTCATTTTCAGTTGAATAAGTTGAATCCAGATGTTAATAAAGCTATTGCGCTTAGAAGCGATGTGGAGAATATCGTAATAACGGAAGCAACGGGTACTTTCCTTTTCGTGAATCAATGAAAATAATTTTAAAAATTTGTATTTAAAAAAATTTACTATTAAAAACTGTCGTCATTTATTTTTAGGAAAAGAACAGTGTATTGAAAATTTGCCAAAAGTTAAACGTTTTAATTCTGTTCTTCAACGGCAATTAGCTCGCCTACCATCAATGAATATGAATGATGTTGTACGTTTGATGAGCTCGGATAAAGTGAACTGCCTCTTGGATATTATTAATGCAGATATGGAAAAGATATTCGATATTACGAATAATGAAACTCAAGCAGCCACATTGTACAAATTTTTTAGTACGGATTTTAGGGAAGAAGGCGTTTGATTTTTTTCTTCTCATTCTCTATACGTGTATATAGGACAAATAATTATTATATTGCTATTATTAAAATATTGATTGTAGAGTTTCTGTTTGCATAATTTTTTGATTTTATCAGTTTTTCTTATTAAGTTTTAAAATTCAGCGATAATTCATTTTAAAACTAAATTTTTTTTCCTTTTTATGTCTATTTTCTTGTGAAAATTTCTCTATAATTATTTTTATAATTTGAATTGTGAATTCATTATTAAATTTGAATTCTTATAAATAGCAATTAAATTTTTAAATTTAAATTAAAACTTAATTTTATTTGAAATTCTAATCGTTTAAAGGGAATAAATATGGAATTACTCTTTCCAATATTTCATTGTCATGCAATTTCATTCTTTTGCTTGAAATTGCGTGATTTATAATTATAATTAATAATTAGAATTCAGCATTTCGAAATGAGCTTTTGCCAGTTGTTTTGTCTTTCATGAAAATATGATATGATATAGTATATAGTATTTTTTTAATATTTTCGTTTGAAATTCGGAAGTATTTCTTAAATTGAGTTCTTTTCAAGGATTGTAGGAGTAGAATAATATTACAATTGTGTTTGAATATAATGCGATTCCCATCTCGTAATAGGTTTGAAATTGGTGAATTTTATATTTAAAAATCGACTAATTTACTTTTAAATTCAAGATTTTTTATTAAAAATATTATTTTCCATATTGTCGTTATTTTTATTATTTTTTCGATTATTGCGAATTTAAAGCAAAATTGATTATTAATTAATTTAAATTAACCAAATTATCAATTAAAGTATTTTTCATTCTTTCACTACTTCAATATTTTTCAATATTTTTCACTACTTTAGAGTAAACGATATTTTAGTTAAATATATATTTATAGTCACTGGAAACAGTTTCAAGAAAATAAACGGGGTTCATCTCATAATTAAATTTAAATGAATAACGATATACCATAAATCTTTTGCATAACCTAATAATATTAGAAACACTCTTTGGCCTCTTTCCAGCGGTTTGAACCATTTTTAAAACTTGGTCGGCTGCTGTGGTCCGATGCCATCCCTAGTTTCGTAAATCGCCGATTCCGAATATTCCTTTAAAATCGCGCCTAATCGCATTTTTTATTTTCGTAGGAAATAAAAAATGTTTCATTTAACTTCCTGCACGTCACATAACGTATGAGAAATTGAGAAAAGAAAAAACAATGTGCGCAATTTCCCGTTGACTGCATGGATTCGTTATAATTTCTGGACAGAGCGGCTTTAGCGAAGCCTTACAAAGCGAATAACTTTTTTTCATTTTCGTTTGACATTTTAATTGAATTGTCCATCATAAATACTAAATATAATTGAATTTTTCAAGGAAAGAGAAAGTTTTCTGATTTTATTTAAGTTTTCTGATTCGTATTTTTCGTTGTCATTCATTCCTAATAACATTTTTACTTCGCCGTGTTTTTCGAAGAACACTCACTCACTCATTCTTGAATTTCGCTAGTTTCTCGGACCAGACGAATTTCCTTATTATCAGCAATCAGCGGTGGAATGCAAGCGTGGTCGCCAGTAATCAGCCAGCCGGGTTTACTCCCACCGAGAATAGAACCTCAACATCTGCGCCCCGAAACGAGGGCAATAATCCGCTAAACCGCTCCACCGCGATGTAATATCATATTTCTTATTTGATATATTCAATTCATATTTGATATATTTATCGAAAATTTATCAATTCATATTTTATTGCTAAATAAATCGACGAAATTTTGTCGTGAATAAATAAATAAATAATTCATTCATTCATCTGTTGATACTATGAGAAACTTTTATTTCCTTTTATCGTAAATTCCAAAGTTAATTAAATTGCTTAATAAACTGCGAATTGCTGTTGAAGAAAAGGAGAAGAGTGAACATAAATTACAATTGCATGGCTTCTAAACCACTGGCTTTGCAACGAAAGAGAAACACGAGCCTGGGAAGCGATTCATTATAAAGTTGTTTTGAGAATAAAGTAGCAAAATGCGTAATATTAGAATTATTAAATAGTTTGCGTAGTAAAAAGCTTGGACACTCGAAGTACTTAAAGGAAGCTTTCAGCAAATTAGATTTTCTCGCTTCGAATAAAAAATTTTTTTAAAAAACAGCGTAGTCGCTTGGTGCTGAAATGAAAAGTCAAGTCCGTGCTCGCAGAGTTAAAGTTATGCTGGAAATGAAGCAATAGTGCGAGGGGAGGGGGGGGGGGGGGGGGGGGGGGATGGGGCACACACATCTATCTTCATAGTGTGATTGGATCTTCCCGCATTAGATCTAGTACAAATCAAAAACGGTGAGCTCTATTCGAAGACAGAGAACGCAATAAGCGGGTTGATGGATTAAGATAATATTTATGCTAAATAATATTATGGATAATTCTACTAAATTCATCATAACTATATATTGCTGCTAAAATTAGATTAAACTGTTGGATTAAACTGGTGCATTTAAATATGAAATCATTGTCGATTAAGTACTATAAGACTTTTTTGCTCTATTCCTGCTTATTTTAAGGCGATGAAGTCTTCCATTTTATTGGAATTTCAAAACTGGAATCCGGAAGAAAACAAAATTCACTAATTTGAACTCTGTGGAAACAAAGTTTAGTTTGAAAAGAGAATTCGAAAACTGAATGGGAACCGTGTTAAGTTCGGGAAATCGACGAAAGTTTTCAGATAGTGGTTCTTCTAAACTTGACAATCCTTTCGAACAATTATTTACCAAAAAGGAACGAGTTTATCTTCGACAAGCATTTAAGGTTATTTCTAATGTATGATAGATTTTCGTATTATCATGAGATTATCACGAAATATACTTTTAAAAAAAAACGTCAAGCAAAGTAAACCCTGACTTAGGTGGTATTTTTTGTTGGGAAAAGCCCGGAGTCCACCAAATCCAGTCATAATAAAGCAAAATACAATTGCACTTTTTCAAGTTATACAATTATGTAATCCTTAAAATCCGAAAGAGAGTATTCTAAACCAATGGTCCAATGGAAATTTTCTCGCGAAGCCCTCCAGATAAAGTCAATTCATATAAAATCATATAAATCCAAGGATTATAGAATTTTTGAAATTTTTAAATATTGTTGAATTCTTCCACCTTAATGAATATAATAAATATCTTGAATATTTTGAATGAAAATAATAAATTTCAAAAATAAAATAATCACTAAAATAAAATAACTATAAAATAATCACTAAAAAATGATTTGTAAATAATCAGATAAAATACGAATTAGGCCACCACGCATCTTTTTAGAATTGTCCAAAAGCCCTGGGTGATCCGCACAGGTCTATTCGACAGTTAACGATGGTCTTGAAAAGTTAAATCGGTGATTTTTTGTTGATTTTAAAATGATTTTAGAATATTTCCGATCCAAAAGAAGTGATAGGTAATATATTTATTGAAATAATCAATGAAGCACCCACTGAAATAAAACGGGTAAATCTCAATTTCATTAAATTTTAATAAAAAATTAATAAAAATTCATTCATTTTTTCTTATTTATATTTTTGATAATTAAATTATGAATAATACTCTCATAATTTCCTCAAATTTCAATAATAAAATTTAATAAATTTTATAATTTAATAAAAATTTAACAAAATTAACGTTCGATTTGCAGATTCATGAAAAAGAAAATACGAAAATAACTTGAAAAACTGAAAAATTTTTAGGTATTTGGAGTTGAACGAGCGCCAAAAGTCGAAATGCTTCGAATGCCAATCTTAGGAAGCCATGTTGCGAAATTCACCGACTTCTTGGATCAAGTATTTCTAGCTTAGTTTTCAAAACTTCTGATCTGTTGATTTGTTGTTGATAATCGTTGCCTTGATTTTTTTAATAATTGGCGCACTAATCGCTAAGATGAGATCTTTTCAACAGCCATTTCAAAGTAAAAATGTAGGTTATATGTGGCATTCGAAGATCAACCGGCCTGGAAATGCCTTACGCTTGTTGCCAGTGCAACTAGCCTAGCCAGTAATGAGAGTTAGAAGAAGAGGAAGTGTAAAGCACTTCCACAATCGACTAATTAAATAAAGAGCAACTCAGTGGGTTCAGTTCGGAGGCCGCTGCTAAGGTTCTATTCCCCGTATGAGTTCATCTGTCGAAAAATCATCCGGGTGATGGTAATTCACCTGTACTTCTATCGCCAATGGACTCCCTGGAATGTTTGTCTACTGCGACAAGCCAGCGGAACCAGTAACCAGTAATGATGAGGGATCTTCAAAAAAGTTAAATAAAGGAAATCAAACTTCTAAATTTTTTTTTTCTTCCAAATTTTAGTTTTGAAACAAAGTTCTAAAGATCAATTGAAAGATTACAATTACACATTTTAATTTTTAACTTTTTAAAGTAATTTTTTACTTGGCTCGCCTTACGATTAGACTAAATCATTCCCAAGCCTCTCTATATTCGATTTTCGAAAGTAAAACCACTGAATAACTGAAGCCACTCGTTTTTCCATTATTTAATCGTAATTCATAATTCTTAATATTAGAAAAAAACGCAATCGTCGCAAATATAAAAATAATTCTGGATTCCTATTTTTTTCTATCATTCTCGGAATTTGGCTTTTACTATTTCCATATTTGTCGTCGTTAATCTGAAATTAAATATGGTATTTTTGAAATTTTAAAGATAACAACTATGCTTGGATATACACAAAATTCGCTAGGAGCTTTCTTATTGGTTCGAAAAACGGGTCGAAATCACACAAGAAATAACTTCCTCGAGGAAAATCAAAACGATGAAAATAACTTTTTCAGTTTTATAGGGAAGAAATTCGTCGAAGAATTTGTAAAATATTTAAATACTGAAGAGGTTTATCCTTTATTCGATATCAAGAAGTAAAAGTAAAATCTAAATTATTTACTTAATAACTAATACATCTGAATTCATCCTTTATTCTTTGATTATAACGACTGTTGTATTCAAAAAACAAGGATAATCTGTTAAGGTAATTATCACCTCGTCACTAATATTTTAATGAACATGTAACATGAAAAATTAAAATTAATATTATTTAATATATTTAAAATTAATTAAGACTATCACTATAAGCTATCAAATCAGAAAATATCTTTTAGCGAAGACCAACTCAGCCAGAAAATAAGAAAAAAAACCATCAAACATATTACAGGACGAGAAAAATGAAGAAAAAATAAGATTTGCAAGCCTTTCACCAACGATGACAACCGAATTATGGAACAGATTTTTTGATATAATTATAGCTCAAATATCGACAGCGTTCAATGAAGAACGCGAGAACCATATTAATACAATGATGCAGATGAAACTTGCGCCGCATCAACATATCGAAGAAAACGTACGGAAAGAAAAGTTAATAAAGGTAACTGGTAACTTCCAAGTCAGAACTTAAAAACTTAAAAACTTTTCTCTTTTTCAAATTCTTGTCAAGCTAACGCAAAAAATGAAAAAACAAACAAATGTTTTAAGGAAAAGATGAACGAAATCAACAGTGCAGCAACAACAATAGAAAAAAAGGAAGAACTATTCGAAGATCCATTTTAAAAAGAAATAGAAATTGGTCTTGTTCATGATTCTTCCATTACAACATTCTATTCTGATACTTTTATCTTTATGTGGTCTCCTTTTGATGAGTTCAAAAAACTCTAAAAAATACGATCTTTAATTAGCATAAAACAGTCAAATTCTAATAATGTATTATATTTTGTAATAATGTATTATAAATATTATATTTTTACTGACATTATTAAAGAGCTTTTAAATATCAAAAATCAAAATAAATTATTTAAAATAAAATCAGTATAAAATCTATAATCATTTAAGACCAGAAAAATAAAAAATGAAAGAAAATGAGAATAAGTCTTATAAATTGCTCTCTAGTTGTATCTCACAGTTGTATCAAATTGAAATAGAAATATAAAAATTCACATCCCACACATTTCTTCAACCGCTCTTTCAGGCCCATTCTAACTATAGACTGATAAAACATAATTCTAAAAAAATGGAGCGATAGAAATATCAGTGATGATCCGTCCCATAAAAAGTTAAACATAAAAAAGTCATAGTGAAAATAAAACCACATGTTCTTGATCAAAGAATCATAACAAAAACATTACGAGAAAAAGAAAAATATAAAAACTATCAGATATGCACATCATATATTTTCGATGCAATTCATTTCAATAGCCAATGGCAAAACTATTCAAATATTTTGTGAGGGATAAACAGATTGTTCTGTTGAATTTGTTCTTTTCAACATCTAAAAATATATGAGTGAACATCGATGTAATGGTTTTTTGCCAACTTTCACTCAAAACATAGCGAATTAAAAAAAAATTAGTAAATGAAATTAAAAGAAAATAACCGAGAAAAAAGCCCATTTTGAAATATAATTGCTAAGCTCTTGTGCATTGTTCCATTTGCACCGCAGATAGCCGTATAAATTAGCAGTGGTCATCGCCATTCCCATTAATGCAACAATCATCCATTCCCATTTGAAAGTAAGAAAAGCTATTGTTGCAAAAATTGACCACATAACAGGCGCAATTACTAGAACACCCCAAAATATTTGACGCTCAAACGCATCAAATCGATTCGTATCCTAGAAAAAGCGCCATTTTCATCATTAAATATTGAATTATTTATATGATTGGAAACTAACAAATCCAACAAAATTTCACCTTAGCAGATTCAAATCTCCAATGATTTTTGCCATCATTGTCAACAAAATTCCACCAACGTAGACCAACCAACAAACGACCAGTAATATTTTTTACTGTCCAAAAATCAAACGACAAAAGAAACAACTAAAAAATAGCTATTATAAAATAAATTCAAACCAATCCGGAATAAAATGAAATCAAATGTAGACAGATTTCACATCTCTCTTTACAGTTTTTTTGGAAATAATATTCACAACTAATTGTTCTAATAAAAACAAAAAAACGCCCTTAGACTAGATAGATGTCTTTACACGAAAAAAGTAGATCAAGCATCTTAGGACTATTAAATGATAAAATGAATTTAAAAAATTTAAAGCCAAATTTATATCTATGATCTAAGCTGATGTAAACATATAAGATTTATGAAGACTTCGATATAATTTGAGTGGCTGCAGTTTTTTTCGACTTACAATAACCAGAAATTGTATGATGAATGAATCCGTAAATAAATAGGCAGATAGATAGAACAGAATTGCCGCTAACCGAAATACGATATGTGATATCACGATCGACGGATGCCTAAATAAAATGAAATGAAAAATAAAAAATCTAAACTGAATCAAACACTTGAAATTTCCATTGAGTGACATTCGTTTCTTTTTTCAAAGCGCAGCTCAAAATCACTGAAATTCAAATAAATTCAGTTCTACAAAAAAATCAAGGACAAATGGTTGAAAAGATGTAGAAACTATTGACCTGAATCGCGGAAATCCACTTGAGCTTCGATTATTTAAATCAACATTTATTGCGGAATCAAAATTGGCTGCCATTTAAAATGATCTATATATTTATAATCTACAACAAAAATTTTTCGCTAAAAAACTTTTTAAACAAGGCAAATTAAGCTAATATATACTAATTTATCCAGTTAAAGTTAAAAAAATAATGCAAAACACGAAAATATTTGCAATTGCAACCTCTTCTCATAGATAAATATGCATTCTAATAAAAAAAGAACGGAAATAAACGAATCATAAGAAACATCAGTGTCACAAATGTTCAAACCCATAATTTAAAAAATTTATTAAGAATCATAATGATAATAATGTAATAATGAAAAAAATGAACAAGAAATAACGAGATAAAACAAGCATAAATGAATTCACAAAATATCAATAATTGTAATGAATACAAATTATCCTAATTAATTCGCTAACAAGATAGGTAGTTCATCACGTTGACACCGAAGACGAAGTCCTTTCTCAGTCATTGCATCAAGTGTATTTTCAAATTCACCAGATTCAACGCCACATTTGACGAAGTCCATAATCAATGAACGAGACCAAGGACAGCTGGCATATGCCAAAAAGAAAATCTAAAATAACTCCCATTAGAAATTCTGAAACTATATTATTCACAGCTTTTTTATTACTACATTAAATATTCGAGAAAAACTTTAAATTTTGCGAGCACTTGATAGTCGATTTTAGTCGATTTTACCTGCTTCGCTCGTTTTTTATCGCCCCTTTCCATTTCGATAAAAAGTTGTATACGCCAAAATGAATCATCTTTATGAGATATCCTAGCACTTGAATTCACAAGCACTGAGCGCAGCTTATGCAACTCTGGAGAATTGTTTTCGACCTGCTCTAATAAAATTCTATATCGAAGAAATTCAAGATAAACTGCTCCAAATGCTCGACAATAATCGATAACTGGATCTAAAAAATTATTTCATTAAATTTATTACCAATTACCAATTAATAAATTAATATATCTCATATTATGCAACAATATTAAAACAATAAAAAAACTCATAAAAAGCAGGAACTAACCAGAAACTTTTTCTTCCAAAAATCTTCGCAAATGAATGAGACGAAGTCCAAAAGCATTCAAATCTATATATTTTTTGAGGACTTCAATATTTAAAGGGAAACTGAAGACGGCATTTTTTAATTCAACACGTAAAGTCTTTTGCGACACATAAGGATGATCACGAATGTAATTGAAGATTAAATCCAAATAAACCTTCTAAATGAATAAAAATATGAAAAATAAAATAAAAAGGATGTTGCAGCCGCAATCAAAAAAAGGAAATGAAATGAACTCAATGAGAAAAAAGGATGAAATGGATAAAAAATACGTTCTTAACCAACCATGAACCTAGGACGTTCGCTGTAAGGAATTTGTTTCGACACATCTCGACTTATTCGAATCAATGACTCAAAACGTTGTTGCTCTGATGCCGAATAATACGCGTAAAGCATTGCCATAGTTGTTACAAAATCTAAAACCGATCCTTCCCAATTTGAAATTCTTTTCTTTGAATAGTTTATAATACGAAGATTAAATTTTCCTTCTACGAATCGATAATTATTGGTCTGCAAAATATAATACAAAATCATAATATAATATAGAAATAATAATACATTCCATGAAAATGAGAAAATGGAAAAGTTTGTTGGCTTTTTTCAAAATCATTTTCAGGCATATATCATATTAATAATATGAAATTGGAAATATGCATACTTGTCGCTCATCTTGTTCATCAATTTTCCCATGAACAACGATATTTTCCAGTATATCAGAACGTTCAGTCTCATCACATGCGAGAACATGAGAAACAGCCAAGCGAAGCATTGATATCAAATATGGTTCATGTTCAGGCAACCAAATATTTGGCCTTTCAGAGTAAAATTTCTTTGCAATCGTTTTCACTTGAGCAAAATCGCGCAATTCAAGCATCTAAACTTTGAAAAACTTATTTGAACTCAAATTTCGAAAAAATATCTAGACTTAAAAATATCTAAATATCATCACAGAAAATGGACCTTTTCAGCAAATGTCGCCATAAGAGATAAATTTGCCACGTTATTATTTTTTGCAGCAATTGTTTTGGCTACAGATCGGAAATTTTTTAATTTTGCTTTTTCACTGAATTCATCATTATTTTTTATATACTCAAAAGCTCTGAAATGAGCGAAATTCAGTTGAAAAAGAGTACAATAAATTGAAAATGGCTTAAAAAGCCTAAAATTGTAAATATGGAGATTAGTCTTCTTCCTCACTTCAGGTCTTGAGTGCTTATTAAAGACGGCTCCGAAATGTATTTTAAGTTTATGTTTCTTTTTTACCGTCTTTTATTTTTCTTCCAAAATCTTAAATCTTATCTGTTTTCGACAGTAGTAAACCTGTCATGATATCAAAAATCCGAGTGGTTACTGAAGGCCTGCAATTCTAAATTTAATCCTCAAAAAGCTCTGTGCTGAGCCTACTTTTAATGGGGATACTCTAGCCGATGATAGGTATAATAAGTATGCAATCTGGGCATAGTAAAAAATCCTAAAGCTTGAGAATAAGATGCACTCGAGAGAAACAGGCAATTCGTAATAACCCGTCGGCTCTCTGAACGTGTGGTGATTAGCAATAACAGAATAGAATATATTTATGGAAACTGCAAGCAAAGCGATTATTGCCCATATTTTCTAAATTCTTTATTCATGTGGACATCGGTTGTGGGGGTCCATCTTCTTAGGGTCTCGAGCAATTATTATTAAGAAGATACTGACTCATTCCGGCGTATCGGATTTAGAACGAAATAACGTATTGATTGCCATAACTAAAATGTTATGTCGCGTTTGATTAAAGGCGGGACCGTATGGTCTAAGCCTGCTTCAAAGGGAAGTTTCCACAATTATATGTTCCAACTTTATGCGTAAACGACCACGACAAAGATAAAGGCAATGGAAAAGGATTTGTTCGCTTTGTTGAAGAGACTTTTAATACCAGTATATGCTTAGACTTCCAAAAAGACCTAGTTACGTGGAACTCCTCGGATAACCAATATTGCCACCAAACTGAATTGGAAGAATTCCGTGCTAGACAGTAGTTCCTATAATAATGATGAAACTGGATCCTCATAGATCAAACAATGTTATGTTTCGAGCCAAAATCCGCATAAAATCGACTTAAAACTAAAAGATTCGAGGAAAGTAAGAGCATTTCAAGAGCAATTCACTTAAATCATGTAAATAACGACATCTCTCGAAGGACAAATGAATACTAGTCCCAATTTAATACATGCCTCAGCCACCAAGCTAAGATATACTAATAGTGAATACGTTAGTCGGCTATCGGAAACAATTGTCAAGCAACTTTCCAACTGAAAAAGCTATCAAAAGATGTTAGGAGATTCTGACTATCGAGCACTTCGAAGAATTACAACATGGCTAGACAGAAATAGTTATTGAATGGAGCGATATGGCCTTGATATGGCTTTCCGAATTGACAATAGAAAACCATCCAACCTTCATCATACAACTATAACTCTAGGAACAGCCAGTAAAATGATACGGAATAGTAATTACCTGTCTATTAAGGATAATAAGGCCGAACGAATTTTTTGAGGCCTAAATATGAACCGTCTGTTGTTCCGAACATAGCTGAATTACTCTTCAAGCCATATGTTTGTAACTGCGAACCGCCTACAGAATAAAAAATAATCTCTATTATCTATAAGCTTAAGGCCAATAAAATACAGGAAAAGATGGTTTTCGGGCTGAACACTTCAAATGTTATGTCCATCATCCTTCAACAAATGACTCTCTGGTGGGGAAGAAAGAAATAATACCAGATGACTGGAGTGAAACAATTCCCTGTCCCTAATTTCCGAGAAAGGTTACAAGACATAACGGATAATTATCCAGGAATCAAGATATTAGACACCATCAGAGAAATTTTCGCTACCCTCCTTCTGAATAGATTTATGGCATTACGAGACGGCAGAATGCACTCTAACTAAGATGGATTCAAACCAAGATAAGGTTGTGCTGACAAGATATCCAAGTTAAGAAAGAACATCGCTTCAAATATCCCACCATTCGGCACAACCCATCATCACTTTCATCGATTTGCAGCTGCCTTTGATTCATTTGACAGAACGGCCTTTTGGAGAGTGATAGAATGTGAGGGCGTTGGAGAAACGATCAATCGACTCATAAAGGTATTTTACCATACTACATCGGAATAGGTTTGTGCACATGGGGAATTAACAAATTCTTTCGATATAAAACTGTTGAATCATTTCCCACGCAATATTCAACTATACGATAGACTGGATATCTGGAGCATAATATCACAGACCTTGAATATTGATGATGTAGTTTTTGCTTTTGAATTATAACAATGCATCTAAAAAATGTCGGATCGAATAACTTATCTTACTCTTGTAGTCAACCTAATAAGTGATTCAGAAGAAGAAAAAAATTGCAAAAGAAGATCGATTATGATCTAGAAAGTTGTAGAAAAAAAAACTGACGTAATAAGCTGGGATGAAAGTAGAAGATTTCGATGCTCTGGAACATAAACTAATAAAATTTCGAAAAAACGATCAAGAAATTTTTCAAAATTATGGAGACGATTATTAGTAATCCATGGAAATATTACAAACTTCGTCACAATGCTCAACGATGATAACATTTCCTGAAAATAGAATTATTTTTGAAAAGTATAAAGCGAATAAAATGCCTTAAAAGCCCTAATATTGCAAGATACAAAAAATACTTGTCCATAAATATGAGCACCAAAATCCTCCAAAATTTTGAACAACATATTGGTAGCAACAGGGCGATTAAATACAATTAATACATCGCGAATGTCGTCAAAAGTCACTATTCGTTCCATATCATCAATCTGAGAATAATTTTAAGGAAATAATGAAAATGGCAACGCTAAAAAAAAAATTTTATGCTAATTCAAAAGCTTACTTCGCAAGTTAAATCTCTAACAGGTCGCCATAGTCGTTCTGAACGCAATTTTTCAAGTTCATACCAAATTTTTTGGTAAGGCCAGGAAGAACCATGAGGACCAGCTAACTTACAAAGATCTTCTTCTGCCTTTTCATATTCTTTTAATTCACTTTTAAATTCTTCTTGATCGGTCAGTGGATCTTCCAAAGTAGGTAGCGATTTCTCCCATCCTTAAATACTTCTTCTTAATATTTCTTCTTAATTAAAGATAAATACATAAAAAATTCAAGCATTCAAATTAAAATCCACTGAAAGATTGAAAGCACCTAAGATAGAATAAAAAAAATTCATGAGCTGGAAACCTAATAATTTAACTGAAAGAAAAAGCTTTCCAGTGATTTAAGAAAAAAATTACTTACCACTCGAATTTAAATCGCCAAGACGGGCGATGCCACTATCCCAAAATCTCTCAAACATTTTCCTCTTAATATCTATCGAGGCAGTTTTGTAAGACTGTGGCATACAAAAATTGAATTCGACTATGGCTTGAGCTGTTGCAATTGCCTATAGAATACTTTCAATACAAGAAAAAGAAATTTCATTCTCTCAGACAGAAATATAGTACTATAAATTTAAATATTATATATATATATATTAATTTCAACGAACTAAAGGCATTAGAATGAAGTAAAAATTGTTCTATAAAATTAAAACGAACTTATGAATCCACTAATTTAAAATGTTTCTTGTAAATGTTTCTTGTAAAATGTAAAATATTTTTAAAATTTAAAATATAATTTAAAATATGGGATTCTCTGTAAGCATATTAATTAATCACTTTCTCTATATATCCAGTGTTAATAAAAGTTCGTATACGACGGCGAACAACTGTAACAATAAATTCTTCAGTTTTTGGAAGAAGAGGATGCGTGCATAATTCACCTGATATAAGTTGTCCCAACTTTTCTAAGCACTTTCTCATTTTTGCAAGCTGGAAAAATATTTATATATTTGTAAATATTTATGTAAATAATCGTAATTTCAGCATATTTCCGAAGAGCCAGCAAAAGTATTTTAAAAAATTTTGAAAGCAATATGTAACAATAAACTATGGCTGCTTCTTTATTAATTGCTATTTATTTATTAAACGATTATAAAATTTAAAAAAAATAATAAAACAAATTAAACACCAACTAGTAAGTTCAATTTGAACCTTCTTGTATCACTTTCGATTAGATCAAGAACACCTTCCCACATCAAAGGATCGTTAACATGATTAAATTCAACCTGCAATATAAAAATGTAGTGATTAGATCAATCCACGTTCCAATTTTTTCTGAAATATGTAGTTTGCGAAAAAATATAAAAGGAAATTGAACAAAAAAACCAGCAATTAACTAAATAAAAGCAAAAAGGAAAAGTCAAAATAGTAAAGATAACGTACAAATTCCAATTCTCTTTCAAAAGTTTCATCATCCCACAGTACACGGCCAACTCGAAGACGTTCGATTTTCAGTTTAACTGAGTCAAAATTGATGGAGATCGCCTAAAATAAAATTTAAAAGTTACAATGAATGAAAAGAGTCAAAAAGCTTGAAAATAATACGTGGAAAAATGTAAAATCTAATTAATCTAAATCTAAAAAATTTAATTAAAAAGAACAATTTTAATTTATAATTTAAAAATAAAGTAACAAAAATAAAGTAACAAAACAAAATGAATAATTCTCAATTTATTTAAAATTATAAATAAACTGATTTAAAACTTTATCGAGAATAGATAGTTTTCGATCAAGAAGATCATGATCTGTTAAACGTTCTTTTCTGCTACGTCGATCAATCATTGGATCTCTCTGAGCCATATATACATCATCCTAGAAGTTTTTAAAATTTTAGCAAAAACAAGGGAGAAAATTTTCCTCTGATAAATGTGGATCATATATCAGATATCGTATACAATTTAATGCAAATTTCGCTACAGGCCAAAAGTAAAAAAATCAATTAAAATGTAAATTATTCAAAGAACATTTAAAACTAAATTTCCTTGTCCAAATATTCGAGATATTTGTTAGACCTCATTTAGAATATGGTATGGTCCTCTATCCTATGTAATGCAAAATACAATCAATTTAGATTCCTTGAAAATTAAAGAAGAAAACTAGACCTGATGTATAAATATAAAATCATATTTGGTAGTGTAAATCGTGTTAAATATTACGATTTTAGCTTTTAATTTCTCAATATAAATGAAAAATGAAAAAATAGGCTAAAGCCACTTAAACGTGTTCAAAACTATGTTCTATGAAACAATTCTTTCATATGTGCGATAAATTATTAGAATAAATTTGCTTGTGAAGCAGTGCTAGCAGTGCACAATCAATTTTAAGAGAAAATAATTTAAGCTCCTCCGCTCTTTCATATATTTTTTATATTACTTTTTTCATCTATTAATTATTATTTCAGTTTTTCTCTACTACTTATCATTCACCAATAATATTTTCAATTTCTGTTTTATTAATGATTCACCTATCATCCTATCATCATCATTTTATATATTGCTATTACTTAACCATGATAATTGCTGATCGTCCTGCTTGGTAATTTTCAAATTATATTGTTCTATTTTCACATTAAAAAAAAAAACTATATTAAACCTGAAGAGAGACGAATTTCATCCATAGGTCAACATTATATTTGTCTTGACCAAGTTGTGTATTACATAAGGAACTTTGTGTTTGAGGATCATCTTCAATGAGAGAGGCTGCTCCTTCAACAGCTTTAAATTTATCCGGATTTATTTTTCCCGAATCATCCTAGAACTTACGAAATATTTTAAAAAATAATGATATCTGCTAAATGCCAATCGAAATGCCAACAATCGAATTCGGTGATTTCTTGGCAAATATTAACTTAAGAAAACCTTATTAAGTTATGACTTTGCTATCAGCTTGGCAAAGCGTGATACACGGTAGTATGATAATCTAAATAAACAACTATTTGCTTCTTCTATCGTTATCGATAATTAATTCATTGCTCATTCAACAAAAGATTAATTAATATTTATCTTCATTTGGTCAAAGATTTCTAATTCTATCGATAGGAAAAATTTCTAATAGTCAACGCAACAAGCTTAACAAAAAACGATGGGTGATATTTATTTTCATTATCGTGCAAAATATAGAAAATAAAAAGTTTAAAAGAATTTTGTAATCATTCTTTACGTAAATTAGAAACAGAAATCGCCATAAGCCGAACTTGTAAGTCGCTCTCTGTTAAAGCGAATGTTGATAACTGTAAAAATCCGGACACAGTTTCTAAACCTTTCTTTCTCCACAAACGTTCTGGATTGTCACTCCACGATTTACGAACTTTTTCATGAAAGTATCGAATTACTATATCTTTCACTACTTCATTGCCAGGAAAGAAAAACCTGAAAAATTAACTTTTTAATGACAAATTAAACGATTTTTGAATTAAAGCTAAGCAGTGTTAAGTAACACTACAAAGTAATATTTAAAACTTTATAAACAAATATTTGGAACTTAATAACTTGATAATCATTGTTAAAAAAACAAACCTATCTAACGCATCACAACCACCAAGAATATGTTTGCCATGTGAATTGTAAACTGCAATATCGCCTTTGTAAAGTGAATCATAATCAAAATTTGATCTATCGGCTTTTCGATCGATTATGAAGTAGGATGAAGGTTCCGTTACATTAAATTCGACAAGAAATGACCATTTCTGTGCAGGCTGTAATAAAAAAAAGTAATTAAAAGTAATAACACTCATTCGAACAAATTTTAGATATCAAAAATGAAATAAAAACAGTATTTTTTCGGAGTTTATGCTTATAACTATTTAACTAGGAAACGATAAAAAAAAAAGGGAATGGAAATATTGAAATATTAAAGGTAGTGTTATTCATTTAGCAGAAAAGTCTCAATGATATCAAATAAAAATCAGTAAGACAATGAAAATGACTAACAGCAAAAAGTTGCGCAACTGAAGGTCGTTTATGAGATTTCACTTTATTCGATGATGACCTACTACTACTTGAAGATGATGTACTGGCAGAACTTGACCATGAACTTGAACTTGAAGAAGAATGATGTCGTCGTCTCTTTTTGCTCTTTTTCTTATGTTTTTTCTTTTTCTTTCTTTTTTTTTCTTCATCACCATCAGTCATTTTGGTCGGTTCAATAGAATTCACCAGAACCATATCAAAATCACTATCGTCATCCGAATCACACGTTACCATCTTAAAAAAAAAAACATATTTTTCTGCTATAACTAAACGAAAATTATAAAAATAATTCGAATAAACCAAATATTTTTCCCTATATCGTAACTATTAATTAAAAAATTATAATTAAAAAAATAAAAGAATTACAAAAGAATTATAAAAGAAGATCAAGCATAACAATATCCATAAGCATGCGCCAGAAAGAAAAAAACCTAAAACTGTACTGATCGAAATGGAATGAGGAGATATATTTAAGCAAAATAATATCATGGATAAAAAATTAATTCTACCTGGTTTATTTTTAAAGGTAAATGGTGCTGATGGTGCAAAAACTACACTATTAAGTAGGTAACTGTTCGCAGTTTCACCATTTAAGGCAGTATGAACTTTGACATGCATGGCTTAGCCTTTGAAATAAGCATATGACCGCCGACAGAATGAATCGGGGACGTGTATATGTGTGCATATGTGCGTATGGCATGTTTGTTCCTTTACGCATCACAACAACAACAACACATCGAAAACGACACTTTTTCATCTTTCATACATTATTCTTAGAGTTAACGTTTACAAAGGAAAAAACTATGTGAAATTATTTTAATGCAACAGATATGACCAAAACATGGGGAGATTTCAGTTTAAAATAATAATTTAAAAAACAATAAAAAAATTATAATTTTAAATAAAAAATAATAAAAATTTGCGATTTGAAAAATACCCGATAAATAATTGCAAATTAATTTAAATTAATTTATATTCTCAAAATTTTCTTCACTAAAAATAAATTTTGAGAAATGAAATCAAACTTTGAAAAACCTTAATTGAGTGTTGTGATAGAAGCCTTCTTGCTTCTTCTTCTTTCTGCCTTTCCTTTTTCTTTTTCAATTTTTCACGTTCTTCTCGACGTCGTTTTTTTTTCTCTTCTTCATTTTCGCTATCATAACGAGGAATCGCATCAAATGATGAATATTTCCTGCTGAAATCCTCATTTTCCATATTTCCTTGTTTGCTCAAAGATTCGTCATTATAAGCAGCAAACATTTTCTGAAATATAACAAAAAAATAAAAACTAAAAGAAAATTCTAATAAAACAACAAGGGAAATTAGAATTAAAGTCAAAACTGATGAAGAAAAATTAAATAAAAATTAGTGAATCGAAAAATTTAAAAATTAAATCAAATCAAATTTAATTTAAAATAATAATTTGAAAACAAAGTCATAAAACAACTTGGAATGACGTAATTTAATTTTCCAGTTTACTAAATCAAACAGGGCAAGAAAATTAAAAGCCATAAGAAAAATTTATCCAAATTTTAAATTTGATTAGATTAAATAATTTTTGGAATTATTCGAGGTCGAAATTTTTTATAACTGCAAAAATATGTTATATGCCCAACCTGAATTTTTTTATACGGACATACAGCAAATTCCAGACCTTATAACACTTATAATGGATAGAAAAGCATAAAATTATTAAACAATCTCAAGATAAATCCCACAATCACCGCGGCTTTATCTCAGGATAACTCCGAAGATTCTCCGGACAATTCCTCAGCCACACCAATTCACCAAACGTAGCCAACAAACTACACCACTACTTGAAGTAATAATAAGAACCATTATTCAGCGAATAACAGAACTCGAAAAACAGAAAATGCGACCACTTCCAGCACGTCATTATATAGAGTACGATATGTGAATAATTCGTACCATGTTCAATGTTTCTTTAGTGGTTAAACGGCGAAATCAAATGGACGTAAATTTATGGTTGTTAAATTGGTATGGGCTCTTGAACCGCTGTGGGCTCTTTAGGGTCCATGGTGACTCTCATCAGGTTCATGGTGGGCGGGCGAAAATATTGCACTGGGTGCCCATGAACTTTTATGGCTCATCTAGGAGGTCCATGGGAAAAAAAACTACTGATTTTAAGTAAAATGGTTTTGCTTGGACTGAGTATTGTAAATGGAATTGAACTGGATATATAGATAAACGTCAACTTTTTTTCTAAGACAGTTGCTGGACTCACTCCGCTGTCTCATCGCACCAGATAAGTTTTGCCATTTAGCGGTGGAAGTACTAGTGAATCGCTTGCATCACCCCGAATTTTGAAGGAATATTTCTGCAAGGCACAATTCTGCATAGCGAATTGAGGAACAGCCCAATGAACCATCCTCCCCCCCCCCCCCCCCCCCCCCCCCCCCCCACTCCTCTCCACTTCCTATAAATATATAAGAATAATAATCTATCCTTTCCACTGTGTAGACAAAGTGATGTTCACTTAATGATGGTAGAAATACAAGAGTGAAAGGATGAGACCATAGGGAGAAAAAGGTAACCGATGTGGATTTCAGTAGTTTGGTAGCAAACTGCCACAGCTATTATATTATTTATCTTGGTGAATTTTGTAAATTCAATAATGAACGACTAAATCAAAGCAAAAATTAACAATCTATTAACAGTAGGGAACAGTGTGGCCGAGCGGGGTTCTACCCCGGTCCCTTGATAGAAGTAAACCTGTCATTCCTGACAAATCAATTCCTGCTGTACTTCCATTTTCCTTTCTATTAGAACCTTTTTGTCAATGTACTGCTGGATGCTTCAGTTCCCGTTTAGGGTAACTCCTTCTGCCATCTTTCAAGCAGTCTCGGGATGTTTAATTTAACAATGGTAATTTGTATACATTCTGTGGTATTCTCAGTTCCTTTCACATTGCACTGGTGCTATGAATCTTTTTTGTGAGTTTTCTTCTTTTTCTCCTATATTTTTTTTCACTGTTCATCAGATTTTACTGTCTTTGTCGAATTGTTGTATTCTCTATATCTAATGTACCTCCTTAACTTTTTACCAGTTATATGAGTTTTTTTAGTTCCAAATTCTCTAGAGTTTCAGGTGGAGGTAAGGCACTTATATTATTGTATATTGTTCTCCGACTCTACCCTTAATTTCCACATTTTTCTGGGATAGTTCCATTAGCTGACTAACTTCTCTCATTTTCCAGGAAGAGTGAAAAATAGCGGCTATCCTTTTAATGCTATTTTTATTGGTCCTGTAGCGGAGCATCTTCAGGATTGCAGCGATTTGATGTGCACAGATTGTCTATTATGGTGATAGCATGGAGGTGGAAGTGTAATAGAATCTTCTTGAGTTTGGAATAGACGGAATTATCTCAAATTTCGAAAGCAGCACCCTCTTTACGCGCTAAAATTCTAAAGTTACTTCCTGGTCCTAACCTAGTGAATATTCCCTTAATAATATCAAAATTCCCTTACATTTATATCAGTTATAATTACATTTGTATAATTTATCAATGACATTTTGGATCTCTTTCTAAATCTTCCAAAAACTACTTTATTTTCTTATTTTAATCCACTTCCAGTTTCCTGCATGCCAAACCTCACATTCATTTTAGCAGAATTATAGAATATCTCGAATGCACTATAGAATTATAGAATTATAGAATATCTCAAAGTGTTAAGGATATTGCAAGGTTAGGTTAAAATTACAAGGTTTCGAAGAGGATGTTAAATTAGGTGAATATAACGGTTTTGAGGAAATATTAAGAGGTATGTCAAGGTTTGGTATGTTAGATGTATATTAAACCTTATTAGATATTTGCAACCACTGTCACATTTTTCATCGACTTTTGCAGCTGCCTTTGATTCAATTGATAAGCGCTTTGGAGGGTGATGGAATGTAGCAGTGTTCCAGAGAAGATCATTCGACTCATAAAGGCATTTTATGAGCGTATGTCGACGCAGTTCTGTGTATATGGAGAATTGACAGAGTTCTTCGAAATAAGAAATGGACGCCGTTTGTCTGCACTGAAGAGGTATGCAATGATGTAGTCCTTTTTGTTGATAGTTATGACGAAATGCAAATAATACGATATAGCGTATCAGAAACTGACAAAACGAAAATCTTTTCGTCTCATCTTATGTGCAAGAAGCTGATAAAATGCCTCTTTTTGTATATTCATTGCCGGTCGAGGAATTGCCCGATTTCAAATACCTTGGGTTCACTCTAATACCAAATGGTCAGGCAAAAGACGATATTATAGCCCGGATCACGGCAGCTAGAAATGTGTTCTTCATTCATTAATTTATTAATTATGGATTATGGAGACGTCGTGAAATAAGCATTAAAACAAAATCCGCATGTATATAGCTGTGTTTCGTTCGATCTTGCTATATGGCTCTGAAACATGGCCAATGAGAGTGGAGGATATTAAGAAGTTACCTGCTTTTGACCACTCTTGTCTAAGATACATTTTATGGTTTTGTCCAGCGGATAAAATATCATATGATCGCACCCACCTTCGTTCAAATACCACTTGCATAAATAATGTTATTACAGGGCGTCGCCTTCGATTATTAGGGCACATTCTCTATCGTTCACTACAAGAGTTGACGCATATTTCGTTACTTATTAAACCGAGTGATGGTTGGCGTCAAAAGATAGGTGGGTCAATCAAGACCTGGACTGATATGATCAGAAAAGATTTTCAACATATAGGACCAGTAATATATTGACGATTGAAAAAGGAATGGCTTCTATTACTGCCAACGACAGCGTCAGACCGCGCCGCTTGGAAGCCTCTTACCTTTGAGCCGTTGGAACCAGTTTAACCAGTAATGGTAAAAGCTGTCAGAAAAAGAAGAAAACTTAATATACTTTAGTGCCATAATCGGTGAAGTATATTGCAGACTAAAATAAATTCAATAAAGAAATTTTACAAGAGAAGTTCTACTTCTACTTCTTCTACTGTTAAAGAAGGTCAATAAAATTTTATGGAGTCTTTAAATGATACTTTTTTCCATAGGCTATTATTTCCCCACGTCCCCATATATTTCCTTTAGTCTTTAAGGTACCACTGTTATCTCTTAATCAGAAACTGATACCGTTCCATATATCTCTTAATCTTCTTTTTCTTTAATTAAATATTCTTTATTCTTATTCTCCGTAGTATTCTTTTGCTTATGCTACCATAATTTCCTTGTACCGCATCAACTCCGAATTTTACTGTGGTACTTTGTAGTATTGTTGCTATATTATTATGTCTTCTGTCATGTATTATGTCATGTATTATGTTTTTTTCATTTAATTCTTCTCAAAAATCCATAAAAATGTTTGTGAGCTAACATATGTGGATTACCTTCCTAATTACCACCAAATGTCTTCTTATGCCATCTGTAAAAACTCACCATTTTATTATATTATTATAATCGTTTATGACTTTTCTAAACTTCTCGATTTTTTTTCAGTACCACTCATTCTACATTCTATTGCCTTAAGATACTGTCAAACCTCGCAGTGATTTTGTTTCAAGTCGCAGGGTGAAAAGTTGTTCCGCAAAAGATCTTGAGGATCTTGTGAAAAATTTGATGAATCATTCTACTAAATAATGAGTCAAAGAGATCTTAAAGGATTACAACAGATTTCGAGGAGAAATGCCAAGGTTTGAAGATTTCACTCCTCATAGATTCTTATTAGTTCCATAATCAGTAAATTTTCATTATGATTTCATCTGGAAAAACTATGTCTGAAAAGTTGAGGAACCAAAATTTGTCGGAAAAACATTATTGTTGATAGAATAGCAATTAATAGATATTTGGCTTTTGTAAACAGTTAAGGCTACCGAATTTGAACTTGGCAGAGACATGCTGCTGCCAAGTTCCAATTAATTTACTCCCAATATGTTCGTTTTCGGAATGCATTTTTCGGAATCTCGAATTCGGAATTTCGAAACTAGCCAGCGATGATTTTAAAATCGTTATGATTTTATTGAAATACAGCTGTAATGTCCATTTTTTCGAAATTCATGTCAATTTTTACCCGATAAACTTAATATTTTTCGTATTTAAGAAAAATACAAATCCTGAGAAACAAATATCTGTATGGAAAAATCTTGTCATTTACAATTCTGAAACCATATTTTCATATAATTTCATTTTTTGAACAGTTTTTTGCGTGAGTCATTGGGCTACGATATTTATGTTCAGGGTCCCAGTCTAATGGTTCATCTGGTGCAATATTATTCGCCTATAAACAATCCTCTTTTATTTCACGAAGTGATATTAGTTAAAAAGAAGATGACCCAACGAAAAGTGATGATAACAGATGCATCAGATCGATTTCGGGTTTAGCTAAGATGCAAAGATTCTGCACGAATGCGATTTACCTTAGCGGCATGTTGTATGCAATAATATATGTGATTATAGTCAGGTATGCTATAATATTCAAGTGAGTCGATATATTTCATGATGGCGGAAAATTCTTTCTTCGGGCAATTTTTGAAGAAATCGTCTAGCGCTTTTCCACTACGTACTTCTTCTTTCCACTGTAGAATTTCACGTTTTTCAGTGCCCTGAGTATTTACATTTGTACTAAATTAATGACTGAGCAAAAAAGGCATTTAGCTGAGATCGTTTTCACTTATAGTTGTTCCTCATTGTATTTTAGAAAAGAATCATTCAAAAAAAACTAAGAGTTTCAAGTAAAATAATAGCAAAAAGTGAAAAATTAGCCATAAAATAGTCATGTAACGTTTTAAGAGTAAAAAATTTTATAACGAAGACGTAGATTGTTTATTTATTCATTCGTATAAAAGTACCAGAATTTTGAAGGACAAACTCGAAGTTTACGCCATGGTAATGAACCGGCTGTCCATTCGACGACTACGTAAAGCCATGACTCTACATCATCCTTTCTCGATTGTTCAGCATGTTTTAATGCAGCGATTGATGCATAGCGTGTTGTGCCTCGAAAAGGTGCAGAAATCCGTGGCAAACGTAAATCTTTACCGCCCACACTGAAATTCAACCTACGAAAAATATATAAAAATAAAGATTGCACTGAAAAGCATGGCCAAATAAGCTAAAGCGAACTCATCTCAATTATCAGTCAAGGGAAACTGTGGTCTCAAATCAAAGCCCAAATATTTATCATGGGTGATAAATGAGTACAAATCAAGTACCACTGCAGATATCAATTTTCAATGAACTTCTCCTTTAGTTTTCGATATTTATAGAATTTTACAAAGAATGTTGAAATTATGTCTCAATGATCAATAAACATTGATGGAGAGAGCTTGAAGCTCACGCATCAAGGATCGTGGTTTAATCATTGATCATTGGTGAACTATGAAAGCCACATATCAAAAGCATCACTGATCAGTCAAAGTATGGATAATTGCTATAGACTTTAATCCTTCTTTGAAAATATGTTATTCAATTTGTTATACTCAATCACTTAAAATATTATGAATTTGAGGTAGTAAGCATTCCATTTTTAATTTTCTTACCACCTATTATTATTATTATTATTGTTATTATTATTATTAATTATTAATTATTAATTATTATAATTATTAATTATTAATTATTATAATTTTTAATTATTAATAATTAATAATTAATTAATTATTATTATTATTGTTATTGTTATTATTATTATTGTTATTATTAATATTATTATTATCATTGTTATTATATTGTCTTTATTAGTATGATTACTACAATATTATATTATTGTTGTTAATATTATTATATCATATTATTGTTATACAATTATTTATTCATTTATTGCTAATATTATTATTATTAAATATTATTATCATCATTATTTTTTAGTATTATTACTACAATATTAAAGCATTATTAATGTTATTATAATATTATTAATGTAATAATATTATTATTATAATACCATTATACCATTATTATCGTTATTATTATTTATTATTATTAATTACTATTATTTATTTTTTATATATGTTGTATATAATACTCTCTATTTATTAAATTTTTTATTAAATTATTATTTAATACCTAATACTAACTTGTAAATAAATTTTATTAAATACTGAAAAAATGTTGTTAAGAAATTTATGTCGTTAAATTTGCAAAAAATGGTTAATAAAAAGACCTGAATTGTCGGCACAAGCCGAAATCAAGCATAAAAATCGTATGATGCTCATTCACTTCAACTCTTCCAATTGCAAAATTTCCAGGTTTTATGTCTCGATGAAGAAATCCGGTTTCATGCAAGTGTTCGATCGCTTCAAGACATTGTTCAGCTACTTTAAGCGATGTATTTAAGGTGAATCGTTGATGTGGTTGTTTAACCCTCAATTCCCACAAGTTACTTCCCACCTAAATTTTCAATGTAATTCTAAAATTGCTTTACCTTTGGAAAAATGCAATATTATAGAAAATTGTTGTATTCTATCAATATGGTATCTTGGGAAATGAAGTAATTTTGCTTTTCTTATTGTTTCTCATTTAAAAGCAAAGCAAAGCAAAGCATTGGTTTTCTTGCGACTTTATATTTTGTGGCAATATTTTCTAGGATACTTGGAGAACGAGTATAGATAAAATTCTCCAACAAACCCTATTTCATTTTTAATGCCAAATTTCGTGGACTGAGAAAAGTTTACAGAGATTTATTTTTGGCACTTTTTATGCGAGATTGCCGATGCTTAAAATTCTAAATGTTCCTTAAATTAGCTGAAATCAAAAGTGATAAGCAATTTGCATAAATTTTCTAAAACTCTAAACTTATTTGCCAGAAAAATCCCTGAGGAAAAGTGAATTTGGAAATAATAAATTACTGGCATAAATCTTGTAAATTATTGCCTTCTCTGGCATAATTCTGGTTCTTTTTAAGTAATAAAGGCTATTGTAACGAATCCAAAAAATAACTGTAGTCCTCAAATTTTGCGAAGAATAGGAAATTATTATTAGAGAAAAAAAGGTAAAAATATATCTTGTTAACATTTTCATATTTTTCCGCCGGATGCCAAACTTTTTTTCGACGATTCTCAGATGGCACCGTAAAAATCCATGGAGAACAATATTTTCAAAATTTTTTTGAAATTATTTCACCGAATTTTGCAATCAAATGTTCAAAATGACATGTTAACACTTAAATAAAACAAAAACATATAATTCGAATCAGATTCCTACGCGCCTCCTGAGGGTTGCATGAGGTCAGTAGAGGCACTTTGAGGACTACCAATTTATGTTTATTAGATATCTCCTGTCGATAACAAGCTTTTCAATAGCAAACATATCCCTTCAGCTGTAATAATAAGAAGTGCTTCCTAAAAATACGCGTAATTTTCTTTAGGTAGATTCAACGATGATTTTTCTTTCCAAACTATATTGTGTAAATCTGATACTATATTTAAAATGTATTTACGATCTAACCATTTTCATAATTAAAAATCTAAATCGATCGTTAAATCTGCCTTTCTCGATTATTTCACAAAAATGTTTGCTTCCATGCGATTGAGCACCTCGTAGAACTTTGTAGTCCATTATCAGAACCTATCAATCTTTTCTTTATCAGAACCTTTATCTTTATCATTCAATAAATAATCGGTATTTCGAATGTATTTTTTACTAACTCTTTTCTTGGATCCGATTAGCTCACATTTCATAGCGAAGGCAGCACCATCACTCATGCGTATCATTTCGTAGACTGCTCCAAATCCGCCTTTTCCAAGTAGTCTTATAGTCTAGAATTTTATATTGTCCAGAAAAAAAAATCAGCGAGTTTATCATTTTGGAATCGGTTTTATTTCCTTTTCGCGTTTCGAATGCATACTGGCTATTGCGTCAAAAAACTTTAAGTAAAACTACCTGATAGTTTGATTTTTTCGTCCTAATAATTTCACCGAATTGCGGCAATTTTATATCCAATTTTTCAGAATCGCTCATATCTGCAAAAATTCACCACTAGTCACCATATATCTTTGAATAAGATCTAATTCTTTGCAACACATTATAAATTATAAATTTCCTTCTTGCATTATTTCAAAACAGTGAAACGGAAAGGTACTATTCGATCATTATTAATTCTTTGGAGATCCCATCTGCTGTTTAACAATTTTTATTATTTACGGATAACTATTTTTCCATGTATAAGAACAAAATATGTTTTCAGCTGAACATATTTCGAAAACTTTTTTTTCTCTCACCATTTCTGGTTAGGGCGCTCTACTGGCTTTCGATCGGCAAAATTTTCCAGAAATTCTTTTGTAATAGGAATGTATGTGACCCAACAGCCCCAACAGCCCCATTCGGGCTTTTGAAAGATTTATTTCTTTGGATATTAATACCGAAATGAAGCATTAACCCATTAAGAAATTCTATTTTTTCCTTCTGAATAACTTTGTCTTTAATTTATTAATTTTATTAAAATAAAAAAGTGGAAAATTTTGAGATAAAACAATGTTTTAGATTTCAGAATAAAGAGAAAGGTAATGGTCCTTGAAAATAAATCTCAACAAAACAAAAAATAAATAAAAGTAGGATAAACGGCATTCGATTTATAATGAATAGCAAAAGATCCCATTAGTAAAAATGAAAAAATCTAATGAGCCGGGGAAATGGAAGGAAATTTAGAGATATTTAAAGATTTAGCCCAAAATAGTTCTTGTATGGCTGGAAATCTAAGCAAAAATATTCCAACAACGAAAAAAAACAATTACAACTTATAATATTTCACAAGAAAATTGAACCTATAGTTTAAATGTAAATTACAGGCAAATTACCCTTTCCTTTCAAAAATGTAGCGTTCTTCATATCAATTCTAAAGGTTTCGATTTTCCTAATCTTATTATTAATGGCAATATAATCAGTAGAGTCTGGCATATTTCCGATCTTCGTATAATCGTGAATCTCGATTTCGACCCTCGCTGCAGGACCGTGGTAAAGAAATCCTCAAAGATGCTAAATTTTATTTTTCGTTCATTTAAGAACAAAACTGAAGATTTTCTTATCAAAATATACAAAGCGTTCGTTCGGCCACTTCTTGACTACAATACTACATACAATACTACAATACTACATGCTACTCCACGAAATATCGTAAATTAATTAAAATAATTGAAGTAAAATAATCGATAGAGTAGCGCTCTGGACAATGATGGAATGTGACGGTGCCGCAGAGAAGATCATTCGGCTCATAAAGACATTTAATCAGCATGGCACACAGATCTCTTTTTGGGGAACTAACAGATTGCTTCGAAATAAGAGTTGCTGTCCGTCAGGGCTCCTTTCTTCTACAGTATTCAACTATGCGATAGACTGAATAATGAGCACTTCAAAAATATTTTATAAGGCGCTTCTCTCCTAATTGCAATTTTAATAAAAGAAAACTTCTATAGTGTAACCTGGATTCTCTGTTAGTTCGTCGAATTAAACAAGATTTAATTTACACTTATAAGATTTTCTATGGTTATGTTAAATTAGATTGTTCGAAATATTGTAATTTTAGGTTAAATTTAAATCCAACAAGAACTAAATCCAACTAATGGACTAAAATTACTAAAATTTCTGTGTAAAACTAAACTAAAGACTCATGATTTCTTTATTCGTAATATTAATTACTGGAATAAATTACCGAATGATACAGCTTGTGCACCATCCTTAGCTATCTTTAAAAAAAGATTAGATAATATCATTTATGGTGTTATTTAAAAAATTCCCGTAATGCCGGAAATGTGAAGTCTCGATTTTTACCATCCGATTATAGTTATTTCGAATTGTACTATATTATATTATTTTGCAATTTTCTCTCTATTTCATCTTTAAATTTATTTTATTATTATTATTTTTTTATCATTTATTCTTATTATTTATTATTTTAACTGTTAATACAAGCACATGGCGTTTGCGCCCTGCTTGGCTGCTTTTCAATAAATAAATAAATAAAATCTTTTCTGATTCAAAAAAATATAAATATAAACAAAAATAAACCGTAAAATTTAATAAAATTGCTAAAATCCACCAATCCATAAACAATTTAAAGTACTTAATGATATTCTTATTTTATTTTGTCAAAAATTTCGTCATCGTTCGGTCGGATTGTTTCATTTAAAAAAAAAAACGCCTAAAATTTATCGAAAATTTTTTTGAAAAATTTTCAATTAATAAATTATTTGAAATGCTTGATTTTGTTATTATAAACAAATAAAACTGAATGGCTCAGTGGGTTACTCTCACCTCGTAGCACCAGCAGTTTTCCACCGCTGGCATAATTATATTGTTTAGGACTCATTCTCTAAGTGATGCTAGCCGCTCATTCGCATTTTTATCGCCAAATAATTCCTTATGCAATCTTGCCCAGTTGATTTTATTTATGTATTTATTTATTGAAAACCAGGCAAGCCAGTTGAGCGAATTTAAGCTAAAAAAAACAATTTACTCAAAATTTACTCATAAAAATTTAAAAAAAAGACTGGTGATGTCGGATGCAATCGTTCTCTTTTTCAACTTCTTTGATCATTTTCACTCATAAAAAAATCAAACTGCATTCTGCAAGAAACACATCGAAAAATATTTTTATTTTTTCGCGAATAAATAAATAAATTATTCGCGAATTTAGTAAAAATTTTTATTATGCAAATTCAATATTGTTCAACGAAGGATTGAATCTCTGACCCATAGGTGCGTAACAAAGCAATAATCATATAATACAGCATAGAACTTGGGAAAATTTGGTAATGTCGAGAGATTTCCTGCACTTTTTATGAAAAATTTAATAGATTTTGTCTCATTCTGGCCATAATCATGAACAATTTTAATATTTTTCCGCTTTTATTGCTTTGATATTTTGTTAATTCCGATCGGTTTTTTATACAGTGGGCTATTGTCCAAGCACATGGCAATATACATGCTTTGCTTAGATTTTACAACGGAAATAACGAATTGAATTTTATCATCGAATTGTCAGTTCATTAACCAAATTTATCTTTTTCCTAGTATAATAATTTAATATTTAAATATATAAATAATATTATTCATTGAAATTAGCATCAAAAAATATATGAAAGCAACAGCATTAGGCGTTTTTAGAGTTAGTCGATTTTAGAGTTATTGCGAATATTGAAAATGCTTTCATCGGTACCGTATGCGTTTGTCGAATATCGTTCATCGCTGCCATTTTCATCACCGAATTCCTCAAAAAAAAATTTCAGCACCTTGGAAATTTCTTGTAAAATTTGTCAATCACAATATAAAATTTGAATTTGTGGGTTGGAGGAAGGTAGGTCATTGCCCAAGCACATAGATTAGTTATTTATTTATTTATACTAAAATTCTCATAGAAAAATAATAACATTATCAATCGATGGAGAATCTGTAAATTCAGCAGTATCCAATGTATATTCACTGAGGTCCGAAATAATTTCAGCAGTAAAAAATCTTGTTTCACTCGAGTTCATCGATGATGTGGTAATATTCACTGTAAAAAAATAAATTTTTTTGCATTAGCAAAGCTTCTGAGACTTTGTCCGGCAAAATTTCGCAATTTACAAGTGATGGAACCGATGTTCGGGTATATTATATTTATTACTGAAAACGAATAATTTTAGAAAATTTCACTTTATAGCGAAATGATTGTTTAATTAAAATGGATACTTACGTTTGCATTGTCGAACGAACAGTTTAATTAAAATCTGAAAGAAGTTCCACGAAGTGATAAAAAATTGCGTAATGCGTCGAGTCGAATAGTTCATAATAATAACAGATAAAAATCTCTACGCTTAGTCATGTAGACGATCAGAAAAACTTGGAAACACTACTTTGAATCTAAGATAGATCCAACATTTTTTTCCATTTATATGGACAGATTTGGCCGAAATCACAAATTTAGAGGCAGAAAGATTCGCATTCCACAGAATTGCATTACAATTTTGCAATGAATTTTTAAATAATATTACATTTCTAATTGCGGTTGGAAATTCATACAACGAGTAAAACTTTCCTTTCCAGAATAATGTGCATTTCATGAGAAGTTTTTTTGGTTTTGATCGGAAATTTATCGCTGAAATCTGAAATTTTCTTTTTCACAGATAAATTAACAAAGATTTAGGGTTACGAAAAAAGTGTTTGAAAGGATTTTCAAATAATTTAATTTTTAAACAAACATTTTGTCGAAATTTATTTTTCGTCTTCCAAATGTTATTTCCTGCCGAAAGGAATAAACTATAAATAATTACTAATTTTCTATACAATGGAAATGCAATTGCGAACGCCAATTTCATATGAAATATCGTGAAAGCAATAAATGGCCAAAAACAAAAAGCAATTTTCGATTGGAAGAAGGATTTCTGAAAATTGCAAATTTCCAACAAATTTTTAGTCCATGAATTCATTTGCTGGAGAATTTCATTTATCACTGCGCACTTAATGACAAATGACGCAAATGAGAGAAGTTTAAATCTTGAAAAAAATGATGTTAACGGCATTGAACCTTAAATTCGGTCTGTTAGAGGTATAGGAAAATAAGTTTTTTACTATTTTGTGGCGAATGTTCATTTTACAATGGAAAGGCTCGATTGAATATCCGAGAAATCTTATGTCGACTTATCGACGCTATAACTGGCGAGAAAATTCGAAAGAACTTCGAAAGGCAAAATTCTAACTGATAACTGCGTAAATCTGCTGATAAAATTATATTCGATCATTTCTCTGACTCGATCAAAATAATTTCGAAACATTTCGAAAACCACCGAAAGTGGAAATTTTTGCAAAAAAAATAATATTTCTTTTTTCATATTTCAATTATAATAATGTCAAAGCTTAGTCGAAGTTGAGTTTTAAAAGCAAAAGCCATTTGTTGCTCACAAGCGCCATCCTTTGAGAACGAATTGGAGGATATATCTTCGCTCGTCCTTTTTTTATTCACTGCCTATAACAGCGATATTTGTTGTTAGCAGCATTAATAGCACAGTGCATGTCATTTCAACTCAGTTCGAATGAATGAACAACTAAACAATTTTAATTATTTGCATAGCCGACGGCGAACTTCAAAAATTGATTTCTACCCGGCAACTGCAGCAAAGCTTCCTCGTAAGGGGTTTCAGAAAGATCCAGTCGCAAGTTTACGTCATCACGTAACTAAGAGCTCACTGAAGACTTTAAATGTTTAAATGCTAAGTGTTGTGAAATACTCGTTTAATTTATTTTACTTCTTTAAATTAATTTAAATGTTTTAAAAAGAGTTATCACATGCCGGTGACTAAAATTGAAATACTCTCGAGTTACATGATGACATACGAATGTTATTCTCTGAGATTATTCTTAAAAATCGGCGGTTCAAGTGATCAAATTAATAAATTTAATTCAATGGAAAGATAAGTTCTGCTTTTTTTCGTTAATTTAATTTAATTTAAATTTCTTTCTTTATCCCATAAGAGCTTCTTCAATAAAAATTTTGGTACATCGCGACGTAATTCAAAATTTTTTCATAGATTGCCCTCCAACTTTATGCAAAAATATCTATAAATATGTATTGAAATATATATTGACACTACAAAACACAAAGTAAATTAAAACTCGTGATTGATCGAGATGCCCTGAGGCAACAAGTCAACAGTTCAACAAGTCGACGATATGCCGTGCGAAATTCCTAAACGAATCCATATCAAACATTTAAAACAACTTTGAGATTCAAAAACCTTGCAGAATTTGCTGAAAATATTCTGTTTAGCCGATGATTACAGTTCCATGTTTATTGCTATAATTGCTATCATAAGACTTCCATAAATAGTTTGATAAGATTCTGATTATATCTGTCAAATGTAAATATTATAAAATGTTGTAAATATTATAAAAAATATTAAGTGTAAATATAAAATTTTATTGCAAATGCAATTGATATATCGATATATCAATTTGAGAAAATCTTGAGGCAAATTTGAGAAATTCGATAATTACAATAAATAGATTTCTGAAGATTTGCCTGAAAATTTGCCTGAAGATTTTTTATTCTATATAAAAACTCTGGAATATTTGAATAGAAATTGCCTTGATTCGGTAAAATACGCCTCGATTATTTCTCTTAGAATTTTGCTCTCAATGAATATAACTTAATGTGGACGACTATAAAACTACAATAGTGTCTGAAGATATCCAGGTAGTAAAAGACTTTTCAGAGCAAGTTGCTGGTGGATTAAAATTTAAGAATATATATTAATAAGAATATAAGAGCTCAGGCGTTTTCTCAAAAATATGCCACTCGATCATCGTTATTCCGATCAAGTGTATTATGAACAGAAATTTATTACAACTTTCAACATACAATATTTCTATTTTTTAGTGAAATCGAAAAATACTCCAAAATTTAAAGATTGTAAAACGTTGAAATTTTATTACTTTACAATTATTTTAAAATTTGGAAGCTATTTGCATTCTATGAAACAATATTTATAATTTTGTCTTGTCTAATTTATCTAATTTTCTTTATAAAAATTCTTGACGAAAATCCATAGTTATTAGCTTTTTTATTTCTATTTAAAAATTTATTTTATTTATTTATTTTATTTCCATTTAAATTTACAATCTATAATCAATGGTTAAGAAAAAAACTACATTTATTTAAGGAAGCCCAAAATGGCAAAATTTACCATGATTATATGATAAAAAAATATAGAAGTTATATGAATTCAACTATTTTGCAAGTTTCAAAAATGAAAAAGACAACAAAGAAAAAAATGTAGATAAAATTAAAAATAAAATTAAAAATATAAATATTCCAATTGATGCCAGTCGATTACCCCTTAAAGTCCGTTTGTTGTTATATCCCCGTTACATTCAAGGAACTTAGGAGAATCTTTGCGAAATACAAGTAATGGTCGTTCAAATCCTAAAACGCACAAATAAACACAAATTTAAATGATTAAATTTAACTGAAAACTGATTTAACTAACTGAATATCTATACTTTTAATTATCATTTTACTGCCAAAACTCAAAAAATTATTCATAACCTGGTGTCTTTGCATTTGGAATGCCCAAATATTCATATTTTTTGAATCCAACTTCATTAATCAAATAATCTTTGAATTTGTCTGGAAAAAGAACAATAGACTTATAATTGACCATCATTTCAGGCTGAAAACATAAAAGTTAATCAATATTTCTGAAAATAAAATAATTCCATGCAAATCTAGCGACAAAAATGGATAAATGAAATTTGGATGATGAATGATCAAGAAATATAAAACCATCAATTTGGCGCGTTTTTTATATGTATCAAAACTTTGTGGCTCGATAATGAATAATCCTCCTGGTCGTAGTTGTACGAATGCTCGCCTGAAAAATCGCTTTAATCCATCATCTCCCCAATTCAAATGAATCCATTTAGTGATGCTCAAGGCCAGGATAACATCATACTCTTCTTTGACCTAAATTGAACAATGATTGTGGGCCAAACTATTGCAAAGAAAAAAGAGATTTATTTGCTGATTTCAGCTAAAATATTCAGAAACGATAACAATAGTGAAAGTAGAAGAAAATATTTGGTACGGTCCAAATGAATTTTTTTCTCGTAAAAATTTTTCTTTTATATCTCAGTTTTGATTCATCTTTAATCCTGAAATTGATCATCAATCTATGAAAATTTGAGGAAAACCAATCACTTCATAATCTTTTCATTCTTGAATAACTTCATTTTAAAAAAATTTTCATATTTTGAATTCAAATTTTTCGCACAATGAACCAAATAAAATGCATTTTATTAGTTATTACTTACATGATCTAACAAAGCATCATTTTTTAATACATAGTTTTCGCGACGGAACCAAATGTTGTCGGGAAACTTCGTAGAAAATGATGAAGTCGATGACTGATCGAAATGGGAATAAAATGAAGATGGGAATGTCCTCTAAATAAAAGAAAAATAAAATATTTTTAAGAGAATAAAAAATATCGATTCTCAATGAAATAAACTTTTCATTCCTTTTAAAATGAATTACTTTTAATTTTTGGCCTGCAAGAAATAATACAAAAATAATACAAATAATACAAAAACTAAAAAGAAAAAGATATCAAAGAAAAAATTGTCCAGAAATCTTTTATTCTCATTCCTATTCTCATTAACTAATTTATTTTTAATATTCAGTAAGCGTAACAATTTTAGACATAAAGCCTTAAAAAATAGAAACGCCTTAGTATTAAGGCAAAACACGGAATAGTGCAAGTCACAAGACGAATCGCATTTTCTAAAATCAAGTTTTCAAATACCGCTTATAAGCAAAAAAGAAACCAAATTGCTAAATATTAATACTCTTGCAATAAAAAAATAAAGAAATCGTTAAAATTAGGAGGAACCTTGACGTTCTCCTTGCAATAATGTCGAATATTTTTTCGTGCAACACCAATCAAATGTTCATCGATGTCGATTCCAATAATACGCCTCGGCTCAAAATCTTTCGCAATGGATAAAGTAAGAAATCCCACATTACATCCTATATCTAAAACAGACTTTTTTTCGATCCATTCTTTCCTTAACAATGCCATTCTCGGATCAGCTGTTTTTCCTAATCTGCTTCCATAATACCGGTCGTAATTGCCATAGCGATATCTATAACCAATAAAACATAATAAAATAATAATAAATCCATCCGAACATACGAATATTTAAGATAGGTCAAATTACATAAAGTGGTTGGAATTACTATTATTTAGATCGTACCTCCCCTTTTTTTGACTTTTGGAAATAGAAGAATTGCCACAACTTGAAGCCTGATCTTTATTGCGATGCTGCGCTTCCAACTATAAGAGATCGTTTTTTATTCAATTTTGCATAAAAGTAAACTGCATAGTTTATGAAGGATAATCAGTAACTCGGCAGTGTTTATAGATTTTAAAAAAAATTTATATGATTCAGTAAAAATATAAGTAATAAATTGGAAAATAATAGCAGATAGCTAGAAAACATCATAGAAAATGTAAGAAAAAATTCCACACGACAAATTTTAAATTATTATCCTAAATTATTTTAAATAATATAATAATTATATTATTTAAAGTAATATTAGCCTTTATGTATATAATATATTTAATAAATTTATTAACATTATCAGAAGAGCACTGTGAATAAGTGAAATGTTCTGTTTCACTAGAAATTGAAGTAAAATTACGATTTGGTATTCCTCCGTTCTCGCAAATACTATTTTGCTTGGATCTAAATCATCAATCAAATCATTTTAAAATAGAAAATCGATAAAATCGATAAACGAAAAAATTTCCAAATAATACCTTTTTATTCCTTTTTTCACAGCAAGAATACCAGAATTGATCTGGTCGACTGATCCAATCATTAATTTTGTATCACTCCTTTTATATTGAATTAAACGTAGGTTGCTAAATGAGAAAAGATGCATTAAAGATTTTTGTTCGGAGAAAAATTTAAAAATTTAAAATGAATGCGAGGACTTATTTTAATTAAGAACGGCTTGAATTATAAGAAAATGATAAGAATTATCAATTTAACATTTCAGTTCCAGTTTTTCATTAGTAAATTAATGAATGAAGTAATAACAATTAATAATAATGATAATAATAATAATAAGAGAAAAAATAAAAAGTTGATCAAGAACAATAAACCAAAAATTTCAACAACTATGTAATCAAAAATTCACATTTACTCGAAAAGAGAACTGAGGTTATTCTATCAGAAGATAGAAATATTACTAAGAGCTTTATTAGCAAAGTATTAATATTAATATCTTGCTTATCTTTACATCGGATCTAATTCCACTAGTGACTAGAGGAAGATTTTCGAAATCTCCCAAGCTGATACTACATGCTAGAAAGTAACTATAACTGCACCATTTTCCATGCTAATCCCCCACCAATTAAACGCTTTAAACGCAAAAATGGAAAGTTACAAAATGCTGATTGCTATTTTTAGCTTCACAGCTTTTTTGGAAATTTAATTCGATATGAACGAATACGAAAACTCCAAAATAACAAAAAATACGAGAATAAAAATAAAAAATACCGCATTCGAAGTTTTCTTCAAAACTTTTAAAGAAGAATTTGAGGAATAAATCGATTCGTTTCATAATTTAATAAATTTATCGAACTAATAATAATAATTAAATGATAAATTAAATGGTTTTTATGGAATTGGATATCTTTTAAGTTTGTTTGCTCTAATATCGAATAAACAATATAAAAATAATTTATAATACAATAATACAAAAAAAAATGAATAAAATAAGAATGAAAGCTATATCACACAATCAATATTTATCTTTATTTATTTTTAATATTTTTTAATTAAAATTTAAAAAAATTAAAATTCTTCCTTAATAAATTAATAAGTCGTCAATTTTAAAAAATAACCGTAGCCAAATTTTCCATTCTGGATTTTGCCATACAAATATTAAAAATTTAGTAGCTAGATACCACAATTATTGCTGCAGTCAAATTTTTATGTAATTGAACTGAAAACTCCACAAGTTTCCACAAAAACAGCCATTTCAACCATTTCAAATTATTACTAAAAATTAAAAAAATTTCACATTCATAGGGCGAATTTCACGTTCGTAATAAAGTTGAAAATCTGAAAAATAGATCTGAGAATAAGAAAAGCATTTTTAAATTGCGTAAACCACAAAAAATATTTCCGATGTGACAATCACTGAGGACGTTTGCTAACCCAGTTAATTGGTTTACATAAATAAATAAATTCACCATTTGGTTCATTTTCTTGAAGTGTAGCCAGATAGATCGGTGTTACAGCACCTTCTTCTATCGTTAATGTACCTTTATGACTTGTCATATCAGTTTTAACATAACCAGGACAACAAGCATTCACAATAATATTCCTTGCAGCCAATTCCTTTGCTTGAATAAACGTTAACGCAATTAAGGCTGTTTTCGAGAAGGAATAAGCAAATTTTGGAAAACCTTTCTCGCAACGATTATTATGAATGCAAGCTTGCTCATAATCTTTGATAATGTTGTCAATGTCGGCTGTTGTAAGGTTTGGAGCTGTAAACCTTCTGATTACTTCATCACTATAACGATGATCAAGAATACCCATTTGACTACATACATTCACCACTCTCCCTCCACTTCGAATTAGTGGGAATAGTATATCACAAACTTTTTTTGTACCATAATAATTGATACCAATTGTAGTTCGAGCTTGTAATTCGGCTGGTTCACTAGCGTCATTTTTGAATGCAAATCCAGCATTGTTAATAAGAACATCGAAACCGTCGTGTTCTTTTTTTAAATAAACTGCAAAATTATCAATGCTCTTACGATCAGTGATATCAAGTTGGTGATAACGGATTTTGTGCTTTTTTTTGTCGTCTAATTCAGAGACAATTTTCGCAAATGATTCCTTTCCAAGTTTCTCATTTCGCGACGTTAAATAAATCACTCCATTCGACAGTTGTTGCGCCAAACCTTTCACTATTGCATAACCGATTCCTTTATTTGCGCCAGTAACGACGAATATACGACTTGCTGACATTCTGTAATTCTTTATTCTTAAATTTATGTTTAAAAATAGATTGTTAAATACGAAATAACGAAGCATAGCGAATTGGATATCCTATGAAAATATTAATTTAAAGAAATTTAATTTAATTTAAATTCACTGTACAAATAAAAAAGATTGCTCAAACTATTCCAATATTCCAATACAAAATCACTTTATTCAACCTTCAGTGAAAGATATAAAAGATAAAAAGCCAACAACTTGCCATATTAACCTAAAAAATTTACAAATAGACACTAATGGAATTGCTCGCGATGATAATTGGTAAAAGAGAACTGAAATATTTAATGTCGATTTATAAGGATCATCAACCTTAATTTAAATAAATTTATCCAGAAAAATAATTTCAATAACTTTCAAATAATTTTAACTTTCAAATACAATTTTAAATTTCAGAAAAAAACCAAAGAAAAATATTCAATAAAATCGTCAAAAAATTTTTCAGAAATAAATAAATTGGATAATTTTTAAAAAAAGAGAATGCAAATTTTTAACTCGGTAAATGAATGAAAATTTTTCTGAAACTTCCATTAAACTTCCATTAAATGAATGAATATTCAAATTTTCACGGATAAATTTCTGCTCGAAAACTTAAAAAGAAAGTCGACTGCAAGCGAACCACGAAAAGCGTCGTTACATTCCATAACGCAAACTGGCGTATTTGTTGGGCAAATGTAAAAATCCTTGTCGAAAACCATCCTTCTATCGTCGTTTAAAGTGGCGTCCGAATAGAAAACGGAATTCAGTCTAAAACTACAAATAACTAAGAACGACTGTGGGCGCCTAAAACGACTGTCGGCCATTCTTGAACGCACTTTTCGCCGCCGAATTTCCAGTCGTCCGAACGAACAAATTGCACGTCTCATTTGAAGTGAACTCAGCGGCACGTGAAAGCGGAAACGAAAAAACAGAGATTTGAAATTTAAGATAATCTTTTTTGCACACAAATCGACCGCATAGCAGTGAATATTTCGTTAAAACAGCAATTTAGAAGATTTTTAAAGTAAAAAATAGTATTTTAAAAATACGTTTTTTGGCAAAACGTAAAGTTTGAAAACTTGAAAATTATCCGCGAAAAATTATTAAATATAAAAAATTAAGAGAAATCATTTTGAAGAGAAATTTTTGCGATACAATTTGACGATAAAGAAGAAGTCCATTTAGAAATCCGTAGAATTCGGGAGAAGTGGATTCCGAGAAGTGTTTGCAGCTGCTTGTTAGCAATCTCTCCGACTATTAGTGCATATTCTGCTTCCGAGAGGAATCGAATTAGATTTTGAGGTGTGGTGGTAAGTGGTGTATATCTGCCTTAAATAGGAAGTAGTACGGAAGGTATGGTGGGATTTGGAAAGTGTGGACTGGAGGAGGCTAACGAGAGCGAAGCAGTTCTCCTGACGAGGAATAAGGGGGAAGGAGTCGCGGCGAGAAAAAACGGATTGTGGAGGGAAGGGATGTTTTTTCCGGACATATAGGCGATAATATGTTGTTATTTCTTTAATGAATCTCTTAGGAATTACGAAAATCATTGCCGTCAAATTGCACTTAAAAGGAGAGAAAAGAAATTTACAGCTAAACTATTTCTAATCAACAGTATTTGAGAATTCTTTGCTTTACAAATAAACTCTTCCTTTGATTCGTTTGCTTGAAATATAACCAAATAGATATATTCCAAACTTTCTCTATTCCTTTTAATTTGTTTCTCCTAAAAGAATTTGTTTTTTAAAGGCCCTCACCATTATAGGTTGGACGCGCTCCACTGGCTTGTCGCACTGGACAAATACGCCAGGGAGTCCCTTGGCGATATAAACCCAAGAGAGTCGCCTGGATTTCTGAATAGCTTTACTCCTGCGGAGAGTGGAACCGCAGCATTGGCGCTACGAATTGAGCAACAAGTGCACTCCTTCTTTTAAAAATTTATGTTATTTCTTACGCTTTTACATAATATCAATCTTTTAAATAAATATATAAAAATGTAAAAAACTTTCCAGTAGAAAACTATTTCGCAGATTTTAATATAAATTCGAATAAGGTACAACAGATAAGAGAAGAGTGAAACGAATGGTAATTATTTAGCTGTAAGTGTCGCAATTTTGACCTCAAAGGGATTGTTTGCATCACGGTGGAAAACTGACGTGGTCTGAACCTCGTTTTCGTTTTAGTCAATGATCTTTCAGGTTAAAATTTGGTAATATTGGCGTTTGTAGATGGTTTTATTGTTTGTTTTTGTTGTTTTTAGCTATTTTATTTCCATTTTAGCAATTTTTTACTATTTTGGTTGTTTCGTTTTCAAAAATAAATAAAAATTAACGATCTTCGTTTTTTAAAAAATATAATTATTTTAATAAATAATTATTTGTAATATTTTTTGTAATATTTTACATTTATATAAATTTTGAAAAATTTATTCATTTTATTTATTCATTCAAAATTTATTCATTTATTTATTTCATTTAAATTTGATCTTTTAAATCAATTTTTAATTTTCTTTTAACAGATACCTCAGTTTCTGATTTTATTGATTACACTGATTAATAGGTTGAAAAGGTTTTAATTGTCGACTTATTGTTATACGTCTGTTGATTTATTTCCTCGTTATGGTGGTTCTGTCGATTCTTTTGCATTTTGCATTTTGCTGAGATAGCAGTTAGTGTTTTTGTCATTATTTTGATTCTCGATGATTCGCTGCATTCTCCTTTCGGCGACTTCTCCTATCTGTTTAGTCAAAAACGGATGGAAAGGAAATTTAGTTCGTTAAAGAAATAAGTAAGACAAGTGGGACACTACTGGGAATATTTTCGAAATATGAATTCTATGAAATAATTCGCATTGAAATTGAATTCTTTCTAGTTGCTTAATGCTCTCTTCAATCTTTTTTGCGTTGCCATTAAGTCTTATCTCTTTTGTTATATTTTTCGATGTCCTCTTTTTCCGTCACCATCATTCGTCCACCATTCCCTCTCCTTATACAGTTATCCCAGCAGTGAGCAGAAAACGCCTGCATGAAAGGTATTTTTAAAAAACTGACTAAAAGAGAAACCCTTGCTAACAAAGGGTAAGCAATTTTTGGAAAAAATGTCTCAAAATTTATGAAAACGAGGAGAAATATTATGTTATAGTGAGATATTGTATCTTATGAAGGGATTTTAATAGCAGATCCAGTAGTATAATGGAGTTTTATTTGATGTTAAAGATCCAAATGAAGCCTGAAGATGGGAATGTTGGAAGATAATAAGAGAATATTAAAATTTTAAATTTTACATTTCAGAGAGTGTTAACTTGAGCGATATGTGGTATTAAGTTAATATAACAGTTTCTGAGGATTAGATATTGGATTTTTAAGAAAGTACCACAAATGCGTTGTAGAAAAAAGTGCAGCGAGGTTTTTTTAAATGAAATAACGGAATATCGATGTTAATTTGTAGTGCACAGTGAGGTTTAATTAGATATTCATAATGGTTGTTATTAAAGGCCCAAAATCGTGTTCGAGGAAAGTAAAGTGGTGTAGAGTGATATGTAAAAAATTAGGCAATGATTGGCAAAGGAAACGAAATTTAAGAAGATATTATACGCTGTGATAAAGAATTTTGATATATTTCATTTCATTGGACTTTAGGAGAAGGAGGATATTTAATGGAAGGATATTAAAGAGAGATGAGGAAATTTTTCTTGATATATAATACTCATAATATAGAGAATACTGAAGGATTTCAGTTCATAACGACAGGTCCATTTTTCTCAATTTGACAATGTAGCCTTTTTCTGGCCCAATATATTATGTTACCTTGGGGTCCAAAGCAACCATTGTGTAGAATGTTTAAAATTGTGTCGAAATTTCGAAATTTGTTCTTATTTTATATGATTCTTCAATTTATCTTCTGGTTTTTCTTAATAGTTTTATGGAACACATCCGTATCAAATTATAAGAAAAGTTGTACTAATGAAATCTCCGTTTTACGAAGGTTATCTCCTACTTTATCAGTAACTTCAGAAATTTCGCTTTACAACAGTTAAAATTTAGTCACTGAGAGCTTTCTGTATTATGACATGGATTATACTTTTTTTTTTTTAATTGAGATTCATTGGATCGACTTACACTGTTGACAGAATAAATTTTGAAATTGGAAGGACTGAGACAATTAGGCAATGATTGGCAAAGGAAACGAAACTGAATGTTGAAGAGAGGGATCTTAGAAAAGAATTAACCGGTAAATTAGAGATAATATTCGAACGAATACACATTATTAGAATACACATTATTTCGAATTTTCATGTGTCAAAATCACTGCGTGTTAAATATATTTTATTTATTTCTTGTCTTCGTTTTCTTTTGTGGTAATCAAATGGCAATCATTATTCGTTTCGATTCGTTTCCAAATAAATGTATAGCATCAATAATTCTGGTTTGCCGACCCAGCATCTGACACTGTTTTTATCGGTCATCTAAGTAAGATGATTATGTGATTCAGTTCAGAAGATTATTTCTGGCCAAGATATCCAGTTGTGGACTGTGCCATACAATATTGATGATCATATATTAATGAAAAGTATGGTGTATGGTGTTCTAGCACCAGTTGTCACGAACCAGAAATCGATATTATCGAACTACTTGTTCTCTTGGAAGTTTGAGAACGAGAAGTAAAAACCTGTCGATAATTATTCGGCAAAATATTCTCGTAATTAAATGCAATGTTTTAACGTAAAATCATGTCTTTTCCTTTTAAATTTAGCATTCTTCCTGCCGCTTCTTCGGGCTGTGGGAAGTAAAGTATAATGCAAGGAGCACAGAACTAGTAAGGAGCTGCTTTTTCACGCACTATTTTTTAAACTATTTTTTAAAGAATTTCACAATTATCAGAAAAAAATGTTAACTGAGTACTGACCCATCCCAACAACTAAAAAATCTAGGTGATCCATTTGTATCGCCGAACTTATTGGTAAAAATTTCTAATTGCTCCTCGAAGCCAGTAGAGTTTGCCTAACCAGAAATGGTGATTTACTCAGCGATAAATACAAATGGATCGTCATTTTCATCATTTACCTAATATGCTAACAAAATTTTAAAGTTCAATCTGTTATTAAAAAAATATAAACTGTTGTAAAGCTATTTGCAAATGAAGTTCTATTTTAATTTTACGAAATTTTATAACATTATAAATCCTGTATTTTTCTGTAAAAGTTTAATTTTATATTTGTTTACAATTTTTCATCGTCGTTTCTCCATTTGTTTGAAAAATTAACCGTTTCTTTACGTTTTTTCCTTCAATGATCAACAACTGCAAAATATTATTAAAATTTATCGTATTATTAACTGATTTTTAATGAAATTTTTAGAACCACGAGAATTCCAAAAATGCTCGATTATTTTTTTATTTATTGTTAATTACGGGTACGTTTGCAGGTCATGAAATCATTGATTCTCTTTTTATTTATCTTGGGGGAATATTTGCTCTTCGATTTCGCTTGGAGTCAACAACAGGTTTCTTGTATCATAGTTAAATAATCTATAATACTCTAATATTTCCCCCATTTTTCTTTATAAGTTCAGGATTTGACATCATTTTTTATTAGTAGATTTCACTTTAAATTCTTGTATCATAGTTAAATAATCTATAATACTCTAATATTTCCCCCATTTTTCTTTATAAGTTCAGGATTTGACATCATTTTTTATTAGTAGATTTCACTTTAAACAATGGAGGAATGAATGTAGCTGGTAGATATTTGGCAGACACTAATATGCTAAAGAATTTATTATAACATGAAATTTCAGTTGCATGATAAAAGAAATCCCTCCAACGCCGAAAATCCAAACGCACAAGGTTATTAAATTATTCTTGTATTTTTGTGATATTTGTGGTTTATAGTTTTATTTTCAGCAGACATATTGCAAAACAAATATTAGGCATGAAGAATGAAAAGGTTTAGAAATTTAGAAATAATTAAAAGAAAATTCAGTGTGATGCCCGCGATTCATCTCATTTTTATCCTCAAAATTATTCATTGATAAAATTTATTTGGTCTGACGAGCCAGTTAACCAAGTCTTACTTTAGAAATAAGCGCTTTTAAAAAAAAAATTTGATATTTTATAAATAGATATTGCAGTTCAACAGCAAGCACCTGCGCCAATTAACGATCCTATAAGGCAACATAAACCGGACGATCAACAACAGCAACTACAAAATGCTCAGGAGATTCTTCAGCAACAGCAGCAGCAACAGCAAGCCGGTGGATCGAAAATTGGTCAAGGAGAGAACTACTTGGCCGATGAACCGGAATGTAAAGATGACGTTGCCAAATATTGCTCTCGGCTTGGAATAGACATGAAAAATGATATGATGATATTGGAATGCTTGCAGGAAGTTGGATTCGCAGAGAAACAACCAATTTCTGACCAATGTCAGCATCTTATTTGGCAATATAAGGTTTATATAATCCATTTCAAAATATTTCTCACTTTCATCACATCTTTTTTTCCTTTTAATGGATAGTTTTATTCTAATTTTTTTCCACTGATTTTTGTTTGCAAATATTTTTAAAGCAAGCAATCGAATAATGTTATTGGTATAATTTTTCTCTCTCCATTCTTATTAAGCTTTCTTTTTTACTTTTATTCACGAATTTTTTTAAAATTTATTTAATAAAAGTGTAAAACATTAAATCTTAAGGTAAATTTGACGCAAGATGATCGTGTTAAACAAGCAGTTCAACAGTATTGTCGTGAAGAAATGTCTTCAACAGTTTATGGAAAGGACATGAGTAAATGTACAGGAATTTCACGATCGGGTTACGCGTTGTCGTGTTATCTCGATTTTTTGCATCTTGTATCGAAAACATCAATTTGTTCACAATTTCTGAGTATGTTTTCAGTATTGCCGAATATATTCAGTTGTAGTTGTCCAGCTTTTTTAACGATGTTTCTTTTAAAGTGGCCATGGGTCGATTGGCGATACATGATTATCCTATCGTAGCTCCTTTTGTGGAAAGTTGTAGTGATACGATTAAGAAACTTAATTGTGGGAAATTAACTTTACCATCGCAGCATGAAAAGTCTCGTATGCCTCATTCTCAAGGTTTGTCATTGTCATTAAAATTTACTTTAAATATTCATTTCATTTTTATTTGGAAATTTTGTCTTTTGCATTTGCAAGATTAACATTTTTAAAAATACGAAAAAATTCCAGGAATATTGAACATTATGTTTGATTGAAGTTTAACAGTTTTGGAATTTAATCAAAATAATATCATATATTAAAAAAAAATGATGAAAAACACATATACATTCATATGTATATAACACATTTTTTTTTTATTTTGCTAGGTGCTACATTGGATTGCATCATTCAGAAATTGACGGAATCTTTAAACAATAATGCTGATCTCCAAAATATTGGTGATCAGTGCCGACACCAAGTTATGCGAATTGTTGAATTGCAACAAGAAGATTATCATCTAGATGTACCACTCTTTTTGGCTTGTCGTGAAGACCGTGAGGTTAGTAAAAAAAAATTTTCAACCTTTACAATGTGATATACAATTACCCAAGTTATTTCCAAATTTTGTCCATAATTTTCAGCGTTTTTGTGCAAATGTTATGTCAGGAAATGGCCGAATTTTTGAATGTCTTCTTGCGCACAGAAGTGACCAGCAAATGAAGCCTAAAGTAATTTTTCTTTCCTTCATTTTAGTTTATTCATTATTTTATAATTTCTGCTTTACAAAAATTTTTCAGTGTACAGAACAATTAGCCAAACGTGCGGCATGGATTGGTAAAAATTTCCGTCTTGCTCATCCACTGGTGGATGGATGCGATGCAGAATTGCGCAAATATAATTGTCTTCCTCAACAGCAGTATGCCGCCTCTCCTAACTTCCATCTTACTTGGGTCTTATTGTGTTTAGAAAATGCCCAGCACAGAGAAGATTCCAAATTTTCTGAACAGTGTCGTCATGAAATGCTTAATCATCGGAAACTTATGATGACCGAATTTCGATTGAGCCCTGAGATCGTCATGAGCTGTGCACAGGTTAGTCTCTTCTTTCATTTTTTAATGTTTCGTTTTAAAAGATTTTAAAAAGAATAATTTATTTCAAAAAATTTTGGGATGACTGGAATTTTTCAGGATATTGATGCCTTTTGTAGTCCAAATGGTGATATAGAAGCTGAAGGTAAAACTCTGCATTGTCTCATGGCACATGCACAGGAAAGGGATGAGAAAAAGCGAATTGGGGTGCAGTGTAGGAATGCTCTTTCAACACTTGTGAAAGTAAATATTTTTGCTTTATTTATAATTGGTTTTGATTTGTAATAATGAATATGGTAATGTGATTCACTTGAATTTGCAACATTATTTTGTGGGAAAATTTTGATGCTTAATTTAATTTGAATGATAAATTAGTTCAAATCGCATAATCTTTTCTGGTTAGGGCACATTCTTCAACTCCACCACAGGAGTTGACGCATATTTCGTTATTTGCTAAACCGTGTGATGGTTGGAGTCAAAAGCGAGATGGGCCAATCAAGACCTGGACTGATACGGTAGAAAAGATTTTGAACGTATAGATGGACCAGCAATATATGAACTTAGACAATGGAAAAAGGAATGGATTCCATTACTGTCGACGATGGCATCAGATCGCACAGCTTGGAAGCGTCTTAGCCATTAGAGCCAGCCTGACCAGTAATAATGAGAGCTGTTAGAAGAAGAAGAAGAAATCTGTGAGAGAATGACCATTTAGCCAATTTCCTATTATTGATATTGGTTGATTTTTGCTAAATTTTTTCTGGTTTCTGGTTAATTTTTTCTGGTTAATTTTTTTTTTAGATCGCAGATGTTCCCTCAAATTACAAGGTTGACCCAGTGCTGTATGGTTCTTGTAAATCGTTAATCGACGGTATATTTCAGTATTATTTATCACTATTGTTACTATTATATATAATGAGTCGAAGTTTGGTGGTAACATAGTTGCCAGTGTTATATCTGGAATGAATTGGATTAATGGCTCGCTTGAACCTGTTTTTCAAAAATTCTGCTAATGATTTGTCTGCTAATGATATCTGTACTTCTCAAATCGCCAAGTACTTCCTTGGCAAATGTTTGGTACAAGAATACCAATCAGCAAGGATGAGCGTTATTTGAAAAAAGAAGACAGAAGACTATCATATAATCGGATTCAATTCCTTCTTTTTCGGGTGCAATGGAATTTTTAGCAGGATTAGGTTCACAGCTTAACTATACTTATTTGAGCAACTTGAGAAAACTCTTTTAGATATTAAATTGCATCAACTTCTCTAATTCATAGGATAAACGAGATAAAGGAGAATTAAATTTTCGATATAATTTAGTATTGGAATATTTCTTTCTCTTATTTATTTTCATTATTTTCTTCGAATTTTCTACGGATTCATGAATTGATTATAAATGCATTATAAATTCTTCTGGGATACAAATATTTGAGAGGATTTTATCTTTAGGTGCATGTGCAATGGATGCTTTTTCTCATACTAGCACTTTAAGTTGTCTAATGCGACATATGGATGTAGATATGCCAAAAGAATGTGAGGATCGTTTACTTGAAATCCAGTATTTCATTTCTCGTGATTGGTATACACCAGAACTTAAAGTTTGTCATGATGATGCTGTTCAGAAGTACGCTCATATATTATTTTATAGGCCGTAATATTACCGATACTGTAATTAGAAATTGGATTTTTTGTGATAATTATGATTCTAAAAAATTTTTTACTATTTTTTTACATTTCTTAAGAGGTCAGTTTTAATTTATAGGTGCTCTGCTGATAAAGATTGGTATGTGCAAAATAATTTTGAGAATCGTCCAGAAAATGGTCCATTCGTTCTTGCATGCCTTTATCGTCTAGCTTATTTTGAAGAAAGTTCTGTAAGCTTTTTATGTCTTGGTTTTTTAGTATGATATTTTTATAAGAGTTTTGTGATATATTAAAAAATTCTTTAATATTTTCAAAACGAAAAGTTATAAAATATATTTAGTTAACCCCAGCTTGCGCTTCCAGTGTTAGAAATATATTGCGGACTCGTGCTGTTCGAGTTAATCTTATACCAACTATCGAAGATGCATGTCGTTTTGCTCTGTCGGAATTTTGCTCTTCAAACGTAAAACCATTTGAAGTACGATTTTTTCAATATTTTTATCTTAGTTTTACATTGTTTAAATCAGGAAATTGTTTATTTCTTTAAATTTTTTTTAAAATTTATGTTAAGGAAACTCCAAAATTTCACATGTAATAATGCAATAGTAATGCAATATTGATTTTTCTTTTTTTCTGGAATAGTTTTTATCCAAGCAAAAAGCATTTTGGCAAAACTAAAATAAGGAATCGGTTTCAGGAAATGAAATGCCTACAGGAACATATGTTCAAAAAGGAATTTCAAATGAAATATAAGCAGTGCCACTACGAATTGAGTGAATTCACGAGAATGGAAGCAAAAGACACGGCCTTAAATACAGCATTGACAAGAGCATGTAAACCAGTTATTATGAAATATTGTTCGGTAATTATTTCATTATTTAATATTCTTTATATTCTTTTATATTTAATATTCTTAGTTGCGGCCTGGAGGTTCTTTTCTGTATTGGCCAATAAATTAAGCAAATCAGAAGTTATTAGAAAAGGAGAGGAGTATTTTTTCCCATTTATCGCTCTTTTTTTAACTTTTCGTTTTATTCAATATTTTTTTCTTCTGTTTTTTTTTGCTTTTTTTCATATATGGATGAATTTAAAATGGCATATTCTTGCAGGAATATGCGAATGAAGAAATGGATCACGGGGGTGTAATGGAATGTTTATCTGTCAATAAAATTCAGCCTGAAATGACTTCAAAATGTCGTTCATACGTAAATCATTTCGAATTGGTTGCTCGTCGTAATTATGCCTATAGTTATCGATTTAATGAAGCTTGTGGTAATGACATTAAAAAATATTGCTCACAAGTGGGCAATAATGTGTGAGGATCTAACTATTCATAAATCTTTTTTTTATTTTTTACTTTTTATTTTTTGATTAGTCTTTTCATGATAAGGGTAAAGCCAAAGTGAAATCTGAATAATATACTAGATCTTACTTTATATCCTCAAATAACTCTTTTGGAAGATCTCATCATAATAATTCGTTTAGCCAGTCAAATTAGAAATAGAAATTTTATTAGATGAATTCCCTATTTTGCAAAAGGTTCAAAGGTAAAAAAGGGAAAGAAGAGATTTCTTTTAATCTTAAAAAATAATTCTTTATTTTTACATTTTAGAGCCGATATTATGCGCTGTTTATCAAGTGTTGCATTTGAAAATAAACTTCTAGGAGGCCCCGATTTGGACAAAGATTGCAAAAAAGAATTTAAGAAACAATATATTCAACAGGAAAAGGTTATCTTGTATTTTTAAGATTTATTTATTGATAATTTATTTGTTTTTTTGTACATTTCATTATTTTTTCATTTTTATTGAATATTACATTTTAGTTTGATGACCGATCCCATATGGTTGACGCAGATCCTCACTTAATGAATAAATGTGCAGAGGAAATCGAGCGATTAAAATGCTCTCGTGAAAGCAGTTTTGAAAATATCGTGGAATGTCTTCGAGTCAATTTTGATACATTAAGTAAAATTTCTTAAAAGATTTATTCTCTTTCCTATTACTGAATTATTCATTTGTTCACTGAATTATTTCAATAAATGATAATGTTATTTTAATAAAAGTAATCTTTAGAACCAGATTGTAAAGCTATTATTTTCGATCGCGAAAAAATTGAAGCGGTTGATAATGTTTTAGATGATGAATTACAGGTGAAATTATGTTAAAAATTTGTTTTCCACTTTATCAGCTACTTTTATCATTGCATATATATATATATATATATATATATAAAAGTTAAATGTATGTATTCATTTTAGACACAATGTCGTCTCGATATTGATAAATTTTGTCCCGATTATAAGAGAGAAAACGTTTTGGATTGCCTGAAAAACAATAAGATATTGGGAAGATTATCTTCAAATTGTCAGAAGGTAATAGAGCTGTATGCTTTTTTTTGTCGTTTAGATTACGTAAAATTTTTTAATAAATTTAAATTTGATTAATGAATTGCAGAAATAAATGATATTATGGTTCATTTTCCAATTAGATTTTTTAAATCTCCAGTTAACTCTCTTCGTTTTTAGACAGTTGTAGAACGTCTTCATGAAAAAGTTCGTGATATTCGTCTCAACATTGGATTGTTCGAATCATGTAAGAAGGAGGCTGAACATTAGTATATTTTTGTCATTATGCCATTATTTATTCCTTCACTCTTCTACCATTCACTGTATATCATTCTTTTTTTATCTCTGTCTCATCAATAGTTTAATGGTAGTTTTTCTGAACATTCATAGCCTAAGCAGTTCATTCAGACCGTTTATCCTGATTATTTTTAGTTGTCCTGATGATTATAAGAAAATAAATGATCATCAATATGCGAGGAAAACATTGGAAGGAGTATTAGTTATGTGCTTGCGAACACAGTTTGCTGATCTCCGCGAAGATGTTCATTTCAGTATAAAATGTAAAGACGAGGTATTAATTTTGTTTGTTATGATTTTTTTTCCTTCATTCTTTATTTCTTCAATATTTTTCAAGTCTAATCATTTCACAAGTTCCAGGAGTCGATCAATTATTTTTTATAGATTTCTAAAGTGATATTAGAAAGCGAATTTGATGTGCAACTTGATCCCTCATTATATCGAGCATGTAAAACAACGATACCAAAGCATTGTTCGAATAGCGTTATTGCTCGAGGAGGAAGTTACGAATCTGTTTTAGAGTGTCTTAAAGCTGATTTCAGACAAGGCCTTATTTCTGATGCTGAATGTTCTCGTCAGGTATGATTGATTTTGATATGATTGTTATTGTTTATTTCAACATTATATTTAAAATCTTGGCTTTGTCTTATGAAATAATTCATTGTGTTTTCGTACTGGTTGTTAATGAGATTTTTCAGTTAGCACGTCGTTTGCATGAGTCCTTAGTCGATATTCATCTCGATCCAATATTGCATGAGGCTTGTGCAACTGATGTCCAGCGTCTGTGTAGAGACATTCCTCCTGGTCAAAGCAGGAGTATGAATTTTTTTTATTCAAATAAATAATCTTTCAACTTCATTTTGGATTTATAAAATTTTAACAGACCGATTTATGAAATGATTTTCACTTTAGCTGTATACAATATGCTGTTTAAGAATAAGTCTAAAACGATTCGGCCTTTTAATCCCTATCATTCATTTAAAATAATTATTGAAGGTTCAAATATTTTATATTCCAGTAATAATTTGTTTAATGGATGTAATGAAAGAGTCAAATTTGAAATTGTCGCCTACATGCCAGAATAAATTGACTGAAAGGAACGAATTGTGGGCTAGAGCACACAAAGTATGTATATGTATCGAGTTTTTAAGTTTTTAAGGTCTTTATTTATATTTCGCAAAAAAATAAAAAAATTTTGTCATTATTGATATGGAATCACTAAATGATCACAATAATTTGAATTTTTGTTTTAAGGAATATGCAATGCCACTGCCAGAAAATTTTGCCGACGTTATTGATATTGTAACGAATCATCCTCGTAGAACATCTTTACTCACATGGTTTGCTGCTTTTGTAGTTATTCTTTTTATTGTTGGTTGTTGCTGTGGTCGCGCTTCAAAGAGAATCCACCGTGAACTCAAAAACCGTTAATCTCATTTGCATTTGAAGGCGTAGGGCCTTTTCAAGCCGAAACCGCAATATTTTTATTCCCGCTGAGAAAAAATCGAATTCATTAGATGTGAATAAATATTTTATTATTTATCTATCTGAAAGAAGAAGCTGTTTCTGCTAATGATTTTCACATCTTTGTATTTTTTATATTCTTTTCATTTATATTTTCATTTATATTTTCGTTTTCTCATTGTAGATAGTTTATGATAATATTTGTTTATACTTAAGCTAATTGAGATGATGGTGCAATTGAGCGATTTGAGATGAGAAGTGAAGTATAAATAAAAGTCCTGATTTTTATTAAATGGAATTATTTCTTCAATTGATTTAAAGCATATTTAATATCATTTGTATTAGCACTTTTGGATTTTTCTCATTCGTTAATCCATTGTTAAATGGCTGTTATAGTAAAATTTTTAAATTTTTTATTACTGATTTCACTTGATTCATATTTTTATTATAATTTTTTAACGTTGTGATATTTCCTTTTTCTTTTCTTGTATAAATAGCGCGAGGAAAATTTTTGTTGCGCAGCTCCTTCTTCCATTCGCGCTTAAAATTTTATTATTGCAAAGTTGTAAAAATATGGAAAATAATTTTTCATAAGGGCCACTTTCAGTTCCTTAGAAATGAAGCTTTCATTTCTAAAAGATGGGTTTCTAAGTTTTCCTGGAGGGTCGCGGGATATTTTAATAATAGAATATTTTTGTTCAGTGTTTTATACTTTATTCAATGTGTACGGTTTATTTGGCATTTATTGGTGAATTAATTGATAAAAATATTTAAAGAATAAGTTATAAAAAACAAAAATTAAAAAGTTTTAAAACAATCAGTTTTGGCAGTTTTTCTGGATTTAAGAATAAGGTTTCAAAGATGGAACACATTTTGCTTTTTTTACATTTTTTTAATGGGTCTTGGAAATTTAGGGAATCATTGTGTGTTTTTCGATTTTTGTTATTGATCATATCAATTGTTTGCACAATATTCTTCTATCTCAGAAATTTTCTTTCTTGGAAAGACTTTCGAGTTTTGCATTTTTGTGTGGTCGTGGCATTTTACTATTTCTTTTACTATTTGATAAATTGACAAAAAAAAATGTAATAATTATTAAATTATTAGAATATTTTTTGTGTATTTGTTAGCTTATTTAATTCATTTTTTGTTCATTTTCAAGTAAACTTAATTTTTGTTTGAAAATACTTTTGGGTCGACAAAACCCATGGATGTCAAAAGATTTTTGTAAGGTAATCCAGTGGCTATTCAGAATCGACTTGGATAAGCCATTTTTAGCTGACACTATAAGAAAGCGTGCCTTTCTTAGCGCCTGTGGAGCCAAACAAAGAAATTTCGCATGCGAACCTATGAGATAAAAATTTTACAAAAAAATACAAAAAATTTTATCAATTTCAATTTATCAATTCTTCAATTTCTCTTTTATTGGCAAAGCTGTTCATTTAAACTGTTTAAATATGTGAGAAAAGGATAGCGGACATATCGGTTTTTAATAACGATGGGAGGCATTTATTAAGCAATTCTTATTTATCATTGAACATTAAATATAAAATATTTTGAATTTGTTCAAAAACCTATCAGAAATTCCACGATGCATGACGTTTACAAAATCCTTCTATCTACATATAAAGATCAAAAATTATGTTAAAGTTATTTGCAGCCATTCTCCAAACTTTAATGAAATTTCATTTTTATGAAATAAAATTTTTTTCTCACCTTGAAGTAAACTCAGCACATTCAGCCAAGCACGAAATATGCTGCTAGAAGAAAATCGGTCATTTTTCGATGCCCGAAAAATGTCAAACAACAACGTAAAAAAAAAATAATCTGGTAAAAAGAATACAAAATACAAAATGTTCCAAGGTGAAACGATTTAGCAACTAACTTAAATATCAAAGAACCAAAAAAAATCAAGTGGCAATAATTTTAACTCACTAAAAAAAGGAGAAAAATAAATCTAAAGAATTTCAAAAAAAGAAGTTCAAAACCTAACAGTTTAACATCCACGAATCGTTAGACCACTTAATTTTCGTTTCATCACAAGCTTTCTCTTGATTTTGGTCATGTAAAGCGCTAGAAATATTTGCATCATCTTCAACAATAATTGACTCCATTATTTCCAACTGCTTACCATTACTGCTACCGAAATCTAAATGCATAGCCCACTGATCGAAATTTCTTTGCAATAATCTTTGTTGCTTCTCATTTAATTTACGATTTTCCAACCGAAGATTTTCTATCGTAATTGTTTGCTTGTGAATAAGTTCAGATTGCATTTCGTAAAGGATATCATTATGTACTTTTTCATTAAGCAATTTATCACGCTCACATATCAACTGATTAACGTTATTTTGATATTTTTGAATTTCTTTTATTTTGTTTTTTAACTCTTTTATGGTCTTTTTCAAATTAATGTTTTCATGTAGGATCTTTTTTGTGATACTTTTCTCGAATTTCTTCTTTTTTGTATCGTTTTTTGAAGTTTGCAACGAATCTCTTTCAAAATTTGTTCCTTCTTTTTTCGATGCTGAGTTCGAAGCAATTATATCAGTGCCTTCTTTAACTGATGCATCACAGTCTCTGGCAATATTAAAAGTCGTAGAATCACCGCAACAAGAAAAAATCGCGCAAGTTGCATGCTTTTTTCTTAAACGAGAAGTGGTAAACAATGATTCTGCAAAAAATCAAAAAGAAATTAAAACTTTTTGAAAATTTTTGGAAAATCAACCAAACGATTCCATTATTTCCACCTTTTGAAGTAGTTTCGAATGTTGCATGTTGAGATATAATACCAGATGAATCCAACCGTTTATCAGGGAAACGAAGACGAGTAGAAATCGGTCGTCGAAAGCTAATGTTCTTTTGTTCTATCTTCTCAACTGCTTGAAACAATTGCCTTGAATGATTGTCTTTCTCTTCTTTATCGCTGCCTTCTGAAACGAAATTTCTCAAGTAGCTCTAATAATTTCGACCGCACGAGGCAGACTTATTGTCTGTAGCAGTAAATGCTCTAATTGCAGTACCCTCTTGATATTTAACAGTAAAATCTTCAAAAAGAAAAATTGTAGATGTTTTGAAAAAAAAATTAAGTAAGAAGATTGGAGCTAAATAATCTGTTTAACTTTTTCCAATTTTAGCGAAAGAAACAACAATCGGAAAGTGAAAATGAAAATTTACCCAAAATAACTATAAATATTTATATAAATACATATATAAATACTTAATTGTACCACAAAAAAAATCTGTTGAAATGGTTTTCTGACACGATTATACCTTGCTGAATCAGTGGAGAACCAAGTAGTTTACTTGGAACACGCTGTCGTTGAGAATATCTGGCCACAATTTTCCGATTCAACGTGTGCTCATACGAAGAAACTTTTTTCACTTTCTTTCGAATCGCAATTCTCGTTTGCTGCTTATCACATTTTCTTTTTAAGGATTTCTTTTCCAATGACTTAATATTCTGCGAAATTTCGCCTGGGAAATTTTCTGAAAAAATTAAAAATTTTTATTTTTTCATTTTCTAACAGCAAACGCCATTTCTGTTTTGGCTTGCTTCATTACTATTAGGATGAATTAATATCTTCTCGATAGGAAATTGGCAACAGAATAAGTGGGCACTCGATAGCATTTTTGATAGCAGACTTACTCCTATTGTTAAAGGAAACTGGACCCAAGAGGCTTTAATTATGCTGCACTCGAATCACCAGCCTTTACGTCAATTTTGCTTTTAATAAAAATTTAATCGAACCATGCTTTAATTATTCAGCCCACAGTTTTATCGCTCTCTTTATTCTTCCACATGCAGAAATTAAATGTCTTTTCTATTTAAATTTCTACTTGAAATTTCTATTTGAAATAAATTTTTATCCCAAACTTCTTTCTGTGTTCGCTTCATCCATATCGAATCGAAACTTTGACAGTGGGTTCTCCTTCATTGCCACTGATTCAGCAATAGGAGAACCGACTCGGCGACTGGGTAAACGATATCGCTGAGGACGATGAATGGGCTCAACGGTAACTGCACCACTTTCACCTGCATTTTGAATTCTGCATTGCTCATTCGTCGGTTTAAAAGTACCATTTTTACATTTATCCTTCATCATCACTGAAAATATAAATTTACATAAAAATTTTATAAGAATTAGGTGATCATTAATTTCCACATCTAATTTGTCAAATTAGAATTCCACATTAAAAGAAATAAATCAATTCATAGATGCGATTAATTTTTCAGAGTAAAATGGCTCGGAATGATGTTTCTCAGATTTCCTGTGCAGGCGTTCTGCTCTCGGAAGAAGTAAATCTATCTTTCAAAAATCCGGGTGTTCCTGCTGATTCATCTCGACATTCCATCGTCAAAAGCTCCCTAATAAAATTTGCCTGACAAGCCAGAAGAGTCAAAAAATGAGAAAAAAATAATGCTTACATAGAAAAAAGCTAAAAGCAAATATTCTTCTTTTTTGTTTTTTTAGCCAAAATTTACTAAAATCGGTCTACCAAGCCAATCTTAAGCCAGAATAAACCAGCATAGCAATACACACAGATAATAAACAACTTTATTTACTTCATCGAGCTTCGCAGCACTCGGCCACGTTAAGCAAACTCATTTCGCTGCAGGAGATCGCTTCCGCTCGAATTGCACCAGCTTTATCGGATTTTACCAGTCGACTTCGACCGTTTCTCGGCGAATGGAATTACAATATTTTTGATAAAATAACATTTTTTAAAAATTATTATTTCCGCCAGTTTAAATAGATTTTTAAAAAAATCTCTTCTTTGAACGTTTCCAACCAAAAACATTTGAAAAATCCCTCTTCTAAAGCGAAAAAGCACCAAAAAACAACACAAAATATCACAAACAATGCAGGAAAAAGCAATAATTATTTAGAATTTAAAAAAATTAAAAAAAAACAAAAAATAACTAAATATCGGCTGGACTATCGGCCGCGAGGAATCTTTAATTTTGCAGTCTCATGCGGAAATTTCCACGCGCTAGCTTGGGCTTGAGTCTATTTTTGGATAAAATCGGTTCGTTCGGGTCGTAAAATGCTTTAGGGGTTTGGAAGTGATTTAACGGTTCTATTTTAATCAATTTCTTATTTCAATTTAATGTTGCCATTGTAAAATCGAAAAATTTTCAGTGGATTATTCCAGAAATTCCGAATTCGATGAAAATATTTGGTTGAAATTTTCTATGGGTCACATAAATTTGAAAGAAAGAGACGGCGCATCGTTAACACTTCGATTAATGCGTTTTCGGTTTGCATAATAGAGCAATTTAATCTTTAACTTTTAACAAACAAAAAAAATTAAACAAATAAAACAAAACTTTTATTTATTTATCGAAAATCAAACCAAACAGAGCGACAAACGCCATGTATTTGCATTAATAACAAATAATAAGAATTGATGATAAAAAAAAGAAGAAAATATGATAAGGAATTAACAATTTAAAGATGAATAAAGATGAATAAAATTACAAAATAATATAATATAGTAGTACAATTCGAAATAACTATAATCGGATGGTAAAAATCGAGACTTCACACTTCCTGCATTACGGGAATTTTTTAAATAACACCATAAATGATATTATCTAATTTATTATCTTTTTTTAAAGATAGCTAAGGATGGTGCACAAGCTGTATCATTCGGTAATTTATTCCAGTAATTAATATTACGAATAAAGAAATCATGAGTTCTTAATTTAGTTTTACTCATAGATTTTAGTAATTTTAGCCTATTAGTTCTTGTTGGATTCAAATTTAGCCTTAAATTACATTTTGAATAATCTAGTTTAATCTAACCACACAGAATTTTATAAACATAAGTTAAATCTTGTTTAATTCGACGAACTGAGAAGGAATCCAGGTTATATTGTAGAAATTTTCTTTTATAATTAAAATTACAATTTGGAGAGAGGAGTTGTATAAAATATTTTTGGAATTCTTCAATTATTTTATTTGATTTGCTATATCTCGGATAACATGTAGTATTATTGTAGTCAAGAAGTGGCCGAACGAACGTTTTGTACATTTTGATGAGATGAGAAAATCTTCAGCTTTGTTCTTAAACGAACGATAAGAAAATTTAGTATCTATGAGGATTTCTTTGCCATGGTCCTGCAGCGAGGGTCGAAATCGAGATTTTCATCCATGATTATTCCAAGACCGGAAATGTGTGAGACTCTACTGATTATATTACCATTAATAAAAGGATTAGGAAAATCGAGACCTTTAGAATTAATATGAAGAACGCTACATTTTTGAAAAGAAAGGGTAATTTGCCTATCATATAGCCAGTTGGGTATTCTGTTGAGGTTCTCCTGCAGTGGAGATAGGCTATCTGTTCTACCATGAGAATAAATTTTGCAATCATCAGCATAAAGACAAATAGCAGAATTTAATATCACATTGGTGATATCATTTATATATTATAGAAAAAGCAATGGTGCAATACGACTGCTTTGGGGAACACCATATTTAACAGGTCTTGTGTCAGAGAGAATGTTATTAATGCGTACGGCTTGGTGACGATCTTTCATATGACACACAGTCTGACACTCAGTTATAAAGAGTCCCTGTAGTGCCATAATTATTAAGAGTGATCAGTAATTTGCTATGGGGAACAGTATCAAAAGCTTTAGCCAAATCTAGGTGCAACTAAATTAGAATGCAAAGGTACAAAATTCTCAAAAAATATTTCCTTCGAGAAAAATGCAGTCTTGAAAATGCAGTCTTGTGTCAGAGAGAATGTTATTAATGCGTACGGCTTGGTGACGATCTTTCTGACACTCAATTATAAAGGGCCCCTGTAATGCCGTAATTATTAAGAGAAAAACTTCTGAATTTAAAGTTTAAAAAAAGTTATTAAAAATTTTAAATTAAGAATTCAAATAAAATAATGCTTTTGGTGGAAAATGAATATTAAACGATATATAAAATGAAACGTATTGTTGCGAAGTCGAACAATAGTTTGTTGTTGTTGGTGGTGTCGAGTTCGGCTCTTAACAGTGAGTTCCGGATTTTAACATGTTATAATTTTCCATATTTTTTCAGCAAAAATGTAATAAATAATGAAATTTTATATCTTGGCGATCCACAATTTCTTCCCTGAAGTCTCTAAATTTTCATAGAATCGCTCATTCACGTTGTATATTTATCATATGAATCTCTTCTTTATCAAACAGCACGCATCATTGCTGATTTCTCTTGCTCCACTGGTAACTACGACCAGATATTTCATCTTGAATTTCTTTCCTTAGTGTTGAATAAAATCCGATATAATAAAGAAACTGAAATATTATAATATTTAAATAATATTTGAAAATCATATGTTTATCCATACTAAATATTATATTTAAAATGTATTTTACTTAAAATAGCTTCAAATAAAGTTTCTAAATGGTACATAAACGAGTATTCTATAATTTTATTTGAGGAGAATATATGGATTTGATTAAAATTTTTGTTATTAAGTTAAGGCTGACCTCAGTGAAATAATTGGAGGTCATATTTGTGTCATAAAATTGCTGATTTGTGGTTGGTTTCCTTTTGATACGAGAAGACAGGCGTATTGATGGATTTGCGATAAACTGGTATAAAACCCATATCCAACTTTTATGTTCATATAAACCTTCGTAAAATTCGGATGCTATTGCTCGAATCTGAATTCGCACAAATCATTTCCTGAGCCGATCATAACCATAACAGTTGTCGTGCATATCGTTGAAGATGTTAACAGTTCAAATAAATGACTTTACTTTTGGTAAATTTCTTCCTGGAACATAAGGAAAATCATGGTGTTCAACATGGTAGCCAACATTATAAGTGACCAAATTCCAACAGCCGTAATAGCTATACGTTTCTTGATCTTTAAAGAAAATATAGTGTTCCGATATGAAATGTCCAGCACTTGGATGAATTCCCATCGCTATTATTGTGCCAAATATCAAATAAAATAATGATTTTAATCCGAAAAGCCATAGAATAAGTAAATCAAATGAAATCTAAAAGTTGGAAAAATTTTTGGTCATTGGATTTGCTAAAGCGATAAATTGTTAGCCAATGAGCTTATGAGCTAAGACCAATTTATGACACAAATTTTTTGGCAAAATTGATAATTTGAAGAAGTTTATCGAGCACTTTTCTTCTATCTCTGCTTCCCCTCTCCCTTCTCGTTCCTTATCAGATCTCAATCGACATAATCGAAGCATCTGATAAAGGTTCAAAATAATGCACTTATCCTAGAATAGGCTACGCATGCAAAATTCAGACCGATCCTGCTGCTCACGTGTGGAAGCTTAGTTTTGCGAATAATGCCTTATGGTAGGCAATAATAGTCTGATTGATTTAACTTATTTGATTGGGTCGTAATAAGAGTAATAATAAGAATTAAAGTAAGAATTACCTGAACAATAGCATTTATAATTTCGAGATCAGTTGGTGCTTTCTTATATATAATTAGTGGTCGAAAGGCGTAAAATATGGGCTGCAGCAATAACCATACTAATTTACGAAAGGTAGTCGCAAACAAGTGAACTTCTAATTCTGTCGGCAAATCCGTGTCTAACTTATCTTCGCCTAAATCAGATCAAGTCGCGTTTTCCCATTTCTACCATTTAAATCAAAGCAGGAAATTGCGGAAATTTTCATAAATCGTGCGACAGTAGAGTTGAAAATTTACCTAAGTATCTGTGGTGCTCCACATGGTATTTCTTAAATGATATCGACATGGGTATACCGATTGGCAGATTTGCGAAGATACCGAATAATCGGTTCTGTTAACGATGAATTATGAATTTTTCGTAAAGCTTTGCGAGAAATAAATATTTCGAGAAATAAAAGGTAATTTAAAATATAAAACCCAACAAAATGTGAAACTCTCTACTTGCTCAACAAATTATTATCCATCCATCGAAGAGATTTTAGCAACTGTGGAATGAATGATGAGTTAAGATAATAATTCAGTGATTCCGGCGGAAGTATCCGATGTTATTCCTTAGAATAGTAGAATTCCTAGTTTAAGTGTTATAGTTTAACTAATACTCCTTGACGCGAATAATTCTGCTAGTTTTTTTTCTAAGAGCGCTCACCACTGCTGGTTGGCGGTGCTCCGCTGGCTTCTCAGGCCGACTAAATTTTGCTGACGATAGAAATAGAGGTGAGTCGGCAATGTTATCCAGGTTTTTAAAGTTATGCAAAGTAAAAAAGAATTCGGACGTTGTTGGTGATCTTCTTTCATGTTTCTTTGACCAAAAAGTTGCAAGTTTCTTAGTCACTGAAACAGACCGAACCAGAAGGGTGGTTGCTATGGAAGAAACAAATTTCGGTTTTTTGAAGCTCATAAAAATAAAATTAATTCTACGTACTTACAGCCAATGGTCGTGAATTTCCATAGGCGACGTTATGAGATATGTCATGTATTGCTAATGTCAAACCGTGGTTTATGATACCACCAAAGAAGTACGATTGAAGTATAACAAGAGACCAACTCGAATCTATTGAATTCATTATTTTTTTCAAAAATTACGCAAAATATTTTATAATCTAATTTTCTACTTAATATTTATTGCGTTTTTCGTTGTTTATAAGTAAAAAAGAATATGTAAAATGAAAGAAGGGAACAGAAAAGGAGAATTTCTTTGATGGTCGCTACCTTTAAGAAGATAAGAAGCAACAATTTGCACAAAAACGTTGGCAGTGACAACATATTTGAAACTTTCATCGATACCAAAGAGCTGAAATTTTGAATTCTTTGCGACGGTCACTTAAATTTTGTTTGAGTAAACTTGCCTGGGTAAATGCTGAAATTGCGTTTTTTTGCTTTCTCTCACATCAAATGTTCAGTTCTTACTTTTCTCGTTGTTTGGGTGGATTTCAGGCAAAATGCAAGGCCATGTTAAAATCAACGGGACACGGCGATTCAGCTGTCCTTTTGGTTGTTCTCAAATTGAACTCTACAATATCATAAAGCAACAAAGGGACAACTGACCACCGATTTTACCACCACAGAATAATATTTAAGTTAAAATTCATTTCATCAAATAACCTTCTTTATGCATGGATATTTCTTGATGATTTTTTTTCTCCGATTTAAATGTGGTTGATCGGTGTAATTCCATTGATAATCCTCATTTGATACGCGCTGTCCCATTTTTTAAAATAAAATTCGAAATATCACATTTGAAAATTTGAACATTGTTTAAGTGCCTAGAACCTCAGATTGTTAAAACTCGTCAGGAATATATCCATGCTTTAAACCATCCATGACCTTTGGTCGTCAAACTGGCCTCTATAAAATCTCTCTCTGCCCATGGATCTCTCAAGAAATGCATAAGATGGTAGCAAATTATTTTCAGTGACTATTTTATGCCGGTTTTTCATACTCATTCTCAGGTAGAAAAAAGTTCGATAAATAAAATTTCCATTCTCGAAATCTTGGAAGTTGTTGCGCTGAGGACTATGGATTTTTGTAGCATCATCTAGGGAATCCGTGGATAACAATAATGAGCAATGCCTTACAGCGCACAGTATCATTAACCAGCGCATGTGCAGAGTCCTGATGCCTATATGAGCTTACAAAAATTACTATTCTTTTACTAATTGGGAAGTAAGTAAGTTTTTACTGCAGCTGTTACCGTAATTGCGGCAAAAATTTAATCGATTCCATGCAATGATTCAACAAAATAAATAAAAGTACCAAAAGCAAAAATTAATTTTTCGACTGCATCGTGAATAAATTGTTTAACAGAAAATTTTAAAAATTTTTTATTCTTTTCCGAATTTTCCAAATTTTAAATTTTTTCCATTCTTATATAAGTGCGAAATTTTCGGAACTAAAATAAAATTCTAAAAAATTCGTTGCATCCTTTATGTTTAGTTTTGCACAAATAAGTTTAAAATTCTCGATTAATACGAAAAATCGAATTAAAATTAAAATTGAATTATTCGAAAATTGGTCTTTGGTTAAGTTAAAGATAAGTAAATTAAGTAAACTAAAAGCTTAAAAAAAAATTTTTATGCCAGTGAATCGGTACTCACATAAATTCGTTATCAACAGCTCATTTTCAAATCGTATTAATTGACTGATTAATTGATATGAGAATGATAAAAAAAAGTTCGCCCATGTGGAAAATAAAAAGAATCTAAATTATTTATTAATGTGCGATAAGGTGATAAGGAAAAATAACGAAAAAAGTTGGAAGGACGCAACCGATTTAAATTGCCATTTAGTTTCCTAATTTAGAAATTCTTTTTATAAGCGAATTTCTTTCTTCATTCGTTCATTCAGCACGGTGAAATTTCATTTTTGAAACACTATCGTGCCAATATTCAATATTCTCGTTAAATCCTATTATTACTATTATTGCTATTACTCTTATCATTGTAATTATCATTATATAATCATTATTTTATTATTATTCTTGAAAATTCCATTCAATAATTTTAAAAAAAGGCCAACAAATTTAATCGAAATTTGCATATCGTAAAAACATATTTTACGAAAAAAAACCTATCTATTGAGAAATGCAAGAAAATTAAAGAAAACGAAAGGTTTTATTTGCCATTCTTCTTATATATACCGAAAATGTGAAGTTTATTGAAATCACCGAACAGACGAGCGACAAGTGCCATCTGCTTGCATTAATAGAAATAGAACAACAAGCGGAGAACACTGATGATAAAGAAGGAATAGGACTCAAGCTAATATGTAAAGAGGAATGTAAAGAGGAGATAAAGATGAGTTGCGAAACAGGTAATTCGACTGAATGCATAATTTACTGACTACTGATGTACTATAATCTGATGGTGAAAGAAACTTCCAGCGTAATATGAAGCCTTTTTTAAAAATAGCCGAGGATGACACACAAACTACATCGTTCGGTGGCTTATTCCAGTAATTAATAATACGAATGTCGTTCTTTTAGTTCTGCATTTAGGTTTAATAATTTTAGCCAATCAGATCTTGGTGGATTGAAATTAAACCTAAAATTATAATATTTGGAACAATCTAATCTGATTTGACACAACCATATAGAATTTTTTAAACATAAATTAAATCTTGCTTAACTCTATGAATTAAGAGCGAGTCTAGGTTATACAGTTATACAGCTATATTTTATAATAAAGCTTGCAGTTAGGAAAGGGGCGACGAAGAAATATCTCTGAAGTCTTTCAGTTGATTAGCTTGATTTGCGGAATCGTGGGGATAAAAGGTTTTTTCCTCAAGAAGAGGCCGAACTTCGCACCTTTTTTTCAAAATACTCATCGATAGTTTCGATAAATTATTCTTCGAGACAGTCGAGAAAATTGTGGCAGAAATAATGGTATTCACCATAATCGCTGATTTCAAATTGTTTATTTCACTCCTGAGTCCGTGACAATGATGAGAGAGAGATTTGATAGACCTTACTAGCTGCGAAATTAATTCTTACTGCTTATTTTTCAATAACAGAGGACAACTGTAGTTTCAAATCCTCTTTTTTTAAGAGTCCTCACCATTACAGGTTAAACTCGCTTGTCACATTAAGCAATATGCCAGGGAGTCTCTTGGCGATAGAAGTACAGGTGAGTGGCCGAATTTTTGGACAGGTTTACTCTTGCGGAGAATCAAACCTCAGCATCGGCGCCCCCAATCGAGAAGCAACCCATTGAGCCATTCTATCCCCAAGTCTTATCGCTTCTCAGCCTATTGGCAAAGACCAAAGTACACTCGCAAATCCTCTACAATTTTATATGAAGAATTTTTATCTTTTGTTTACCCAACATTATTACTATTTCTTAAAAGAATGTCTCATTTAATTAATTCTATTTATTCTTTTATAATTACCAATCTGAGTAATAAAGAAGGAAAATTTTTCATAGACAATGGATCGGACAATTGCATTCATTAAAATAGTGATAAGCAAATAGTGATAAGCGAATCGCTTAACAATTAAGTACATCAAAATTTATTTAAAATTTGAAAGATGTGATATCCGCATTTGAACTAAATTACTCCTTGGAGAACAAACGCTTCAAAGTTATAAATACAGCAAATAAATATGAAAATGAAAAATTTTAGACGCATATATAAGCAAATAATGAAGGCAAATAGTTTCCGATTTGTGCAAATAACATGCATAACAATGGATTATAAAAAAATTTCGCTACTCGTAACGGCGAATCCAATTTTTTGCGCGAATTTTCACGAAAGGAATTAATGAATGAATGAATAAATATAAATAAAATTAAATGATAATGCAATAATAAAGAAAAAAAAGTGGAATTAATGATAATTAATCAGAAATTTGTTGAGATTTTAATTGTTTGTTGCTTAGATACGATAATTAAAATTATTTATTATTTTCATAAATTCTATTTATAAAAAAAAAATAAAAATTCGCACGTCGGATTTTTTCAACTTTTATATGCGGAAATTTCTATCGAACTACGCATATTTATTTTATCAACCATTCATTGATTTGAATTTTTAATGAATATTTAATATCAATTGATAATAGAATAGAAGTACAGGTGAGTGGCCGAATTTTTGGACAGGTTTACTCCTGCGGAGAATCGAACCTCAGCATCGGTGCTCCCCAATCGAGAAGCAACCCACCGAGCCATTCTATCACCATGTCTTATCGCTTCTCGGCCTATTGGCAAAGACCAAAGTGCACTCGCAAATCCTCTACAATTTTATATAAAGAATTTATATCTTTAGTTTACCAATTAGTACTAATTACCAATTATTGTTTAATGCCAGTTGATGGGGGATAGAATTGCTCAGTGGGTTGTTGCTCAGTTTGGAGTGCCGATGCTGAGGTTTGATCCCACATGAATAAACCTGTCCAGGAATCCGGATGTTGCTAGCGACTCATCTGTATTTCTATCGCCAAGGGACTGGCATATTACCCAATGCGACAAGCCAGTGCAACGAGTTTAACCAGTAATGGTGAGGACTCTTTAAAAAAATGCCAATTGATAACATTTAATTTATCAATTAATATTTGCTATGCATAAATAAATATTTATTTTGGAGTGACACTGCTGAGGTCTTATTCCTTGTAGGAAAGACTTCAAAAATCCAGGTGATGCTAGCAGCCCATCTGTGTCGCTATTGCTAGTGAATTCTTTGCAAAATTTGTCTTGTTGAACGAACCAGCGAAGCTAACCAGAAACGCTGGTCGCTTTTCGAAAAAGAATAACATTTTATGGTTAAATTTCTTTCAAGAGCACTCAACATTAGACTGGTTAGACTCGCTCCGCTAGCCTTTGTACGCTGGCCAAGGAGCCCTTGGCGATATAACTACACTTGACTTGTCCGAATTGTACAATAAAATATGCCATGATATAATTATATGAAGTGATAATATCAGAAATATCAAATTTTTATAAAAATTTCCAAATTTCTTAATATTGCCCTTAATAAAATTTTTTCATCTTTAACTTGTATGACTGGCATTTTCAGAAGCATCAGTGAGAAAATAGTATCTGGAAAAGCATCATCCTAATCAGCGAACGAGCCAAATTAGAACCGATATATGCTGCTAGGAGAAGAAGAGGAGGAAAGCAGGAAAAACAAGATAAAAGTCTGATTAATATATTCACATTTCGGCTGATGTCATTGGCTGCTGGGCTTATCGTCGGCAATTTCTTCGGTGGGCCTTGTCGAAAAAATCAGTAAATTTCCTGGCCACAGTAGTAGAGTTTTCGTTATTTTTTTATTAAATACCAAATATCACTAATTATTGCTCCACATTTTTGTCGCAAAAATGGAGCATCTTTCGATTAACAAATTTAAAAAATCATTAACGATTCGTTCAATTCGATATGTTCAAAAATTAATTTTTACTTTTAGCCACAAAAGAATGACTTTTATTGAATGAAATATTCTTAAAATAATTAGTAAAAAGGAAAAATTTGAAATGAAATTTCTAAAATAGCATTTCTACTCTTTTAATTCTCAAAAAATTTTTTCATTTCTAATCTATCAACGGTGAATTTTTAAAAATCTTCATCAGACTGCTTCGCAGAGTTCATATATTATTCGAAGCGATTCGTTTATAATAAAAAGATATCGAGCCTTCCATAAAAGATGTTAATTGATAATTGATAATGCTTATCATTTGGCTATTTGTTTAAAGTAGTAAATAAAATTTTAATAGGAATTTTTTGAATTAAACATTGGGAATTTAGAATTATCGGTCTGATTTGACTGGTTTCATTGTTGCTAATTAATGAATTGTAAGGATTTCGCCATTTGAGGACAGAAATGAATCGCTGGCTGTTCAGCGCTATTCGAAACGGATGAAATAGAATTGTTTTAAAAAACAAGGATCAAACGCACGATGCTTGTGACTTTAATCAAAGCAATATGCCATTCCAGCATGCCTAATAACGAAAATTTATAAGCAATTTATAAATAGATTATTAATTGGAGTGTAAGGAGATACTTGTTGAGGATTTTTGAACGGCAGGCAGGTTTGCCACAAGCGTAAGCCTCCGTTTCGCAGCACAATAATCTGAGCCACAAATTATTCTTTTCTATACGGATTATTTGACTGAGAAACATGCTTCCTTGCATATTTGAGAAGAAATAAACTTTAGAAAATCCCAAACTTATAGTTTTTACAAATTCAGAAATCAGTTGAAACCAGCTATTTTTAACTCCATATAAGGCAAACTTTTAAGAAAATTTCTTTAAAATTCACATTTATTAATCGGTTGAATAATTATATGACAAATTGCCGTCTTATAAATGATTAATTGAACTGCATCGAGTAACAACTGTAAGTGAATTCGAAACTTTACACTAAACTTTTCGGCTAAAATTTTATTTTATTCGATTTTTATCATTCAATAAGCGGCATTTTCGCTTATTTATCATTTCTCTTTTATCACGAAATCATTTTTTTTTTAAATACTATTTAGAATTATTCCACGAAAAGTAAATGCTTCGTAGTAATTTACTTCGATTTTTCATAAAATATTTAATATTTTTACTAAATTTAGAATTAATATAGGCTTATTGATTACGATTCTATTTGAGACAATACGATAGGAACAGCGTTCCATCTAACTGATAGTTATCCTCAGCTATTTTTCAAAATTCATTTTCAGAAATGAAATCATTCATATTCGCACTTTTAACTTGGACCGCAGTTGGTGAATGTTCGGTTGATTTCCGGCCTACTATTTATAAAAACTGTGGTATTTTTTTCATTTTTTAAAACAAATGAAGATTATTTCGTTTTTATTCTTTAATATTTAAATAATAAATATTATCCGTAATATTATCACAATGAGTCTTTTCATATGAATCTGGAAAAAAATTATTGTAACCTTTGAAAAATAACAAATGGAGGTGGAGTGGCTGAGTTGGCTGTTTACTTCGAAGCGCCAAGGCTGAGCCTCTGCTTCTGGCAGGGATAAACTTTTCCTTCGAAAATTCGGATGATACTTAACTTCTGTCGCCAACTGATTCCCTGACAAAATCTGTCTGGTCCCACGGTCCAACGAAGCGAATCTAACAGAAATGGCGAACTCATAGGAAAAGAAAACGAACAATAAGGAAATATATAGGAATTGAGTTTTTTGCTGCTTTGACTGAAGGTAAGCTGCATAAATTTATTCTTATCCTTCGATAGGTACAAGCCTGTCGTTAAAAGTTTGAATGGCTGATAAGAACAGACTGTATCTCAAGAATCGCTATGCCACTCCAGTGAGGAAAGATTTACAAGTACGTGGAGCCAAGCAAACAGAAATAGAGTAGAGAATAGATCTAAAAGCAGAGAAAGGAGAAAAATCAGAATAGAAAAACATTGAAAAAAAATTCTTGAAAATTTCTAAAAATTCATATTTCATGTTCAACATTCGAAATATTGGAAGTTCAAACGGATGGATGTGCAAGAGAAGGATCCACGTGTAACTTTAAGAGAGGCACCGAGCCAGGAATTCGAATTATTTTCAAATCGAGTTATTTATTGCTCACCGTTTATGCAATAGAATAAGCAAAATTACACCAATTACACCAATCGGATAGACTTTCAATCGGATTATATTAGTACCACAGTTTGTTTTCTTGTTTATTTATCTATAAAATAAATTCGATAAACAAATTTATAGATCGAAATGTGAGTAAACTTGAAACGACAGTTCAAGCAAAAATGAACGGTGCTATCGTACCATTCAATCTCGATGAAAAAAATCCATGCATCGCCGGCAATCTGACTTGCCCGCTTACACTGGGTGAAACGAATTATTTTTACCAAACAGTTAAGATTCTTCCGCAATACCCCAAGGTTAAAACTTTTTATATAAAGAATCACTGGCCTATATTAGTAATCCTTTAAGCCGGTGGCTCGGTGGCAAGACAACTGATATCGAGAATCAAGACTTTGCTTCAAATCCGGCCGACACACCAGCTTCGTCGCAATGTAACCTAACGACGAAAGCAAAAGAAAAATAATGGAATGCTGCTAAATTCGGAGCGTCGATGCTAAGGTTTTACTCTCGGCAGAAGTAAATCTTCCCTTCAAAAATCCGGGTAGTGCTGGCGACTCGCCTGTGAACTTCTATCGCTAAGGGGTTCCCTACTGTTTTTCTCTGGTCTGATAGCCATTTAAGCAAGTCCAAACAGCACTGGTACTCCAACAAAATCTTTTGCACACCTATTATTTAATTCTCTTTAATAATTTTTAATTAACATTGTTCTTGAAAATATTCACCCTGCTAAACAATGCTTCAATTATTTTTTAGAAAGGAAGTTGTCATTTCAAAAAATTGTATTGTATTTTTATAGCAATTAAAAGACCGAAAATTCAGCATCTTCCGAATATTTGAGATTTTAAATTTTCGTATAAATTCCGAAAAATAAACCAAAACCCTTTTATCTACGTAATTTCCAGGTGAAAGTACAAGTACGCTGGATTATCAATGAAGTAAGCAGTGACACGGGAAAAAAAGCTGGCAAAAAACCCGATATCTGCCTAATCCTTCTCGTTGCAGTTGATGACAAATAACTTTCTGTCTATAATCTAACGAATTTTTCGCCAATTTTTGCTTATTCATTTTGAAATGAATGAATCGATATCGGAAGACCATAAATTTTTATTTAAAAATTTTATTTAAAAAATTTATTTAAATTTTATTTAAAAAAAAAAATTCCGCGATTTCTAAAGGTTAATCTTTTAAAAATCAAATCAAAGAAATCGAAGTTCTCTCCATCTGATCCAAAAACCAGCACCAGCATCATGGTTTTTCTTCAATACAATCATTTTACTACCAATCCTTCATCTCATGTCAAAAAAAAACATCGAAAGTCCGTGGATAAGAAGTCGAGAACCTTAAGACGATCAAATTCATATTTGCTTTCGATTCTGAAAAATTAGACGCTGAAGCAAAATGAATAGATTTCAGCACCAATTTTCTTCCACAAAAAGAAAGCTTGATAAGAATAATTTTACTTTTGAACCAGTAAAGACCGCTTTATTTCTAAATTCTTTTTGCAGTTATATTCCCAATTCATTTTTAAAGCAAATAACAACAAATTACAAAATAAAAGAAAAAAGAATAAAAAATTCGGAAAAAATATTTAGCACAAGAAAAATGACAATAGTGTTTTTTGATACAAGATTTAACAGCATGTCTCAATGGACACTAGCAAAATGAAGCAAACAACCCAGAAATAAATCTATAAACCTTATCATATCTCTAGATATTTCTTTAAAATTTGAAGTATGATGAACTATATTTTCTCAAAATACCACTAGGCTCTGACACCTCCAATTATCGTAAATTCCAACTTTTGCAATTTCACAATTTGTAATATCTGCTGAGGCAAAAATGCATTGCAGTTTGAGAGGGCATTAAATATATGATTACGCCAGAGTACCAGACAGTTAAAGCTGGGCCTGGGAAAATTAAAATCGTCAGAAGAAGTTTAAAATGATGGTGTTAACAGATCAAAGCAAAGCAGTGCAGCAGTATTTTAGAAATTAAGTACTGAATATATGTTTGTAGAAAGGATTTTATTTCATAGGATTCATAAAATAAGAAGTGACAAGGACTACAGTATACTAAAAGCTACCATAATAGAGACTAAAAAAAGAGGATTATAATGATAAAAGAATAAAGATCATGGAAAGAAGATAATATTACTAATAGGATGCAGTGAAAATATGCAATGATGAGAGAATTTAGCGTGGTTTCAAAGGGTATTAGAACACGATAGGCTCTAAAAAGATTTTTAAGCAGGTAAGGTGGGATTTAAAAAGTTTAAAGGGACAGAAGGTGAAGCCGCAGATAAATTCCACGAATCTTCATACTTTCTTAAAATAGAATCTATTCTACGTTAAAAGGATCTGCGCAGGAAAAAGAGGGATAGGTATTGGTATTTAATGGAATGGAAAAACTTAGAAAGAAAATTTGGCAGATATGAAGGAAACAGATGATTTTTTTCGGATAAGTATTCCAACAAATATTTCCGCAAAATATATAAATATATTTATATATAAGAAACAAAACGTAGTAAGTTTTTATAATTATAAAATCTGTAAAGAAACCTTCATCATCGACTAATCAAAATCATTCAAAGATGCTTCAAACATTGATTTAGTTATTTTTTCCGTACGCCTTGCTGCAATATACAAATATACATCTCAAATGATCTTGAAAAAAACTTTTTTAAGAAATTAATGTAGAAAAAGTCGTTGTAAGAACGATTTTTCAAAAAAAATTAAAAAAGAAACTTTGACCCTCTGGCCCTCATTTTATTTTAAATTTACCCAGTTTTTTTTTCTTTTTTCGTTGTCCTTTCACAAGTTTTTGAATAGCTCGATTAATTTTCACATTGCCAGTGATTTTCAGGTTATCTGGCAATAGATCTTTTGTGACAACATCATTAACATCATTAACTTTCTTCTAAAATTAGTAAATCATTTTCACCATACATATTAGAAAAATAAAATCAAAGGTAAATTCTATTTTGTTTCGGCTGAAGCCAAACAATGTGAATTCGTGAGTTCTTGGTAGAAGTAAAAGAGAAATCTAAATGATTACTGGAGAATACATTTCCATCTCCAGGATTTTTAAAGAAAGAGGCCAACTTGGCGCCAGAAACAGCATATGTTAGAGCAATAAAATTCTTTACCTTTACCGCTTGCATTAGCACAGTTCTCTCTTTAATGTGAGTTTCACCATCATCGATTTCCATTACTTCATTTTGGCAGAGATCTCCTTTTAGATCAATGTCAGAGTTATATTTTAGGTTCAATTTCGTCATACATGAAGGTATTTCCAAAAAAATTTTAGATTATGAACTTCTGATGATTATATAAACCAAATATCAAAGCCATTATTCTTGGGAATAAATAAAATAGTAAAAATAATTTATACCACTAAAAAGTTTTTCTTCATCCAATTTTAATGAATCCAAATCGAATTCGGAAGAAAATTCATTTAAGATTACAGAGGCATTTATCGTCTGTTCACTTTCGGCCTCCGGTGGTTCCGTATAATAACGAAGTTTACCATTGTTCCAATCATATAGAACCTGAAATGTATAAAAACATAATAAAAAAAAATCAAACTAAAGATATTCATATAAAATGGTAAGATCATCAACCGACTCGTTTTGCTGCAGCATTTATATCTGGGCGAGCACCCTTTTTCAATCTGCCAATTTTCCGAGCAATCTGAGCAAGAAAATCATCAACGTTTTCAAAATTTGCGATCGAATAGTGCAGCATAAGCTAAAAAATGATTCTAAAATGATTTGAAAAAAGAGCGAATTCAAAAGGATAAACATAGAAGAAGAGAGCGGGAAAGTTTATGTGGTAACAAGATATAACAGGAAAAAAATATATTATTGTATTGTAATATTATAAAAAATATTAATTATTTTCTTCAAAATCATCAAAATCAAATCTTGCCAAAATTCTTTACCATTTAAATAGTCTCATGAAATTTACTTTCTTTCCTTAAACCATGTAAACTTTTAAACCATATCCTACTTTCTAAACTCAATCTTTCTCTATCTCTAGAATTCCTATCATGAAGATATTACTTTGTTCTAATTTATAAACAGTTCAATTACAACTTCTTCGAAATCTCGCAAAATTTTCTTAATACAAACCCCAGTGTAATCTCTGGGCACTATCATACCACTTTGATGGACAAGTTCCTCAGAACCAACCTGTTATAATCCTTTGTATTCCCAAAATCACCTTAATAATCTTTTATATCTACCAAACTGCACAATCTTTTCTTTCTTCAATTCTAATACATTCAACTCTTATGATAATCTCGATCTGGTATGATAAGCTAACAATATGCAATGTCAAAACCACTGTTTACTTCAATCAATCTAACAATATCTTCTCCTGGCACTGCTTTTGAAATCTCATTCAGTTGTGATGAAATTCTCCACGCTATATTCTATCTTATCCTAAAATCTATTATTATGGAAAACCTTTCCAAACCCTGACAAACATTTCCACAGCATCTCAAAACTCCATCGCACACACTTGCCACAGCAGTTAAAACAGACCTCTTTTTCACTTTAACAGTCTTAGATCCAAGTGCTGATCCAAGATTCCTTAATATCCCCAATCCCACTTTAATGCTCTAATTCAAGTCTTCCACTCCTGCCATTAGTTATCTAAAAAATCTAAAAAAAGATAAATAATATCAATAGGTAACTAAAGTACTGAAGGAGTAAAAGAGAGGACTGGAAGATGGTCGAAGAGAATTATTAGAACTTGTGAAAACGATACATTAAAGTTCTTAATCGAATATAAAGGATTTTGAGGAGATATGAAAAATATGTCAAAAATTAAGGAATCAGCTAGACCATAAGACAGATTTTTTTTACTAATCTATCGGTAATAAAGATAAAAATAAATTAAATTAAGCTTAAATGTAAAAAAGTCTAAAAATAAAAGATTACCATATCTTTAGAGCAGCGCCGTAAAATTGCTTGTACAGGAGTTATAGGATCTGATAGGTTGTCGATACGAATTGCATTTTTTAGCGCATATTCAACATTGTCAAGTTCATTCTTATTTGCTAAAATAACACCAGGGGAATCAAGCAAATGAATGTGTTTATCGAGCTCAACTTCTTGGCTTTGTCTGTAACCGAAAGTTATATTTGAAAACGGTTTGCAAAATCCTAAAATAAATGTTTGAACGCAAAAAGAACAACTTGGTGATTCCGGGTATAGCTCCCACATCACAAACGCGCTTTCGCTTTAGACTATTGATCACACTACTCTTACCAACATTAGGATATCCTGAAAACAAAATGAATTGAAATCCCATGCTTATATCACGGAACAGATAATTTTGGATGAAAATATCGCCTTCCTAAAAATTACAATTTGATCCGCGTGGAAATTTGTTATAATATTATATATCTGTAAGTCACGATAATAAATCTAAAATTCGCAAAATCATTGGAATACCCATGTAGAAAGATTTAAACTTTACAAGATTTTATAAAAGGTGAATTGTTATGCCAAAGCACCATTCAACTTAAAAACCAATCATTTCTCTTATATTTGTCAATTTTTGGAGCTTCTTTATAATTCTAATTCTGGGAAAAAAAATTTTCTGATTCAAATTAACTCATGCCGTTATGTTTTAGCACCCATTCGAACCACAGGCAAGCATTTTTTTCATTAATTTACATTTATGAATCTAAAAAAGTAGCAGTAAAATAAGGGAAGTAAAAAATTGCAAAAAGGCCTTGCTCAAAGCTTCAAGCCGTAATATATGAGGTACTGCATAAAGTAATTAAGAGAAGCAAGTTCTCCGATAAATCAAATATTGACAATATTACTTATAATTATTGCTAGTACTAATTACTATAAAATAATATAATAATTCTAAACATTAACCATCAAAAAGAAAGTAAAATCAATTGAAAATTAAATAATTTAACAGAAAATACGTACCGACAACTGCAACTCTTACCGACATTTTAGTGTTTTTATTCCTGCAATAATTACCTAAAAGATTCATAACGATTTCAGCACCAAAACATTTTGACCTATTTGCACGCAAAGTAGAGAAAGAAAAACGACCCTAAAAAAGTTTAGATTAAAATCGATGAATAATTCCATGTTGCATCTAATAATTGGATATCTTCCACTTACAAGATTGTGACTTTGTTCTTGAGTAGATGCTTTGAATGCTATGGTTGGAAATTGCGTTCTAAGATATTTCAGCCACTTATATACATTGTCCTTAGGCACGAGATCGATTTTGTTCAACAAAAGCACTAAACGTTTACCACTACTGACCACAATATGTTCAACATTTTGATTTCGGCTACCGAGCGGATCACGAGCATCTAATACCTGAAGTACGATTAGTTCGATTATCTTTGAAGCATATATGTTCTAAATAAGAATTTTTTTTTTCAGGAAATATTGTTATGCTATCTATATTGTTCTGCTAAACCTCTTGCGTGGCATCGACGTTTTGCCATGAAAACAAGTTTACAAAATATCAAAAAAAAGAGATGATTTCTCCAATATAAACTAGAATGACTCTACTGTAATTAATCTTTGGAAAAGCACACTACCGATGCAACGCTAAAACTCCACGAAACCAGATCATATAACCCAAACACTGAACAAAATCCACAATCCGAAAATGGCACTAAAATCCACCAAAACCTTTCAGGAAAAATTAGCAATAGTCTCAGCATGTTTGATTTCAAAAGAAAATAAATATATGCCACTGATAAAAGAGCAATTTGAATTCAGCAAGAAATAGTCCAATAGCCCAGAAAATGCTTACGAGCGGATGATATGAAGAAGCACATGGCAGGAGAGCAATGATATGGCCCATTTATTGATTGTATGACTATATTAAAAATATGAAAACGCTTGTAAAAACAGGGTGGGAGTCAAAACTATTCCATTTTCTTCATAGCTTCCTCATGAAATTAAGTCTAGATCGATGTCAGTGAATCTGTTGAGAATTGTTCTTCAGATGGAAAGAGTTGAGAAAAAATTTATGCGCTTTTAGATTTATATCTCATTGTAATTGTAATCAACATAAAAATCTGTATAATCTTCTGATAATTTCCTTAATTTAGAAGGCAAAGCCAATAAAATCCCTGAAGAAGATGGTCCACGATCTGAATTCCTCAAATGGTCTTTCAAAACCAACTTTCGATATTCATTGGTAACGCATCCTATGAGTTTCCTACAGCAAAGTACTCTAATTCCGAAAAAAAAAGATGATTAAAACTGCAAAAATTCTGATAAAATCAACCTGGCAGACGAAAAATGTTTGCACATTTCCGCTGAACATATTTAATGGTAATAAGAGATGTGCCTTAATGAATTTGTAGGAAGATTAACTAAAGCGGGGATGTGCTGACCAAATATATAAATTGAGCAGAGCATCATTTACTTTACTGAGCTTGCCATTGTCTTCAATATGAGATACAGTGGCACTCTGAAAGAAATGGAAACAAATACGATTACTTAAAGACCATCCTGGATCATTTGATTTATTAAGACATTTTATCAGTCCACATTAGCACAAGTTTCTGCGTATGAGGTACTGAAAATTGTGAAATGGACCGACTTGGTATCAAAGATGTATGAAAATTAATCAGCATGGATCTTGAATAAAAATGATGGAGATCTTTTTGGTAACAACATATTAAATCGTTAGCTTTTGCGAAAATTGGTCTCTCGATGTAGATAAGCCCTTATTTGTCAGAGGTTAATAAAATATTTTATTCATGAAAGCACCAGCAGAGAAATGCCAAAACGATTGAAACCAGACTAATAATGACATAAAATAAGCTAATTTCTTGATCGATCTTTTAACTTAATAAGACGCAATAACGTATGATATAGCCAAGAAATTATAGTAATATTTGTTAATAATAGGGTTAGTTTAGAAATAAAAAAATGTTCAAAAATTAATTACTTCAATGACAATATCAGCACTTTCTATAGTCTTCCGTACTTCATTTGCATACATATTTATTTGCTTATCAGTTATATTCTTCAACTTTTTATTCTCCTCTATTTCAGACGAATTTTTTTGAGAAAAATTAATATCCTTAAAAAATTATAATTATAATTATAAATTATAAAAAATAAAAATCATAATTATAATTTTGATCAATGATAAATTTTATAATATTATTTAGCCATTTTTATTACCGAATAATTATATATATAAAGTCATAAATTTTAAAAAAAATAGTAAAGAAACTAAACTAATTCATAAATTCTCTTTATACTGATAAACCTTAAATAATTTTAAATTTTAAAAATAACCCGCTGTGTTGCATTATTTGCAAAATCTTCTATACTATTTGGAAGAAATAATTTGTTTTTTTCGCCAAAGCGCCGTTGTTTCGCCAAGCGCTTTTTTTCTTCCTTAATTTTTTCCATATTTTCTCGGGCACGTTCAGCTTCCAAAAGGACTTCTTCTTTAAATGGGCATTTATTTGGCACATGTATCGGTTTCTCTCTCTTTGATTTCTTTTTCCCTGAAACACTTTTAAAATTGATTGCAATAGCTTTATGTATAAGGATAACCATATTCTCTTAAAAGAAAGAAGCAAAATTTAAAAAATTTTTTTTGATCAGATGAAATGAGTAAAAAAATTTCATATGAGATTCATTAAAAGAAGCTTTCGCCTATCAAACAATTGTTTCATAATCTTTTCTCAACGTATGCTGTGCTTTTAGGTCGTGAAATCCAAATCAAATACCACCTTGTTCTCTCTCCTTCCTTGCTCATCCAAACCTTGCTATTTGTTCAAAAAATCCTCCTCTCCAGTGAACTTTGCAACCCATTCAGGTATTACATCTCTCAAGCCTCCAAACACCCCCTATTGTACCCCTTTTGAACACCATTTATCTTTCTGACTTTCTCGCATATTATATTCTGCCCTTATTTAAGAGAGCCTCATACTATATCTCATACTATACTATATCTATATCTCATAAATTCAATTCAAAACCCAGACATATTCCTTTATCTCACTTTACTTTTACTCTTTTACTGTGGTACCCCCTCACGTCCATCGAATGTCAAGATGTAAAAAATTGTTCTTAAGAACTGAACCTTTCATGACTCTTTTCATTAATATTCCTTTGATAATCTATTAAATAGTATGCTTTATTGCTTTATTGTCAAAATAATAGCATCATATTTATGTCAACTTTATCAGATCCTGTTATGATACTTCAATATATCCAGTGCACTACCAAACTCTCTTGTGTACACCAAAAAATCCATAAAAATCTATTGTATCATCTAGACGATCTCAGTTGTTGAAATCCTTTAATATCTAAAATTTGTCACAATTTGAAAAACTTCCGCAAGCTCCTGTCGGATACCTTTTTTCATTTATCTTTTTAATATCCCAAAGCAGCTTTCTTTTGATGTAATCCCTTAATAATGTTTTAATTCCACAAAAACCAAATTCAGCAACATTCGCTTAACTAATTTGTTCCCGCAATATCCCATCAAACATTCCATAAAGACGAGTTAACCAGCATAATGAATGATATGAAATTCCACATGTGATGGAACAATAAATCTCGCTAAACGACTAGCGACCCCTCTTCCACACAATATGCCGACTTAATACTCTCGCTGACTCACAACTAAAGCAAGCAACTTTAAAGCAATTTTTATAGGAGCAACGCCTGACGTGAAAAAGCCACAATGAAAAATTAATGCTACAAATATACCTTTCGCTTTTGCTGCTTTCCTTAGTTTTCTGCTATGCTCGCGCACTTTCTTTTCTATTTTGTATTTCTTCGAGCATTTAAGGCGTTTACTTGGCTTTTCTAAAGTTTTCTTTGGCAAATTTTTCATAGTAAATTTTTAAATTTATACTAATTTTTTAAATTTTACGAATCTTAAATGCCATTTTGCTGCATTTAACGGACAAATACGCAAATACCAAATATTCATTAATATAAAAAAATCTTAAAATTAAAAATTAACAAACTTAAACAATATTTCGCCATTCGTTTGTCAATTAAAATTCGATAATTCGATGCGGAAAAACACTGAAATATTTCACTCAAAGAAATACCATAAAAACCAAAAAATTTACACCGCGCAAATTTATAAATTACAAACGAGGATTTATGAAATTTAAGAAATTTTCGCAATAAAAAATTTTTAAATAATTTTATTTCAAAAATAAAAAACATTGAATGGCTAACTGTTTGTTATTAAAGAAAAATAAAACATAAGGAAAGGAGAGAAATTTAAAAAGTTTTTCGATTTACAAAGGAAAAAACAAGAAAATTTTGCAAAATAAATATTAAAATGAAAAAATAAAAATAATCCAAAAGAATTAATTTAATTTGGCAAAATTTTTGGATAAAACTGAAAATTATTTTAAAAATTAATAGGAAATCAACGAAAGCGATTCCAACCCCTCCGACATCACATTTCAAAGCAAATCAAACACCCCTAAAATATTAACCCAAAGTATGGACGAATAGTCGGACACTTCCTCCGAATTCTATGGATTTTTAAATGTCGTACAAATTATAGAATATGTGGGGAATTCTATCGTCTCGATTAGTGTCGCCTTCAAACCGTTGTCGTTTGCTGTCAAATTGTATTGCAAAAATAAAAAAGTATTATAGGTAATTTTTAAAATGATTTCTCTTAATTTTTTTATATTTAATAATTTTTCGCGGATAATTTTCAAGTTTTCAAACTTTACGTTTTGCCAAAAAACGTATTTTTAAAATACTATTTTTTACTTTAAAAATCTTCTAAATTGCTGTTTTAACGAAATATTCACTGCTATGCGGTCGATTTGTGTGCAAAAAAGATTATCTTAAATTTCAAATCTCTGTTTTTTCGTTTCCGCTTTCACGTGCCGCTGAGTTCACTTCAAATGAGACGTGCAATTTGTTCGTTCGGACGACTGGAAATTCGGCGGCGAAAAGTGCGTTCAAGAATGGCCGACAGTCGTTTTAGGCGCCCACAGTCGTTCTTAGTTATTTGTAGTTTTAGACTGAATTCCGTTTTCTATTCGGACGCCACTTTAAACGACGATAGAAGGATGGTTTTCGACAAGGATTTTTACATTTGCCCAACAAATACGCCAGTTTGCGTTATGGAATGTAACGACGCTTTTCGTGGTTCGCTTGCAGTCGACTTTCTTTTTAAGTTTTCGAGCAGAAATTTATCCGTGAAAATTTGAATATTCATTCATTTAATGGAAGTTTAATGGAAGTTTCAGAAAAATTTTCATTCATTTACCGAGTTAAAAATTTGCATTCTCTTTTTTTAAAAATTATCCAATTTATTTATTTCTGAAAATTTTTTTGACGATTTTATTGAATATTTTTCCTTGGTTTTTTGCAGAGAAGTTTCGGCCATAAAAATGATTTCAGAATTAAATGATAACGAAAAGAAATATGTACATTATTTAAGCAAAGCTTCATTCGGTGGTGGTTTAATCGTATTTTGCCAAGTATTTTTTTTTAAGTATTATGAATATTGCGAAAGAACCAAATTACTGAAATTATTACAATAACATAATAAATTATTGAATAGAATTTTCCTATATGTAAGGTACATTTTACGGGCTCGCGGAGCGAATAAAATTCCTCATGATTTCGTCCACTTTTGCTCCAATATCATTTGCATTAATACTGCCATCATAGAGTATCGCCTTTGTTGCTTAAGGCATGTTCTTCGTCACTCATCGTAAGATTTAACACATTTTCGTTACTTGCTAAATCATATAATAGATGGATGGCATCAAAAGCGATGAGACCTGGTTTGAAAGATTTTGATATAGATATGTGGACTTAGACGATGGAAAAACGAATGGCTTCTATTACTATTAGCGATGGCACCAAATCCCGCAGCTTTTTTGAAAATGCTTTTATTTTTATAGACAGCAGAGCCAGCAATAATGAGAGCTATTACGAGAAGGAGATATAATAATTTTTGTTGGTCTGCACGACTCCAGAAAAAAACCAGCTATATCGTCTAATCTCCATAATCTGTGAAATTTTCTGCAATCCTCATCGAATATCCTCTTAACACCATTGAAACCTCGTTATTCCTCTTTTAACTCCCATTCCACTTTCTTTTAGCCTAAATCTTTAGCATTAGACCCTTCATAGTCATTTTCAAAAATATTCCTCGTTATGCAAGCAGCTCTCTCAGGACTTATTGCATACCCTTGAACTTTCTCGAAATTCCACTTTCTCTTAACTTTTTATCAGACTTAATCAGATTCTGTTGTACTCTTTTGATAGTTTCGAAATCTGATTTTTTAATTTTTTTAATTTAAATTCCTTTCTGTCCCTATGTTCTTCTGCAAAACTAGTTCTGATTTAGTCCTTAGATATTATTAATGGATTGATTAAATGATGGAATAATAGAATAGCATGGTATGGAAGGATTATAGCAAGATTTGAGTGATGAAGGAAAATTCTGAGGATTTTGAAAGTGCATTGCAGTGGAAGGAATGGGCATTGAAATTTAAATCTTGTCTTTCGTGGAACGATGTATTTTGCATTTTGTGTTTCAAATTTTATTTAGTGAAATTATTGTGCGATATAAAAGTGATATTGATTATAAGTATTATATTGGTTACATATATGATTATTTTTATCCAATTTTCCAATTTTTTCTTTTTATATTCATTATTACTGCAAAATTTATACCATTTTAGATTTGAAGAAATTGAAAAATTAATTTAAATCATTCGTAATATTGCAGACATCATATGAATCAGCGCAATTATTCGTAACCTTTTATCGCCTCTTTTCGTGTGAAACCATATCATCTTTAAAGGAAAAAGCATTGAAACTTGGTTGGACTGAAAATGATTTTTTAAGTTTTCTCACATTTGTTGCTTGTTTTTATGGTAATAGTGGGAATTATAAAAGTTTTGGAGATTCGAAAATTGTTCCAGATATTGAAAAGGTTTGCTTAAAATAAAATTACAAATTGCGAATTCTATTATCTCCATTGAACTCTTACATTTATGGGGTAATTTCAGGAAAAACTTCGTGCTCTCTTGAAGGTCTCTGCGGCTGCACAGAATTATTCGAATTTTCTTAAACATTATGACATGATTGAAGAACGTGTTTTTTCTCTTAATGAAAAAACTGTCACTATTGGACTTCCTGATAAGGTTGTTTGTTCTGATTTTAGAAATTCATAAATGAAAATGAGAATGATTTTAGAAAAAGAATGAGAATTATTTTTGCTTATTTTATTGATATTTCGAATTTCTTATAATTTATTTAATTTTCTAAGGTGCGTTGCATATTTATATGAATCCTTATTTATGAAACTGTTTCATTTAATTTATTTAATATAATTCAAGCGGGTTTTTTTCACTATTTACTGAATAAGTGTTTCGTAGTGTTTTTGTTCTTTTTGGATTCGAATTTTAAATTTTTTTTAAAGGATATTAATTTGTCAAATATCGATTAATTCAGAAATTAAACGATGTAAATTATATTACCATAGCGATTAAATTGGTTAATTTTAGGGTGTAAGTGGTTTCTTTTCATCAAACGTTAACAAGGAAGATACAGATATTATCGCTGATTATTTTAAAAAGAAAAGATTGGAAGAATGGAATACAAGATTATTGAAGAACATAAAAGATGGTGAAACTGTATATACAATTCGACTGGCTAGCATTGATCATGGTTATTTTTATATAAATTAATTTAATTCGATATAATTTTACAGATCTTTTTAGATATTGAATATTGATTTTTTAATAGGCGCTTCTTTTATTTTTTTAACTGCATGAAGTTCTTTCTCTAAAGGATTAATGACAGAATAGTTGCATTTAGATTCCCAACAGCCACTAGGGTTTCAAGATTTAATTTTCAGTGGTAAATTCTCAATTAACAAAGAATCGAAACTACTCTTTGTTTTCACCAAAAGTTGCGATTAATTCACTATTTTAATTTTTAGATAAAAAAGAATTATCAAATGAAAAATTTAGTGGTGCGACTATATTAATTGAACGTTGTGACTATGGCCCAATTCTTTTGCACACAGTTCACTGGTTGAAAAAAGCTCTTGTACAGTGTTTATTAAATTTCGTTCAAATTTTTGATTTCCAAAAATTTCGATAAATTCTTTTTTTATGTCCAAATTATTAAATTATTTATGAATATCAGATTATGAATGTTATCACAAAAGTAAGAGAAAATAATCACCAAGCCAAAATTTGAGCCAAATTGCGCGATTCCTTAGCCATTTAATTTTTTCAGCCTTTCGTCGCGAATGAAAATCAAGAAAAAATGATTTCAATGTTTATCAAACATTTTGAAAGTGGAGATATTAATGAGCACAAAGAGGGATCTCGCTATTGGATAAAGGATATTGAGCCCGTTGTTGAATTTTACATTGGATTCATTGAAAATTATCGAGACCCTGTGGGAACTCGGTGCGTTTCGGCTGTGTTTCTTAGTTTTGAATACAGATTTATTTTTATGAAGCTAGTTTCTTAATTTTTCTCAACATTTGCCTTTGCCTTTATTTAAAAGTTTTACGATTTCAGTGCTTCTTTTGAGGGATTTGTTGCTGTTGTTAACAAAAGCACGTCGAAGAAATTTCAAAAACTCGTCAAAAAAGCAGAAGATATTTTAACACGTTTGCCTTGGGAAAAAGAGTATGAAAAGGACGTTTTTCTTAAACCAGATTTCACTGCTCTTGATGTCATTTCATTCGCATCTGATATAATCCCTCAAGGAATTAATATTCCAAATTGTATGGTTACTATCGAAATTATTTCAAGGAATAAATGAAAATATATATGATGAAAATATATATGATATATATGATGATGAGAATGAAAATAGCTTTAGAAATTTTAAAAATTTCAACTTTATTCATTGATTTTCTGAATGATTTTAAGAAATTTTAAATTTTTCATCGCTTTTCTTTAAATTTCATTATTGTGAAAGCATAAATTGCAGAAATTTTCGTTCATTTTTCTTCGATGAATTTCTTGAATTCGAAATTTCTGGTCGAAAAATATTTTTAACTATTTTTGAGATGATGCTATCCGTCAAGATGAGGGCTTCAAGAACGTTACTCTAAGCAATGTTATGGCTGCGATACCTGCACAGAAAATTAACTTTCTCACGGAAGAAGATGAGGTTATTTTCTGCAAGCTTTGCTGCTTATATTTTTCCATTTTTTTTCCCATTATTAGCAGTGAGATAATAATCGTTATTTTTTGAATGGTTTATTGTTTTTAGGCTTTGTTCGTGAAACATTATAAAGATTCATTTGAAGTTCAAGTTGGCCTACATGAATTGTTGGGACATGGAAGTGGAAAACTTTTTCAGCGTAATGTTGATGGAACTTTTAATTTCGACAAAAATGTGAAAGATATGATAACTGGTCAGAAAGTAGGTCTTAAATATCGTGGTTTTATATTTTATATTTTAATGAAATTTTTGTGAATATATTGTGGTTATTGAAACATCAGTGGTATATCTGGAAAGGCGGATGAATACTGGTTGCAATCAGAGGCATAAAAATCTTAGAATATATTAGTAAGAAATACACTAGTTGGAAGGAATCATATAATTGTCTTCAAATCATATAGAATCATATAATGAAAAAATTGCCAAAGCATGAATGTCAGGAGATCTTGAACCCTGACTATGTGCTTCGATGAATTTCAAAGGCAGCAGTACGGCAGTGCAGAAATAGTTACTGGAGCGATATGGCCTTAAAAATGGAGATGGCTTCTCGGATAGATGATAATAGAAAACCATTCCGTCTTCTTCATAAAGCAACTATAACTTGGGAATAATTAGTGAATTGATACGGGATAGCAATAATATGTAATATATTATGTATATGTATTGTATTATATATCCAGCTAAGAATATTAAGGATCGCCTTACAAAATGTAAGGAATTCTTTGAGGTCAAATTTAACCAATAATCTCTTATCCTGGATATAATTAATTCGCTCGTCGAGCCATAAGTTTGTATTTATAAACAGCCAAGCAGAAGAAATTGCATTCTGGATAATGGCAGTTAGAATTATATTCTTGCGGTTGACGAAAACGAAATCTTTATGGAGTCGTCGCGAATTCATAAAACAGAAAGTCCGAAACTATTTGGCTGAAATTTTCTCGATCTTGCTCTATGGCTATGAGACATGGCCAGTGCGAGTGGAGAATATTGGGATGTTAGGAAGTTATCTACATTTGACTTAGTTTAAACTTTTTTCCGGTTCGCGGAATTGATAAAATCTGATAAAATTTCACATAATTGTATCCATCTCAGATACCATCTACATTAACAATTCCATCACAGAGCATCAACTATGCTAGCACATTCTCTCAACACAGAAGTTGATATATATTTTGCAAAACCCCGTAATGGATGGCATCAAAAGCTAGAAAGGCTAATTAAGACCTGCAGTGATATATTCAGAAAAAGTTTTGAATATATAAGAGGAAAGTTATATAACAGTGGAAAGAGGAATGGTTTTTATAACTATCAGCGATGGCATCATATTGAGCAGCTGGGAGATCTTTTGCCTCTATAGCCAGCGAAGCCAGCCTAATTAGTAATTGTGAGAGCTATTAGAAGAAGATTGCATTTTAAAAAAGCTGGTTAATTTTGTTAAACATCACCGAGAAATAAGTTCTTTATAGGTTACAAGTTGGTATGAACCTGGTGAAACTTGGAGCTCAAAATTCGGTGATTTGAGCAATCCATATGAAGAATGTCGAGCTGATGGAGTTGGTTATTATTTATCTACATATCCGGATATTTTAAAGTTAGTTTTTTCTTGATTTGTGAAAAGTTTGCATGCTTAAGAATTCTTTGTTCTTTAAAGTTTGCTTTGGTAGGATCTTTGGATTTGAAGGCGAAATGGCGGAAATTATCAAGTATGTGAACTGGATGCTTGAACTGCGGTCTGGTCTTTTGGCTCTTGAATTTTATTCAGCTGAAACAAAGAAGTGGCGACAGGTAATACTGTTTATTTACTATTTAATTTGATAATCATTTTATTTATTGTTTGCCAATGCAGTGAATGAATGGCGAAAAAAGCTGTTTTTTGTTTAATGAGAAAAAATTTAGGCGCACTGCTATGGAAGATTTGTACTTTTAAATGTCTGCATCGAAGCTGGAAAAGGATTAGTAACAATTGATGAAGTAAAGGGCGATGATGGAGAGCCTGATTTATTATTTAAACTTGATAAAACTAAGATCGATAGTGTGGGGAAACCTGCTATTGGTCAATTTCTACGGAAATTGCAGGTTTTATTCTATGAATTTTTTTTATTTTGCATGTTTTGCATAGAAATTTCTATTTTTTCCGGTCTTTATTTAAAAATAGGATAATATCGGATAAATGCATCTATTTAGAAATGTTGATTTTTGATAAGTTGAAAAATACAACTATTGTACAATAGAATCGAAAAGGGAGGAAGAAACTTCATCTCTTCATCTCTTTTAGGCTTATAAATCAACCGGTGATTATGGGAATGGTTCGAAATTTTTCATGAATATTGGAAATGTTTCAAATAGAGCTCTAAAATGGCGAGACATTGTAATTAAACGACGTCAACCTCGAAAAATCTTTGTTCAGAGTAATACGCTACTGGACGATAATGGTAAATAATTTTATGAGCAAAATGAATGGAATGTTAATTCTCAAAATATTCTAATTTTATATTCGATCTTTCTAGAATTCCTTTGCTTTTTTTGATTCGTGGGTTCAATTTGATCCCTTCTCTGAATTCCCTCACTGAATTAGCTTGTCACCGAAACTGAATTTCTTAAAACTGATTTAATTTTTCTGTTACAGGTTTTGTTTCTTTAAAGTGTTATCCAGCATCTTTCGAAGGTGTTATCCAATCGTTTGTTGATCGTTATTCATCTGAAGAAATCGAAGCCTTAGAAAAAGTATGGTTACGTGATTTCCCTTTGTTTAATCATTGATTATCGCTGTTTTTAAGCTTTTTGTTTTCTCTGATTAAATTTTTCAGTGGAATGAGTTGTGTTAAATTTGATTTTTCGATCCTGTTAATGTTTGTTAAATTTCGTTTGTTATTTATTTTCCGGAATAAATTTACCACAAAACTCATTATAAAATTTTCTCTTATCATTTGTAAATTTCAATTTTGCTATTAAAAAAATGATAAAAAGTGATGAATTCAGTCAAATGGGTTTTCTTGACCATCTAAATGAAATGAAATGTTGGAAAAGCTTACAGTTAAAAGACAGCAGGCGATATTATTAAAAATCATGAGCAGGCTTGAATTTATAATGGTTGTTGTTAGAAAACTTTTCCAGAAACTGCCTATTTTATCTCAAAATGAGGAGGGTACCGTTAACTTTTATTCAAACAAAAGAATTAGCTCCAAGGGGGGTGCTTTTTGTCCTGGTTATATTAAAAAAGGTATAGTAACAAAAGAAGAAGGTGCTAAATCAATCTATTTATTTGAAAACAACCCAGCAGGTCGACAGGAACAGTGCTTGCATTAACAATAAATGAGGTTCCAAATGAGATGAAATTAGCGATATCGATATAAAATACAAAAGAAAGGCGGTTAAAAGTCTTATAAGTGTTACAAATAAGGAGGAATCAGAAAAATATAAATATAAAACTGAACGTAATACTGACACATCAATAGAATCATCCAACTACATAAATTTTTTCGATACAGAAGTCATTCTTTGGATGTCAATTAATACTATTGACGAGGCTGACTGGTTCTACGATTCGAGGCAGTCGTTCTGTCTAGGTTTACGAAGGAATAGGAATAGTGGAGAGTTGATATTGTCCAGCATAGACGATATTTTCAAATTATTTATCCACGTTGACCTTATGATTGATTCGATCTGATTTGATGCGGAATTAGTCCTTTTATATTTCTTAGTAATGGAAGTAACAGTGATTAACTGTGATCTCAATCCTCTACAAGTTTAAAGCAAAGAAATTAAATCATCAGTTGATACGTCCGGTATCAGTGCCACTTTTTTGAAGCCATTTTAAAATTCCTCTTAAATATTTTCTTTTTTAGTGACTGTTTGGTTATTTCAAACATATGAACTGTTTGGTGATTTGACTAATTTACGAAAATTTCACGTCAGAAATGATTATTTGCGAAAAATTTTTATAGTTTAAATGCGTAGGAAAATGCTCTTCAATTCTTCAAGTCAATTTTTCAAATTTTTAAATTTTTTAAACTTTTAAATTTTGTTCTTCAAATTTATTAATGTTTTATCGACTTGCAAGATTCAGTTAAAATTTTCTGATTTATTTTATTTTATTCAATAATTCAGTAATTCAAAATGTTTATTCAGTAATATCAATTCAATTTAATTAAAATAGTCCATTCCATTTCTAAGAAATTGCTAAGGAGTAACCATGGCGAAAAACGCGATATTAATGTGATTAACATCTATTAGAACAGATTGATGATACCCTCAGTATTAAGTTTTTTATTTTTCATTTCATTTTCAACCTTTTATGATTATAAATTGTTTTTTTTTTGAATATAAAATAAATTAAATAAAAATTAGATTTTTCTCATCAACTCAAATCGCCTGAGCTTAATAGTATATCGAAGATGGTTTAAAGTTGAGAATTGTGCTAAAGGAGTTATTCGGATTCCTTCGATTAATAGACCTACTGAGCTCTTTTCGTTTTAATATTCTACTATTTTCTCTACGCATTTTCATTATTCCTCGTCAGTGTCATAAAAAGCTGTTAGGTGCATACTTTAGGAGACTACGAGCTTAAATCGCACAGATCGTTGAAAAGCAAAATAAAAGTGGTGGTGAGCAGATTAGAACAGCGTAGAAAGTGGTTTGCAGAAAGTGGTTTGTGCTTGTGCAGAAGTATCGGAAAAGAAGACAATGATTCGAAGGAATGAGAGTGAGTCAAGGTTTCTCATAAAATATGATTGACTTTAGGAAATATCAGAGATTTTCGAAAGCAATGGTTTCGCATATAGCTCAGCAGTTTTTAAAGAACATTACTGCATTTTAAGAATGATGGAAGAAGCCCAAGGTTTTTTTTCCAAGAGTCCTTACCATTACTACTTAAACTCGCTTCGCTGGCTCGCTTCATTGAATGTTTGTTCCAAGTTGTCCATTGACGATAGTAGTAGATGTGAATTGCCAGAGTCACTCGAAATTTCCGACAAGTCTATCCCTATGAGGAATAGAATATCAGCATGGACGCACCAAACTGAGCAGCAACCCAAATTTTCCCATATCTCTATAATGTTTTCTTTTTCAATACTCCTCACCATTACTAATTAAACTCGCTTCGCTTGCTCGCTAGATTGATCGAATTCAAGTAATTGCAATCGAAATAATCAAAATAATTCAAGATTGATAATTCAAGACTGCATTTTTCTCGAAGGAAATATTTTTTGAGAATTTTGTACCTTTGCATTCTAATTTAGTTGCACCTAGATTTGGCTAAAGCTTTTGATACTGTTCCCCATAGCAAATTACTGATCACTCTAAATAATTATGGCACTACAGGGACTCTTTATAACTGAGTGTCAGACTGTATGTCATATGAAAGATCGTCACCAAGCCGTACGCATTAATAACATTCTCTCTGACACAAGACCTGTTAAATCTGGTGTTCCCCAAAGCAGTCGTATTGCACCATTGCTTTTTCTATAATATATAAATGATATCACCAATGTGATATTAAATTCTGCTATTTGTCTTTATGCTGATGATTGCAAAATTTATTCTCATGGTAGAACAGATAGCCTATCTCCACTGCAGGAGAACCTCAACAGAATAGCCAACTGGCTATATGATAGGCAAATTACCCTTTCTTTTCAAAAATGTGGCGTTCTTCATATTAATTCTAAAGGTCTCGATTTTCCTAATCCTTTTATTAATGGTAATATAATCAGTAGAGTCTCACACATTTCCGGTCTTGGAATAATCATGGATGAAAATCTCGATTTCGACCCTCGCTGCAGGACCATGGCAAAGAAATCCTCACTAAATTTTCTAAATTTACTAAATTTTAAATATTTTAAATAAATAAATAGATACTAAATTTTCTTATCGTTCGTTTAAGAACAAAGCTGAAGATTTTCTCATCTCATCAAAATGTACAAAACGTTCGTTCGGCCACTTCTTGACTACAATAATACTACATGTTATCCGAGATATAGCAAATCAAATAAAATAATTGAAGAATTCCAAAAATATTTTATACAACTCCTCTCTCCAAATTGTAATTTTAATTATAAAAGAAAATTTCTACAATATAACCTGGATTCCTTCTCAGTTCGTCGAATTAAACAAGATTTAACTTATGTTTATAAAATTCTGTGTGGTTAGATTAAACTAGATTATTCAAAATGTAATTTAAGGCTAAATTGGAATCCAACAAGAACTAATAGGCTAAAATTACTAAAATCTATGAGTAAAACTAAATTAAGAACTCATGATTTCTTTATTCGTAATATTAATTACTGGAATAAATTACCGAATGATACAGCTTGTGCACCATCCTTAGCTATCTTTAAAAAAAGATAATAAATTAGATAATATCATTTATGGTGTTATTTAAAAAATTCCCGTAATGCAGGAAGTGTGAAGTCTCGATTTTTACCATCCGACTATAGTTATTTCGCATTGTATATTATATTATTTCGTAATTTCATAATCTTTATTTCATCTTTAAATTGTTAATTTTATTTTATTTTTTTGTTTTTCTCATTAATTCTCATTTACTGTTATTATTAATACAAGCACATGGTCGTGCTTGGCTGGTTTTCGATAAATAAATAAATAATTTGTTAAAATTTAATAATTAAATGCATATTGATGCCAAAACAATGATATTTGAGTGATGCGACTTTCAGACGGCGAATTCACCCTAATGGTCTGTGGCAGCAGCCAAACCAGAAATGGCGATTGTCATAAGAAGAATTTTTTAAAGTTTTTTCATAAATTGTAAAATGCGAATTAAATCAATTAAGGTTCACTAACATGAATTTTTTGCGAATTTTATTTTTTTAATTCTTTTTTTATTGGTTTTCGAAATCAATTTATAGATTTTATACAGAGTTTCATTGATGAAATTCCCATTTGTTCTTTTCATTTTCTTCTATTTCATCTATAATTTTGGAAAATTTTATAGATTGAAAAGGAAAACTTCGGAAATTGTTGAGAAGTTAAGGGAATTCTGTAATGCAATCCATTGCCAATTTTTCGCACCAATCTGTATTCAGTTTGTGTTCGAAGAAAATTGTTTAAGAATATTCTGAAAATTTTGTCCAAAATTTCGAAAAAATCCCTCGATTCAACTGTTTCCGATTTTAAAATAAATAATTTATTAAGGAAAACAGCTCGCTGGGCGATTTGTCACATGTTTTTTCTATTTTTATGGTTCATTTATAAGTGTTTTGATTGTCAAAAATCAAATTTATTTCCAAACTCCTATTCGGGAAAAAATAAAATATACGTGTAAATACATGGTTCAGATTACTAGGAGGGTGACGGTGTTTCGCAGGAAAGAGAGAATTACTCAGTGGTTCTTCAATCGCACTCGGAACGCAGACATGTGGAACTCGGATGTCTTAGAAATCTCAAATCATCTTCCAATATATATGAACATTTTTGGTCAGATTCGCTCACAGATATGTTATGATGAAAATTTTTTCATGAATGGACTTTTATGTAAATCAGTGTTAATATCTCTTTTTTAAAAATAATTTCATTATTTCCGGTGTTTATTTCCAGACTCGCATTGGTTACTGGCGTGCGACTTCTTCAGTTCTCGCGTTTCGACTGCGTATTGCGGATTTCGCAGCGAAATGGATCCACTCCCTATCCCTAAACGATGCTTTGAAAATCCTTAAAACTTCTTTACTGCGGATTTCCAGGATATTATCATGGAAGATCAACTTGTTACTTACGAAACCTTAGCAAAAAATTCGATTAAATTCAAG